ATTAACAGAGACGAGAGGAAAGCTAGATATAAGCTGTAACGAGTAGGTGTAGATGTAGATGTAGATGTAAATGCAAGTAGAGAAATAAGTGAAATGGCTGGATTCTAGAACCACTCCATAAATTTACCACTCCATAGATTTACTCTTTCTCCACAGTGGAGACATTAATAATTTCCCTCAGGCTATTATTAAGTTCATGATACAAGCACTGACAGATATCATGACTGAAAATGGATGGGCCTGCATTGAGGCGGTCTCTGAAAGGATCCTCTTTTACTCCATATCGAATAGAGAAGAGAGGGTAGGTGATCAATCATCAATCCCTTTGTCATGATGTCAATACTGTATAATGTATACTGTGTACTGTATACTGTAATACTTTCAAAGCAGTCATCTTGTCATGAGGAGTATTCACAAATGTTCCTCCTTTGGTGATGGGTCGATTGAAAACGCATTGCCTCCACCACTCTCAGATTTCCTCAAATAAAAGACAAGGTCGAGGCCATTTTGTGGCTGTAGAATTGAAAGTATTGGAAGAACGTGTTGCTTTGAAAAATTTCTCGAGGTCAACGTGTACGGCCGCTGGCAAGAGAAATCCACTGTTTATAGTACCCGACCGAGTAGCATTCGGGGATTTTATACCCAATCGATGAAATGGGGGAACATATCCAAGGAAGATTTTTGAAGGGTTGTGAGACGTTTTGACAATCAACAATGGTCTATCGGAAACAATTATCGATTGTGTTTGAGCTTGTTCTTGTAGCGGCTGAGGGATTTGTGTGAAATGATGACTGAGTAATAAATGTATTCGTGCCTAATATACTCAACTTGCCCATGGTTACCAACTGTTATAAGTTAATCTTCATCTCATAGTGAGCCCCAGGTAGGTAGGTATCATCATGACATGTATCATGGATTCATCCCGCCGTATAAGGTTAATATTTTGATACTCAAGAGGCATTCAAGGGCATTCAAATGCATCCAGAGGCAAATTAGAGGATTCCCGGTACCTGAGCTGAGTATGATATTTACCTAGGTAGTGCAATCGATCCTTTTGGCTCCATCTACGGTCATACACATGAGTAATACTGTAAAATCTCTCCACTCAAGAATGAAAAATTGAAGCCTTTCAAGTCAAGTGTGCATCCTCTCTCATAATTCAATGTGGCGGGCGGTACAACGATTAGGACATCTCCTCCATAGTACAATAGTAGTACTACTAGGGAGTTATTGCAAGGTTAAGAAATGTCATAACCCTTGAAACTCTTCCGCGCCCCCTCAAGAAAAGGTGGTGGATATCTCTGGGCTCGGCTATCATCGAGTTAGACTGAAATAGCCATCTAATGCACCGGAACGTACCAGGTACAATACTTCTACTACCGATCATAGATATAACCATCTCACCTCCTCACCTTTTTGAGCATTCAACTTCTGCAACTGCAACTACAACTGCAACTGCAACTACAACTGCAACTGCAAACCCAAATCAACATTAATATAGATTCTTGATATCTATCGATCTTTAATCATCTCACATACAACATACACAACAATATTTAGTAATAATGGAGAAGTTCAAACGGCATTCCACCTATGGTAAAGCTACTTGTGAACCGATTACCCTGTCCAAAAGTAAGAGAGATGGTAATTGGCAGTCGGCGGCTCTCAAAAACTGCTTGCCAGCCGATGGTTCTATCCTCCATGATGAACATTCAAATATCTCAACCGGTAACAATATGGTGTCCTGGCCAAGTATGTGTTCTCCCCTCTACGCTCTGCACCCTGCCATCTCATTAACGTTATCGCAGGTATCGCTAACCACGTCACACCACGATCCGCGAAACCGATAACAATCCCATATCTTCCCACGGAAATTATCAACCACATCATATCTCGGACTGACGACCTAGAATCATTGAAGAACTGGGCGCTAGTTAGCTGGGCATATAATGATATTGCCGAACGAATCCTTTGGTCAAATGTCACCATCAATACCGCCCAATTTTACGATCCATCCTACCCCTCAGATGGACAAGACCCTCTTCGAATCCTACGCCATGAAAGTCACGAAAGACGAAATGACACACATTTACGACCTCCATGGATGAGAATGGGACGAGGAGAGCACCGAGTGCCTTCAATCGTTTCGAGGCTACCGAAGGTCAAAAACTTTGCCCTCAGAACAGTATGGGATGTCGACTCGAGAGATTTACCCCAAGGAGGTTCGAGAGAAGATTGGACGATTCGAGAGGTCTATGGAGACTTGTTTCCTATGATGCAGAACCTCCATGCCCTTCGAATCGATGGTGAAGTTAATAGAAAAACTTGGGATTTACTACTCGCATTGCCATCGCTTCGAGAACTAAGGATATGGCGAACAACGACAGTTGACTCCCAAGCTCTTCTAGACAGGAATCATTCAGCAGAAGCGATTAGTCAACTTTCCCGTAACGAGAAGCAAGACTTGGTTGATAACATGGTATTGAATTTCCGAGGTTTATCAAGACTAACAACATTCGAGATTGGTTTGCTATCACCTTTGGAATCAGCAGCTTTAGGTGCTGAGGTCCGAGAAAGCAACCTCGAAGTCCTTCACATTGCTGTGACTCGTGATAATAGATCCTTTCACAATCAAGGACAATATACTTTGGCGAGATTCTGGGCGAGCCTTGTACCCAATGAGATTGATGAGAGTTCACCATTGATTCAAAATTACAACGTTGGCTTCCCCGCCTCCATGCGTGAGCTGGTTCTCGAAGACGATGCACACCTGTCAGTCCAACTTCCATTTTAGCATTCTTCTTTACTAATTTTAAATTATAGTGTCATTGCTCCTCCAAAGATTGTCCTACAATCATTCCGCAGATGCAGACACAACTTGACCAGATTCTACTTTGACTTTCTAGATGAAACCTTACTTTCCTTCGTTCTCAAAAGTTCCTCCGAGAAAGCCCCCCTCTTTCCTCGCCTAACTCATCTTCATTTACAATGGCCCGAGTCTGAGAAACACTCATTCGAACACCCTCGCACCATGACCAAAATTATGCTCGCCTTTATCGAATCACACAGACCTACCCTACAGAGTTTTCAACTCCTGAATGCAGCTGAAGATAACCGACTATTGAAATATGAAAATCCATTGAATAAAGCGCTTAAAGGATGGATGACAATCAAAGAGATTCGACTGGATTCAGAACATACTCCCGATCACTATGCCAATGTTCCTAGAGGACAAGAGTGGACTCGACCTGCAGATTTCCTGTCCGTTGATGGTGGAGGCTATTGGGGCGAAGATCTTCGCCGTGCTAGACTTGATCGATTTAACATTACTAACATAGATGTTGGCTTTAAATCGTACCGCGCATGGCATAATATCAAAGTTTTAGTACTCAATCCTAAGCTATTATGGAATTATGGCCTTCTCCCCGATCCACATGATCAGTCTAGTCCTCGACTTAATTCACTGGTTCATGATCACCTTTTGGGCATGAAGCATTTCGCAGAATCTGAATGTGAGAACAAGGAACTTGCAGAGAAAATTTCTCGAAAGATGGGACCAAATCTTCGCGTACTTTCGATTCGCGACTGCAGATTCTGGATTCCAAGTTACGGTAAACCAATCTGGCATCTCAGAGATGCTCTTGCAGATCCTGAACAAAGTCGACTGATCAAACATGTTTTGGATCAAAGAGACTGGGACTTTTTATCAGAAAGAGCTACTACCGATACTCAGGAGGCGGCCAATACTGCTACGTTTCTCAGGAACGACATATATTCTCCAAGTCAACCAACAGCAGGATCAATTCCACGTCCAGTATCCCGTGCCTCCATAATTAGTGATACTATCACTGAACCAGATCTGGAACACGGTTCAGAAGACGAAGATGATGTGATGAACTCTGAGAGTGAGGATGAAGACGAAGTGATGAATTCTGGAAGTGAGGATGGAGATGAGGACGAAGACTATAGATCTACAGTATCGGAATTGGACGATGAGGCAGAGAGCACACAACCTGAGGCACAACTTGAGGCAAGCCAACTTACACACCCTCCAGTAGGTTTAACAATTGAGGATGTCGCACACATGGCACAACTTCACACAGTATATGCGCCACAACCTGATATAGAGATGCCTTTATACACGCATACAGAGGCGCCAAATCTTGATGCAGATATGGACTTGTTCACTCACACGGAGATGCCTTATTATGTTCATTCTCATCCCGAGTTATGATAGGTCGTGCAGTGCTGTTTGACCGAACAAATTATATTAAATGAACGACCACGAGGACATGAATATTGAGCGGTAAAATATTAGCATTTATTTGCATGGGAATGGGAATGGGATTGGGCGCACTTAATACTCTTTACACATGGCTGGCTTGGGGGGCGCTCGAGATAATCAGTAAGGCTTAGGAGTTTCGGTATACTATTGGAGTCTTTTTCAGATTCATCAGATACCCAATCATTTTCACACATTGCACGACGGGACACTGACTTGCTGTCCCTGTCTTTAGCGTCGTTTGTAGCTTCGGGCTAACCAGCGAATACGTTCGCTTCTTGTATATAGCTTTTATTTGCATCTTCTGATGTAGATTTTACAGTTTAGCGGCATTAATTTGCAAATCCAAAAGTAGATTACTTTATACAACGTTTGTTTGACTGGATTATGACGTGAGAGAAACTGAAGATGGGATTTACTTGCAAGCACAGTATCATCTATGAAATTCCTCACCTCTGCTTCACGGCACCGCATTTGCCCCTTAATAGATGGTCGATGAATCGAGGAGACAAGGTTTTTTGTACATAGCTCTGAGCATGTGCTTTAAGAAGACTTGCTCGCTGTACTCTCTCTGGTTCTTTTTGCAAATTGAATCTTACATTTACTACGATAGGTAATGCATCGATCCTAGGTTTTCAACAATAGCGATATCTCATAATCATTAATACCTCTCTAATCATGATTCATAAACCCATTATTCCCTCATTCTCCCATCCATCTACGACCCCCACAATCCCAAGGTCCAGCTCCCCTTCTCCCCAATACCGCCCTTGAAAGCTCCGGGTCCCATACTCCCTCTGCTTCCTGCACCCGCAGCTACACTCACCTCCGCATTTCGATTTGCGCCGGAAAGACCATGCGACATCCATGCTTCTCTATCGATGGAGCTTACTGCGGGAATCTTGAGTTGCGATAGTAGAGATGCGCCGGACCAGGCGCCCAGACTTTCGATGGCTCGTATGATGCCTTTTTCTTCGGGGATGGTGAATTTATCGGATCGGGCATGGATGGTCGCGGCGATGGAGTCGGGTTCGGGGGATTGGTGGGCGGCGGGGATGATACGTGGGGGACGGGGTGTGGTTGGGGAAACGGGGGAGGAGGAGGAAGAGGGGGAGGAGAGAGGAGGAGATGAGGGAATTTCGATGGGGGAAGTGGGTGTTTGTGTTTGGCGAAAACGAGTGAGTTTAGGATTGCTTTTGTATTGCGAAACTGCTTTTCCTTGGACGGGATCCCAACCTCGTTCTTCGACAAGCGTATTAAGTTCTTCTAGAATTCGGGCTTTCAAGCCAATGATACTGGAGCCCCCGCCCACAAATACGATTCGGGACATGCAAACAGAGCGGAGGTCGACAGGAAGACGGAGGAGAGCTTGGTAGAGGAGAAGATGGATGGGAAGTTCTTCATCGTCCAGTTCAGGGGCAGGGAGATGGGTTGCGAGGAGTGCTTCTTCGCAGGGTTGTGCGAGTTGGGAGAAGGGAATGCGGAGTTTGCGTGGCGGGAGAGTGGATTTTAGTGGGATTGTGACTATATCATTGGAGTCTGGGACTTTGGTGATGTTTAGCGATCGCATACCGGCTTGTAATTCGGTTTCTTCTTCTTCTAATGGCGCAAGACCGCTTTCGGGTGCGAGTTTGGGGACGAAATTTCGAGATGGCTTGCACCATGCCATTCGATTGACTATTTCTTCGCACTCCTCGAAACTTATAAATTCCTCCAAGGCCACATTTTCTTGGCCGTCTAGTGACTCCTGCATCAGTATCTTTGGGTCGAAAGATTCGGCCAACAGTGTGCGCATCGCTTGTCCTAATAACTTCGTCGCCCTGATAGATCTGTGGCTCGATACTTCTCGGAACTCGTATATTCCAGTTACTATGGTTTCATTCCAACCAATATCGACAATCATAGCGGCTCGTAGACCTGCAGCTACCGTCGTGAGTGCTGGTGTAGAATGTAAAGATATATTCGGAGATTGGAAATTCGTAAACATCGTATCTAAAATTGTCGAGAGAAGAGGTGATGGTAATATAGACGGGAGTGCCAAAGCCACTTTTCTCGGCCTCGAATCAATCAGTAGGAATCTGCAAAGCCATGGTCAGTAACATTCCCTCTCCCAACTAGAAGAGCCTCTACAAACTTTGTATAAGCATCCCTCACAGCCCTCTCAATCTTATCACCCACTAGCCCCAAATCCACATCCCTCAAATCCAACTTCCATAGCTCATGTGCCTCTCCCCATTTCTTCCCATGTATCCTCTCCCTCCAAGCTTTATCATATCCCGGCTGCCATCTCCTATAATCCCCCGCTCTTCTCTGTTCTTCTGGTCCAAAATTTACAACTGCTTTAGGTCCTGCATCGCCTGCGAAACCGACCTTTACGTATCGACATCCGATTTCAATAACTATACATTCTTCTTCTGCACGCAGCGTAGAGGGCGAACCAAATGAGTTTGAGAGTTGTCGAATAGGCGTATGCGGTGTTGAGGGCGCACCACTCCCACCCTGTGGATTTATGGATGGACGAATATTCGATACGCTGCGATGAGCTGGCCCGGATGAATGTGACATATTGCTATGATTCCATTTCCATCCTAACTCGACATGCAAGCTTGGGGACCGGGGTCGTATCAATTACCTATTGCTAGTATCCATAGTTCTTTTTAGTTGGTTTTGAAGGGTTGGCCTCTATTGCTGTGGCAACGAGAAACTGACAACAAGGATATCGGTGAAACTATTCTTATCGATTTTCTTCAACTTCACTCACTAGCATTATCGTTCAAACTATACCTCTTTGCTTTTACCTTGTAAAATTGTTGTTTCTTAATAGCAGTGCTATTATTATGTATAGATTTTGGAATTAGATTTGAAAAATTGCGTTTGCCATCATGGGTATCAAGGGGTGAGTGATGATATTTTCGACAACACAAGCTCTATATACTGATCAAAGTTTCAGAATTTACGGGGAGATTGGACCCGGAGAAAGAGTAGCTCTCTCGAAGATCTCGATTGAAAAATACGAGAAAACTGGGATTCCTTTGCGGATAGCAATCGATATCTCGATTTGGAACTTCCAAATCCAGTCTGGTCAAGGTAAGCTGATTAGCACATGATCATGGGAATATCCAACTCATCGGTCATAGGTGGTACGAATCCAGCGCTGCGAACACTGTACTATCGACTTCTTAGACTTCTTTCTATTTCCGTGCAACCATTGTTTGTCTTCGATGGGCCTCATAAACCGCCCGTCAAACGTAACAAGCAAACGGGACGAAGCGGTGCTTCGATTCCGGATTTGATGACTAAAGAACTACTTAAGCTATTTGGATTTGCATATCATATTGCTCCTGGAGAAGCCGAAGCAGAGTGTGCTCTTCTACAGCGTGAAGGGATTGTAGATGCTGTGCTGAGTGAAGATGTCGATACACTTATGTTTGGAAGTGGGCTGACATTCCGAAGCTGGTCTGCTGGAGCAACGGAAAAGAAGAGTGGTGCTGGTTCACCAACACATGTTAATGTTTATGATGCTAAAGCTACCAAAGCTGGCAAATCAGGATTAGATCGCGAAGGTATGATTCTGGTAGCCTTGATGAGTGGAGGGGATTATAAAACCGAAGGAATTCCTGGATGTGGTGTGAAGGTTGCTTGCGAAGCTGCTAGAGCCGGTTTTGGAAAGAGATTGTGTCAGATTCGAAGAGAGGATGTTGCCGCGTATGATGAATGGAGAGCGGATTTGGCTCACGAATTATTCACAAACGAAAGCAAGTTCTTTAGAACCAAACGAAAGGCTCTACAAATCCCTGAAGATTTTCCGGACCGTAAAGTTTTGGGTTATTATACCCATCCTGTTGTTTCGTCTTTAGCGAAGGTTGAAAGGCTTCGGAATCAAATTGTATGGGAAGGAGAGATTAATATTCCGAGACTTCGAAATTTCGTGGGCGATGCATTTGAATGGAAAGGGAAAGAGGGAGCAAAAAAGTTTGTACGCGGTTTAGCACCAGTGTTGTTGCTAACAAAACTTCGTCAACGTGGAGATCGACAAGATTCCGAATACGATGACCCTATGCTTACAAAGCTTAATGAGATGGAATTGGTAAAGTCTATCTGTGGCCAGAGAAGACATGTCACTACGGATGAAGTTCCAGAATTGAGAGTCATCTACCAGCCTCTTGAAATAGTTGATATTGATCTAGATGAAGAAGACAATGAGGTCGAAGATTACGGAAGAGATGGCTTGGCCCCTCTTCTTGAGGATGACCAAATACAGGCGTACGCATCGGATGATGCGGCACCGGCTGATACTCCACGGAAACGTGGACCTTCTCCATATGATCCTACAAAAGCAGATAAATTATGGATATTCGAGTCTATTGTTAAGGTTGGCGTACCACTTACTGTGGAGGACTATGAAGAAGCTCTTCGAGATCCTAAAAAGGCCTTGCAACAAAAGGCTGCTGCAAAAAGAGCAGAAACCAAAACCACCAAATCTAGAGCATCAAGTAAAAGTACCGGTGGTATGTCTAAGGGTGCAATGGATCGTTTTATCGAGAGATCAGAAAAAAGCACCAGGTCCACAGCCAAAGCATCGAGTCAGCGTACCCAAAATGTCGAATTATCGGAAGATGATCTACCACCTCAATTCTTGGCTCCAAGCATTAGAAGTCCTAAATCACCAGTACCAGGAGTAGCAAAGAAACGACTCACACGCGGTCGCAAACCAGCTGCTATCAAAGAGAAGGAAAATCCAAGGTTGAATCCATGGGCTACATCTCAATCATCCTTTTCTCAACCTTTACCTCAAATTACGAAGCCCTCACGTCTTCGAAAACCTTCAACTCCAACTAAAACATTTCAAACTTATGGCTCAATGAGTCCAAGTCCCAAGCCTCAATACATCCCCTCGCCACTCTCCAGACAAAAGCATCGACAACAACCCATTTCGTTAAGTGACGACGAAGCCAACGAACCATCTCTTTCACCTCCCAGAACTCCCATCTACAATGATCGTCCCTCTCCGCGGAAAAAGCGATCTTCACCCCCAGCAAACACAACATCAGGCCTCTCATCACCTCTAGCAGCTCTCCATACAAATCCAAGTACCCGCCCACCACTCACTCCCCAACCCATAAACCGCAAAATCGATTTCTCACTGCACTCTTCAAGCAATAAATCTTCTTCCTCAGGCTGCTCATCCATCTCCAAATCCTCCTACAAAACGGCTCCTTCGCAAAATTACTCACCAGGAAGGATTATCGATCTCACTTCCTCTCCTCCCGGAACTCCATCCGCCTTTCCCGAACCATTGATTCGAGATTTCGATGACTCCCCCGGATATCCCAAACTTGTCATCCCATCTAGTTCTCCCCTCCCAATGAAAACGAGTCCGCAATATACCAACCACGATTACGCTTACGATTACGAACATATCCACGATCATCATAACACTTATACACCTACATACCACACCACCATCAACATCAACACCACAATCTACAACATCACCAATTCCCCCTCCCATTCACCCCTCAAACCTAAATCTCTCAAATCCCTCTCGCAACGAAACCCGCAAGGAGAAAATGAAAAAGAAGGGGAAAAAATCAATGAAATTGAAACGATAAGAGAACAGACAATCGAAACGGAAATCGTCGAGGAAAATGTATCGTTTGAACATGGAAAAAAGGAGAAAAATACGAGGAGATATATTATGCTACGTGAATCGTTACCTGGGTCTTGGAGGGAAGTGGGGAGGGAGGAGTTGGTGGAGGGTAGGAGTAGAGCGTGGAGGGCGGAAGAGGTGGAGGTTTTGGATTTGACGGGGGAGTGAGGGAGGGGTTTTTGAACGTGGAGCGGTATTTTGATTTTGGTTTCGCTAGGTATCTATTTGTTTGGATTTTGGATGTGGGATGTGGGAATTGGGTTTGGATTCGGGGTTTGGTGTTCGTGTTTGGAGACTTGGAATTTTTGGATCGCGAGGTGAGAGGGTATACATCATAGGGATCTTGGAATACAATTAATCAATCACTTATACTCTGTCCATCTCAATCTTGTTACGGGATACTTTTGACACAACTCACTTGACACTACCTACCTAAATATCAAAGTATACATGATATAAATATTCCTTACTTGAACATATATCTACATCATACCTTTTCCTTACACCTCCCACATAGCTTCATCCACCTATTACATCAATCTCTTATCGTATCGTCATCTCCCCCTGAAGTCGGCTCTGAAATTCCTATTTACATCGTTCCTCATCTTTTCATTTATTTTGATAGGAGAACTCAGGGTTCATAATATACAAGTCCAACTTCAACTCCTTTGCTTTCATCATTTCAACTCCCTCCCTTCCACCTCAACCTAACCCAGCACAAACTCCACCCGAGACATTCCAAAATTTAAATCAAACTACCAAACCGAACCGAACCGAACCAACTTCCACATCCTCATCCTACTATCCAAAAAATCAATAACTCTACAGATGTAGCAAACCTATACGATATATCTAAATTCATAATACATCACATTTCATCCTACTCGAGTACACACATAACCCATCTAGCTATTCCGTGCCGATCCCTCATAGCGCCCCGAAACACGCGCTTCATATGGTATAAGTGTACAAATTCCCAGTCTCTCTTTGCCTTTGCCTTCCCTTCTTCCTACTCGCATACCTATTCCTATTATCTTTTACCGTCCGTCTCTTTCGATTTACTCAGCGATTTTGCTACTCAATATTGCCAATCTTTTCAACACCCAAATACCATTGATACATACAAACCCAACCGCCAAAAGCCAAGCACGCCTCACCCGCCCCCTAAAACTTACCAATCCCGTTCCACCCTCCAAGCATCACCAGGCACCAACCCCTGTGCCCTCAAATCACAATCCCTATGTCCCCATTTCTCCGCAAACACTCTCCTCCCATGTTCAATCGACATCTGAATGCCTATTTCAAAGCCCTCGGAATCCCTGTAATAAGGATCATTTTGTCCGCCTACCTGTCTTCCCTGCCATGTATTTCGACCATTTTTATTCGCGCCCTTGGAGTGTCCCATATGGTCTAATACGTCTAGAAGTTTGCGCCATGATTCCTGGGCTACGGGTTCATCAGTCCATTCTCTGTGATTCTTATCCGAGAACAGATTTCTCGAGCTTAAATCGCGGGGATTTTTTCCAGAGGGAAGAGAAGCATCAGGTATTGAGTTTGCTTCCGCTTTAGCTTTAGCGAGTTCTTCTTCGACGATATTCGGATCAATGAAAGAGGGATCTGGGCCCTCTTTCTTCCGATACAAAACTTCGAGATCATCCAGACTACTCGCTACATCCCAGATAGCACCCGCAGGCCATTCTCTCATTTCGAATCCTTCCATGGCGAGTCTTTCATGCATGTCGCAATCGGTGCCGTAGAAAGGTATCAAGGTATCCCAACCCCCGACTTTCTGATACGATTCCGTGTTGACGAGAGCGAGGCGATCGTAGGAGAAGAATTCGAGGGCCCATGGTTTTACGACTCCGGTTTCGGGGTTTGGAGTTGTTACGTTACGGAGAGTGGAGACGCAGTGATCGTAGAGGGATTGGAATTCTTTGGGTGAGGGGTTGGTATTATCTGGATGAGCATCTATCCATCTATCTTCGAATGACAGGATGGCGAGATCCATATGACTCCAAAAATAAGCTGGCCATTTGTTTTCAATCGCTGTCCATAAGAAATAGTTTTGTACTTGGGAGAAGGTGAGTAGAGTAGGCGTTATGAGGACATTCACACCAAGCATATTTAATCGAGTATGATTGAGAAAGAAGGGGTTTTGAAGGGATAGTTGTCCATCTTTATTTGAATTCATAACACCTGTATTCTCGACGACGTATATATCCGAAGGAGGCCATCCTGCAGTAATATAAGAAACAACAACTTGCTGAAGAAGACGCCAATTCCTTGTAAACCCAATAAGTAGAGGAGTTTTTTCGGGGACATGCGGATTAGGAGGTTGATTCCATTTTGGAATTGGCGGAAGCTCTGAAGCTGAATGTGCGTTCAAAGCAAGAGGGAAATTGTCAACTATAGGATAGCTTTTCGGAGGCTTGAAGGCTTTATATTTTGGATGCTTTGGACCAGTCTCGAGTGGTTCGGATTGAGGAGCAAAAGATGTGAGTGGTCTTATACTATTTAGTAGATAGAAACCAGTAAGAAGTATAGTCGAGGCTACGAATACACTAAGTAGCATATAGCGCTGGCGTAGAGTGATTGACATGATTATCTGCTATCTACTTATGGAATGGAAGGAAACAGCAAACAAATCTCAAAACTTTTAATTGCGAGGGACATTCTACAAAATAAAAGAGGAAAGAGGAAAAAATTAGTCTACCATGGTTTGATAGAACAAAGGCTTACGGATCCAACCCACTAAGGAAGCCCCCAAACGCATATTTCCTGATATCACAGACTGTTTGAATGCATACTACATGCCAATTTTAATTGCACTAAACGAGAAAAGGTCTCCAACAGGTAGTATTCGGTACAAATCCTCTTCAAGCCCTCGTCTGTATTGTTCATTAGCGCTGACATGCATGACAATTGCCACATTGATGATTATACCCGCAATATGTGTGTGAAGAGTACCTACTTCGTGCCCCATAAATTATAGACGAGGCATTGCTTCGCACTGAACAGGCACGACGTGATAATTTCCCTGCTCGTACCCTGACCACTTGGAAGGCTCGTGTGCGCGCACTGTATCTCCATTTTTCACATCCTTCCTGGCGGTACGAGTTGATTTCAGTCGGTCATCACGCCCAATAATGTTTGATCATAGAAATTCTGATGCCTAGCCTTGTTCTCAATCTATTATTTTTCGTCAGTGGGCTGTTAATTGTTACTTGTTAACTCCAAAGATAATAATAGACTTGCCGATATAATTTTGAACCGCTCCTCTTCAAAAATAGGACCGGACGTATCCTCTTTCTTAAAACAGGTCCTCTCAAGCTTGATTTGCGCTACATCGATATTGATATCAACGCAATCTCAATTCGACACAGAAATTCCACCATTCTCAAGATATTAGAGCCTGGAGACTCCTAAGCACCAAGTCGACGGATCTCACGGCTCATCTCGCATCTCGCAGTGGAGTCCTGATTGAGAATTAATTAATAAAGCGGTGGTTAGTGAGAACCTATGAGAAGCAATTCGAGAAGTGCGTAGGTAGTACGATGAAGTCCAGGAAGAGGCAGGTTGCACCGAGGTTGGATACTTTTGCGCAATGCATATCTATACGGGAGGGGGGAGTGCTTCAAATTTACTGACACTCGATTGACCATTCATGTCATGTGCTTACCTCGCATAATCATTTTACCATGTACGATATATTGCCCCCCCTTCATGGGGGCTATGTCAGATATCCAGCTAGGTATTTACTCACCTGTGAATCGTTATCCCGAGCCTGGGATTCTACTTCTTAATCTTGATCTCATATTTTTGGAACATCACTGATTGTATTGAGAGCGTAGATTCTGTGTTCTAAAGTCAATTATTCTTCATATTAAATTGAATTGTAATTGAGAGAAGCTAGTCAATGCAACTCCTCCTATACACATTCTAAGCATAAAGTTCGTGACATATTTCTCCAATAGCCAAGTTGGAGCAAGGAATTTATTCTTATGGTATGAGCGAACTCCACGAACTCCTGCTGCTCTGATATCAAAGTCCTCTCTTGGCGATTCTCCTATTGATAGCACATGCTTTACATGTGGTCATGATGCAAACACTCGGACAACCTGGTCTACACACCCTGTCGCAATAACACATCTGATGCTTACTTTTGCATCCTCTTTCTTCGCTGTCCCATTACCATTCTTGGTCGGAATTGCCACGCCATTTTCTCCATTGAGGATAGGAACATCCTTAATAACACTTGGAGCCCATCTCATACAACTGACGAAATGACCATGCGAATCACTTATCGTCTTCACACATTTTCCTTCTTGTGCAAGATCCCAACACCTTAATGTTCTATCATCTGCCACACTTAACAAATATTTTCCACCAGGATGAAAGACAAGGGCTCTAATCCAATTATCATGACCAACGAGTGTCTTAATCAATGTACCTCTAGCATCCCATATTCGAATACTCTTATCTCGAGCTCCGGTAGCGACATATTCAGCAGAACTGCTCGCTGCAGGTGGTTTCTTTAATCCTGCCATGGTAGCCAGATGAGGGTAACTTGCTGGTGGTGCGAATACACAACATTCGATCGTATTTTCATGACCTAATAAAGTTGCCTTTATGTCTCCTGATGATGCATCCCATATTCTTGCGGTTTGATCCACCCCAGCAGATAGAAGCCATCGGCCGTCAAAAGAAGGTGCTACATCACGAACCCAATCCGCATGTCCTCGAATAGTTTTCACACAATATCCCGTGGAAACATCCCATATGCGTAAAGTTTTGTCTCGACTTGCTGATACCAAAAGGTTTCCAGATGAAGGTGACCCAGCTGCGCCGCTAGGTATGAATCGTACGGCTGAAACAGAATGATCGTGTCCAGGTAATGTGCGAATATTTTTATACTGATCGCTTGGGTCCCATAATTTGATAGTCAGATCACTAGAACACGATGCCAGTAATGTTCCTCCTCTCGGGCCACCGAAATCAACATCCAGTACTGCTCTCGTGTGTCCTTTGACAGTGAGTTCTAATTCTCCAAGTTCCCAATCCCAAATCTTGATTGTGCAGTCCTCCGAACCCGATGCCAACGATGAAAATACTGGATGGAACGCAACACAAGTAATTGCTTCCCTGTGCGACTGAAGATTATGCCTTGCTGGTGATTTTGGTAGCCAAGCTGTAGGATCGGTATTTCGATTTGATAGAGATGTAGGTGTTGCATTGTCGATTTCACTTTGTAAAGCCGCATTTCTCGCTTCGAGATCCATTATCTGTTTCCCAATAATCAGTATAGAACTCTTGTTGAGTTTGATATTGAGGATTCTCACCTTCTTCTGTAACCGCACCACACTTGTCCATTTCTTCTCCAGAAGACCTTCATATTTCTTACTCGTGGCAGAATCGAAGCTTTCACCGATATCAAGTTCCTCACGTAACGTCGCGGCACTATGTAAAAGATTCGTCGAGGTAAGGTATGCTATCATAGACTTGTGCCTGCGAGAGTAATATTAGCCATCATGAGGATGTGATGAAGAAGATATGTTCAACTCACAGCTCCTCGGCCTGCCGCGACGTCAGATATTGGCTCATGACGACTATTGTATGCGATACATGAAGTTGAACGGGACTTTGATATTTGATTCCTTCCAAGGCTGATGCGCCTGGCAAGCGAAATATTAAACGGTTCGTTTCTTGTCTCCGATATCTGATAATGATCTCTTTTTTTCTTTTTTTCCTCGTGGATGGGTAATTTGTTGTGATTTTATGCCTTTTGACTTTTCGAAGCGCAAGTATGCACACACGCTTTGCACACGTTCCTTCACACGTACCGGTAAAGTGTTAAGGTTGGGTATGGATGGCTGGATGGCTAGATAGCTGGCTGGCTGGCTGGCTATACCTACTTTATTTATGCTCAGAAGCGCGGGGTGTCCACAACTTTTGTTTTGACGATAGGCGGTAGGGCAGAAGTTCTTTCTTTGTGTTCTACTGAGACAAAATGAATACTTTGGTCAATTGATGCGGATTCTTATTTATGATTTGAAACAACATTATGCAAGAATCAATGATTTATGCCATGAATTCCAGAATCCACGGAAGGTTCATGACGTTTTGTTATACGATGAGTGTCTAATAGTATCTAGGTAGGTACTGGGTACGGTAGGTAGGTAAGTGGTACCTAGGTATTTTGGAAACATTTTGATTTGATATTTCTTTCTTATGTTGACATTCACTCAAGACAGACTACGCGTTTATCATTCTTTGATTATTCTTCTTTTGTCTTTTTGATACATTTTGGACGCCCAACTTTATTATGAAAGCGTGCACGCGCCAATTTGGCAGGGATTTATCGATATCGGTCGTTACGGTTACGGTGACGGGAGTACCCTCTCTTCAATTTTGCGGTAAAGTCAACAACACAACGCATCAATTCAATTCAATTCAATTCAATTCTTCTGAACCCGTACTCTCTATTGTGGAATTGTAATCTCAATACCTATTAGGAATAAAGTGTGTTGTTTACTATTTTGACATACACAGGATTTTTATCAACCTCAAGCACGTTTTCCCTTCCACTTTCACATGAGATAATTCTATCAATATCAGAAGTATCATTCAAATTTCAACCAAAACAATCCATCCTATCTAAACACCGACCGGTGCTTTCCTCTCCCCAAATTTACCCCACGACCATAAACTCTTTCTCAAATTTGCATACAACATCAAATTGGTAGGTAGCTTCCGGTGCTCTTTCCTACATGCAATAATGATGGCATTTTCTAATCTGCGACACCTTCAATCCACCTCTCCGTTCTCTATATGGGATTGGAGAAGCATCCCCCTCCATTACCCATGTCTTTGTCAAAGCTAAAGCTAACCAAACGGATAGCTACTGGAAAGCTACCACAGAGCCCTAAAAAAGTTACAGGAGCCAAGATGGCAGAGCAAGAAGAAGATTTCAGTTCTCTACCCCTCCCAGATAGATTTCAACATAAGGTATGCTTTCTCTGCTGAAGGTCCATCATAACTATTTCTCTCCTTTGCGCTATCAACCCTTTTCGACTGGCAGCAAACACAGACTAATACTTATACTCGGTGATAGATATGGAAAGTAAGAAAGGCAGCATATGAAGATGCAGCAAAACAATTCGAAATCACACCAGATGAACATGACCCAGTGTTTAAACCATTCCTTAACGACCCTGGACTATGGAAGGGAGCCGTGGCAGATTCGAACGTTGCGGCACAACAAGATGGTATTGCGGCATTATGCGCTTTCTTAAAGTTTGGTGGGCGCGAACATTGTACCAGGACACGAAGCCATACATTAACTTCCCTGGTCGAGAAGGGACTAAGTTCAACAAGAGCTGCTACCAAAGCATCTGCGCTCGAAGCCCTATTGTTATATGTCGAATTAGATATAGCTGCCCCTGTCGTCGAAGAGCTTCTTCCTGCATTGTCGCATAAACAACCAAAAATTGTCGCAGCGACGGTAACTGCACTAACCGCCATATATCATGAATACGGATGCAAGACGGTGGATCCTAAGCCCGTTCTCAAAGTTCTTCCAAAACCATTCGGTCATGCAGATAAGAATGTACGTGCGGAAGCTACAAAATTAGCTATCGAGTTTTATAGATGGTTACGAGAGGCCATGAAGCCAATGTTCTGGGGGACCTTAAACCTACACAACAGACCGATATGGAAGCTCAGTTTGAAAAGATCAAGGGGGAGCCAGCGCCAAAACAAGAACGATTCCTCAGATCACAACAAGCAGCAATGTCTAGGGCACCTCCCCCCGGTGAAGGTGGTGCAGAAGAGGAGGATGAGTTAGAGGCTGAAGGTGTCGAGATTGATGCATTTGACTTAGCTGAACCACAAGATGTATTATCCAAGGTCCCTGCAAATTTCCACGAACAGTTAGCTTCGTCAAAATGGAAAGAGCGAAAGGAAGCGCTGGAGGCTCTATACACCTGTGTCAATGTTCCTAGAATTAAAGATGCCGATTTTGGCTTGATAATTCACGGTCTGGCAAAATGTATGAAGGACGCTAACATTGCAGTTGTCACTCAAGCTGCACAGTGTGTTGAAGTTTTAGCCCAAGGTTTACGAAAGGGGTTCGCCAAATATAGATCCGTCATTCAAAGCCCTATTATGGAGAGATTGAAAGAGAAGAAGGCGTCTGTTTCAGATGCTCTAGGTGCAGCACTTGATCAGGTATTTGCTGCAACGAGTTTGACTGAATGTTTAGAGGAAACTCTTGAGTTCCTGAAACACAAGAATCCTCAAGTCAAAGAGGGAACCGTTAAATTTTTGATTAGATCACTCAGGACAACTCGAGAAGCTCCCTCCAAAGCCGAAGTAACTCAGATTTCAGAAGCTGCAAAGAAGTTACTCGCAGAATCGAGTGAAGTACTGAGATCTAGTGGAGCTGAAGTATTGGGTACGATAATGAAGATTATGGGCGAGCGTGCAATGGGACCACACCTTGAAGGGCTGGATGATATTCGGAAAACTAAAATCAAGGAATTCTTTGACATTGCAGAAGTCAAAGCAAAGGATAAGCCTAAGCCTCCTCCCGCCCCTGTAGCTCCTAAAGCTGCCCCAGCAGCAGGCCCTAAGAAAATGGTAAAGAAGACAGTCGCAAAGAAACCACCTCCACCACCAAGTGCTTATGCTCAACAAGCTCCATTAGAGCCCCAGCCTACAGCAAGAAGTGCCGCTGGATTAAAGAAGCCAGGTGGTCTTGGACTGAAGCCACCAGGGAAAAAAGTGGTACCACCAGCACTTGCTTCACCTAAACGTAACGCCCCATCACCAGTTCCGATTGAAGATGAAGCTCCACCTCCACCTCGTGTAGGTTTAGGCCGTGGACCAGCTGGTCGATCATTGGCAAAAGCACCATCCGCTAATGCAGCTCCTCCCATGTCCTCAATGTCACCTCCACCAAATGCCGGTCTGACTGCTTTAGAGAAAGCTGAGCTAGAAGAACTGCGATTGGACAAAGATCGTTTATTACGCCAAGCTGACGAAATGCGCCAAGAACGCTCGCGACTATTTTCAGAAATTCAAGAATTGAAGAATCAAAATGCACAGCTAATAGAGGATCACACACGAGACGTTTTATCAATCAAAGCAAAGGAAACCCAACTGGTTCGTTCGAGAGCAGATGCCGAAACGGCGGAAGCAATGTGTGCGCAATTGAGGAGGGAGCAAAACAGATTAAAGCATGCTCTATCAGCCGCTGAAAGAGCGAGTAATCACAGCCCATCAAGAGGATTATCGAGCCCCGGACGTGATGGAGCACATGATGAGGCTGTCAATCACCGCGAATCTATGTATGGCGCTCCTTCAGACAGTGGACGCCCAGATTATAGAAGTCGCCCTCGTATGTCTATCACATCTTCAATTGGAGAAGATAATTTAAACGGGGCGGGTCCTTATGGTCGAAATATGTTAAGTCCTGATTTGGAACCTACAAGTAATGGAAGATCAAGTGCTGCTAGTGGTAGTGGCAGGGCTAGCCCTGCGCCACTATCTTACACAAGTGATCGCATGTCTAGAACTGGTAGTATTCCTAGTGGCAATGGAACAGGTGTAGAAAGCTGGAAGAGGGCTGCCGAGGTCACAAGTGCTTTGAAGGCAAAAATTGAGCTTATGAAGGTAAGATTTTTATACATGCACTTACATACTGTTTTCACGGTACTAATAACAATTGGTTTATAGGCACGACAAAACATATCCAAACACTAAGCATATGGAAATCAAACATTTAATGAACCAACGATAGAATAGGAATTGAGAGTATCGGGTAGATGGCGAAACGGAAAGGAAAGGACAGGAAAGGAAAGGAAAGGTTTATTTGGCACTGATCAAACGGTGTTATGGTCGTGCTTGGTAATCTTTTCCCTTGTGGTTTGAGGTGGCATCTTCTGTCTTGGTGCATATAAGGGGTTTTATTCGTCGTCGTAGACGAGGGCGAGGCGAATGCGAATGAATGTGAGGCGAAATGAGACGATGATTATGCTCATATGTCGTGTTCGATATGCATATGTGGTCGTGGCTGGCGTTGATTGTACTATATTCTGCTTTATTGTACGAGCGCAGCACATTTGTTTGAGGGGAAAGGTTGTCATGTGCGTAGATATACACACATGTTTACGAAGTATAGGTTAGGGATGGATGCCCGCTTGCTTGATGTGTAAATGTATAGCTGCGTAGGGTCTTGTATTTCTCTTTCTTCAATGATACCATGGAAATGATAATCTACGCTTATTGTTACGAGTATCTGAAATCAGACCACTGTGCCGTTTATGTTTATGTTTATGTTTATGTTGATATTTGGGATGCGGAAAAGGGAGAGGGAAAAGAACCCCTGAAATTGATGGTGGTGGTAGGTAGGGGTGAGCTGTTGTGTGACGGTAATGGATTACACGGCAGGTGGATGACGATGTCAGGTTTATGTAGAGGTATGGATGATGCTTTTTGTGTTTCAAGGGTCTGCTTTGGTGATACATTGCTTTTTTTGTCTTTTTTCATGTGCGCGTGTGTTTGTGTGGGTGAGTGTGAATGGAGATTGGAAATGGTAGTCAGATGTATGGTTGATGTAGCATGCTTGATTTGGACGAGGATTGAGGGTTTTATTGTTTTGTTGAAGAAATGTTTTTGAGGGGAGTAGGCTGTGGAATGGGATGATTTGTTTCTCTCTTGTATGTATGTATGTATGTATGTATGCACATATGCATATACATCTACGAAAGAGATGAGGTAACAACAGCTATGGAAAAGAAACCCCTATGTCTAGGTCCAGATCCAGGTCCTCTGCATCGGAGAATTCTTCTTTCGTACCAAAATAAACGGGAAGGCGAGCAGGCAGGCGGGAAGAAAGGAAAGAAAGATCTTGACACATGTAGGTGCTAGGTATTGTATATCATGTATCATGTATGTAACGCTGGGAGTTGAAAAATTCTCCGTGCCGGAGTGTGGATAGGGGGTAGGGAGTGTTGAGATTGGATGGTGCATGTGGTATATTGGATATTGAATATGGGGGTGCGGGATGGGGGTTCTATGGATGGTTTGTATGTGAGGAGTGAGGAAGGGAAATGGAGCTGGGAGTTGGTTTGATGAGTATTCACTAGATATTGGGAGTGCATGAATGGACGAATATGGAATACATGGGAGAAATATAGGTGGAGTATTTATTGTATTGTATTGTATTGAAACATCGCATCGCATGGCTTGGCATGGGAGGGAAGTCTTGCACTTTCTCGGTACTTATCGAGGGAGAGGAAAGATTGTTTGATTCTTGGATTGTCAAAGTGGAATTGAGTGTTTATGGAGGGTTTGAATTTTGAGGATTAGATTGGTAGATTGAGAGTTAATTAAGTGTCTATAAATAAGACTTTAGTATATCAGTAGTATAGTATGCGGTTTCCTTTTCCATCAAGTGGCTATACGCTCCGAGTTCGCTAATTGGGGAGAGACTACCTACCTACCTATGCGAAAGAGACGAATGGAAAAAAAGTATCCAAGTTCCTACGTTATAAAAGATTCAAATTGAATTGTCTCGGAATATAAAATCCTTTGAAGAATAAGAAGAAAAGTGGGATGCCGAGATGGGGCAAATGGGAAGATATGTTCTAGAAGCTTTGGAGAGGTGAGTCCTTCGAGATGGTTGGCACGCGATGTTGGAGACCTGAGTTTGCGTTGTACGTATGATGGATATTCTCGTGCACTTCTTTCTCCTGAAAAGGAGAAGAAATAGCTTGGGGGTGTCATATCATTTTCCCAAACAACAATTCTCACCACTTTGAAAACTTTGGATAAGTTTACCAAAGGAGGAGTTGCAGCATCGACTAATTTTTTAATCTTTTTTAAAAGAGAAAAAATTTAATCTAATCTTTTCATCTTCCAGAAGTTCTAATTTAGGTAAGGTAGACCCGTCTGTGTGAGTGATGTGCAGGACGTCACATCACATCATATCACAACGGTCGGACATGACATTGGTAGGGTTTAGGGTGAGGTAAGGGGTCTTCTCACATTTCCCAAGATGGGTTTGGGATGGATGGATGGGACGCTGGGGTTGAATTGGATGCGCGCACATGATATCCTGTATACCTATGCTTGTCAGATGAGATATGGTGGGTGGGGTGGAGAGATATGAGTGGTGATGGATGGTGGATGTGGATGTGGAAGGGCATGGTGCGGCACGGATATTATTTCAAATGTTATAACGATGTTGTATTGGGTGTTTGTTTGGGTGTTGGATGGATTAGATATCGGAGAGAGAACAGATGGTTAGGTTGGAGTGCTTAGATTGAAGTGCTTTGAGGCACGCGAGCCACGGTACTGTACCGAGTAGTGTGCTTTGCAATTGTGTTGATTACGGTAAACGAAAATGAAGGGGTATTACTTACTGTAGGTATGTATATAGCTATTGATATCAACACCAAGCCTCGCCAGCATGCATGCTCACATACTCATGAATACCTCTAGCTGCGCAGAATTTGTTTTCGTGAAAATACGATTTATGCGATAGGTTAAAAATTACTAAACAATACGCACCATAACAATCCGATACAGCGAAAATAGCAAAAGGGAATTGGATACCGTGGATACCTGGGAATGGGAACATGGAAGACGTTGAACAGTTGGTCCAAGTTTGGTAGCGAATGTATGCGCAGCTAAGAAGGGAATAGATGATGAGCGCTGCATATTCGGGGTAGTATAAAGGGGATATGTGGGTGAGGGGTATGCTCTTGTTTTATTGGTACGAAAATATGTGAGTGAGGACGAGTGAGATTGGACTATTCATTTAGCTGTAAACAAACAGGTATTGCTAAGATGAGAGGTTGGATGGAACTAGAGATGGGGTGAGAATTTGGGCAGCTTTACTTATCATTCAGTGATGGATAAGGAAAATGGTGAGCTTGTGACTTCTTTTGAGATACACGGCTTTGTATTTGTTATTAATTGATTGATGATATGGAAGTCAGACTATCGAGAAGATCATCTTCAGTGGTCAAAAGGATGAATAAGGCAGGTGGGGGTTACACGAATGATACACCTTCTATCGTATATCGATGGATGAGCTGGCCTCGCTAGCTAGTAGTAAATGGATGAAGTCGCGCGCACCGAGTAAGAACTTCATAGCAAATGACGCCGGTGATGATGAGTAATGAATAATCGGTGAAGGAATCTAGTATATCATCCATACAACTTCATAGAATATGGCTGGCTTCGGACTGAGCGGAGAAAGAAATGTCTAACGAGCTCCCCTGTTAGAATTGCACTACTCAGGTGTGTTGAGGTTAATCCATTGAAAGCTAGAATAAATAAAAATTGCGGAAAAATTATTGATCTTGCTATTAATTTACAATGATTTTCTCAACGCTTTCTTGGGCCGTTGTACACGTAGTAGGCATGAATCTACAGCTACATACGATATGCAGGAACCATATGATCAGATATGGCCAAGTTAATGGAAATAGATTTGTTAAATTTGACCATCTTTCATGCTGGAAGACTGTATGTATATGTATTGCAATAAGTCAAAATCCGGTAAACATGTTATAGCACCCTAACTGCAGCTATATATATTGGATATCATTGTATTTTTCTCCCAATTGAGGAACCAGGTTTCGGAAGAAAACCCGTTAAAACGGGCTCGATGGGCAGGTAGAGATAATGACAGTGCGTACATATGTTGTGGAGGGACGGGATCGGCTGTAATTATCCGTTCTTCTTTGTGTTTTGTTCTCGAGTCTGTCGCTGCAATGACAATGGCAATCAAGGGAAAGGGATATGGGCATACTGAACTAATTCGGTAGAAGGATCTCCGAGATCTATGGGGAAGACCTCCATGCTGTATTCAAAACCAGTGTATGCTGTGATCATGATATATCCAATGTGATACAATGAGTTTGCCGCTTATTTCTTTCTCACTATAACCTAACACCTTTCATTAGTTGATAACTCAGTGAAAATCAAGACTTTACAGATGCAACACCGGCTGATGAATTGCTAGTGAACTCTTGACCAAAAGCCAAAATACCCCCTTACCATCTGCCGAGATAACTCTTCTCCTCTTTCCATCCCGTCTGCTCAGGACCTCAGGTGTCTGCATCTCCGTCCAATTTTTCTAACCATCTAAGAATCAATCAATCGAAACACTATAGAAATGTTAACCTGGCACAACATGTCTTGTGTACGTCAATATCTATCACCTCTCAAATTCTCTCCAATCTCGCTCATCTACAAATCCATACTTCCGAATCCCCGCAAGGTGCTACAAACAGGATTATTTCCCGCAAGCCACCAAACATCCATCCAAACTCTTTCTAATCCTTGTCTTTTACTGCTTCGACCGCTCGCATCCGGTTCATCGGCTCTTTTATTGTATATTGATTCACATCGGTATTTGCCATTGCAGTTGCAGCCGTTTGCTAGCTTTGCATGTCTTGTCTTGTCTCGTCTTGTCTCGTCTCGTCTCGGACGGAATGGAAACGGATGTCATAGGAGAAAAGGAAGATTGTAATATAATATACTCCGCACGTGAACGAGGCGCTTCCTTATGAGTGGCTCCGGTAAGAGCCGGTATTATATGTCTTGGGTGTTGGGCATGTATTGCTATCTGGAAAGCAATGCTTACCTCCGACGCTGTTACGAATCTCTTTGCTTACCCGGTTCCTAATCACATCTATCCACATCGTATTCTAATAGAATTGAATACCGATATCCGTCCATATCGACATCCCTAGTAAATGTGAAAGTATATCGGGATCATTGAAGATATTGTGACATGAGGTGATTGATAGTGACTTGCCTAATCGGGTAATTATTCAACATACAATAACTCCTAGTCCTCACACGAAATGACCTCTTCATGGATTCTTATCCTTTTCCGACCATGATTGAACGACAGCTGCATGCCGCAGTTCACCCCCACCAAACCCCACGTCTTCTACGACCGTTTGGAAGAATGACAGGATGAACTACCCTGTTTAGACCTAGGCGACGTAAATTCTAGAATTTCTACTCGGTACATTTCCCACGCGGGTACCCAGTCAGATACATGGCAATGTTGCTTAAAGGAAGTCACTAGTACATTACATATGGAAAACTAGTTATCCATTTTGCGTGAAATTCACTTGGCATATCAGCGGGGGTTTCCATAAATGCGTGGCTGATCGTCCCAAGCAGATGGGAATAAAAACAAAGCAGACAACAGAAAAATGTGATAATTCAAATAATTCAAAATCAAATCGTCTCGGTACCGAAATTAAAACACACCCCGCTCTTTTCTTTTATATAGAAGGGATCCAGAGAGCCCGAAGACCTGGATAGTATTAAACTGCGGTGCAACACATCTTCTTGTATGCTGAGTAGTTTTTTACTCGCTTGTAACAGTAGCGTCTAAAAGCTATGTAATCGTGCTCATCGAGGTCTACGGATGTATTATAGATGATGAAATATGCAAGGAAGACAACCTAGATAGTAGTCGTGTTATTGTGATTAACGCAATGAGAAAGTACAAGGAGCGAGATTAGTATTGATTACGAAGAATGTACCAAAGTGGCTAAAAAATACCTCGGAGTAAGAATAACAAAACATGTTCGTATTCAAAAACAGGATGTGTTTGCGATTATGTTACTAAAATGATACAGCAAACCAGCTTCAGTGAGCGAACGCGTTGTACAAATGATGCTGATGTGAACAAATGATTGTAAGATGACTGTATTGCGCAGAAAACTGCAACCAAAAAGGGGGGTAAACACACGAAGTATCATTCGGAAATACATTCTCACTGGTTTATGCAATTGAATCATCGTCAATAGCAACGAAGCGAAGAGATATTCAATTCTTGATTTCTATTCTATTCAATAACTTGAGCTTACATCATATCATTATTGTACATCAATCAAAACCTTCACCGCATACTCAACAAAAAACCAACCAACTTCTCTCTCTAACTGACCAGAACCAAGAATGAGGTCGGTCAACTAATAGACTTACTGTAACACTACATACAAAAAGAATTCCACCACATGTTGTGCGCAAACACCACGACTATCATATTCAACAAGCTCAAACATCAAACCATCAATCATCAGTCATCTATCATATTTCCTAACCTCACACGTCCACAAACCTCCCACACTCTACGATCCTAGACCCCGCACACAACAACGCATCGCATCTAGATTAACCATGGTATTGGACCGCATCTTTCACATATCATCACATAGGGCATAAACATCCCATTTCTTCGTTTCCTTTCCCATTGTGTGCCAGAATCCCATCCACATATATGTCTCCGTACAAATGTGTACCCGAACTCGGTAATTATTCACCTGTCACGACTGAATCTTGGCACAAATCACTTGCCTAGATGCCTACCTAATCATATCGTAAAATAATCCCGATGCTCTTCACCGTCGATGATACTTTTCTTGCCTCACCTCCTTATTTTCATCACTTCTCTTTTTTTTTTTATCGTTCCTTACCCTCCCTTTTCCTTTTTCTTTTCCCTTTTGAATGTGTATGTATCTTGCGTACAAACCTAATCCTACACTCGAAAACCCCACACCGTCCTTTAACCCGGGTACTGGGAATCCCCAAATCATAATGATCAACACAACATCCTTTGGATCTGCGTACTACGCCGGTAGCCAGCACATACGTACATATATACATACATACATACAAATTTGTCTGTACACACGACTAACCACCGACCAATTCTTATTTTCAACCCCTCTTCTAGATTTCTCTAAATTTTAAGAATCGACTCATTGTACTGCAATCCCACTCCATCTATTATCGCCCAGGAATGATAATAAATAATCGTCTAGACAAATGATGTCCATAGAATGTAATCGATCCAATGTCTTTCCTGTACTTACATTTCGTCTTTCTTCGTGCATAATGATGCACAGTACATCGACTCAGCAACCAAAGGGTACACAAATCCACATATCTAAGTATGCAAAGTGCCTTCCGAAACACACCTAGATCTCCCACTTCCTTAGCCAGTCGGTCACCACACCACCTTCCTCATCAGAATTTGATGCGACAAGAATATCCCGAGTCGAATTAAAGACATTTCGATAAGTGGTAGTAGAAATAATACATCGAATTTTTGTATATTCGATATACCCCTCCATCTATCCACATGCAATCAATTCTCATCTCGCATCACCACCGTCATGACCCATGCATAAAATGACATGACTCCCTGAGACGAAACGAAACAGATCAAAGCGGACGCGACGGCTATGCACAGGTACCTACCTACCTGTCGATAACCATCTTCTGCATCGAATCTCCCGTCCTCGCAAGCCGCTCCACTCGTCCAAGCGTTCATGTGAAAAACTTTAATAATAAGAAAAATACATGTAGAAGGCCCCTGGCTGCATAATTTGTACTTCCTCATCATCCAATACTTTTCGAGGAGTGATGCTGAGGGGTTTCCCTGTCTTAAACGCGGGCCGGTAGTGAAGTTCCAGGTCTGGGGATAAGGGGAGATGGAGGTTTACGGCCGGCTCTTGCGGTAAGTTGAGTTTTATCATGATCTTTTTTTCCCGGCCGTGGGAGATGAGAGGAGGAAACTCAGAAGCTAAAAGCTGGACGTAGGATGTGAGATGTGTGTTACCATGACCAGTGGATGAGATTGTCTTCCCCGAGATATTGGAAAATCTTGGATGCCTAACGGATGTCTTTCTTTCTTGTGTTTTTGGGCCGTGAAATACGGATTGCTCTAGTTTCTAGAAATTTTCGGGCCTGGATCATTCCCGAGTCCTGGAAGTGGTAAAGAGAACAAAAGAGAAGAAGAGAGAAATGCATCTTTGGCTTGCGAATGCGCTTTTGTTTGGTTTGTAAAAATGTTGTATGTGGAATACATACATCTCATTCTCAACGATCCATTATCATTCATATGAATCTTGATACTCGTAGAAAAAATGAAAGTCCCTTATCCAGCGAGTAAATTTCCAGTGAAAAAGTGACATCCTTCCCAAATGCACCACACTATTCATAGAGAGAACGCCGTCCCATTCCATTCCATTCCTTGCCTGGTCTGTCCTTAATAATTTCCCAATTCCCCGTCCGTTGCTGGATATGTAATGTATAAAAAGATTTCCTACTCCATACCCATACCCAAATCCATACCCGTAACATAAGCCATCCATTTCCCTTGCTCCATCCCAGTGTTACTCTTTGCATTGTCCAAAAATCCTTGTGTTGGAAACGTTTATGTCCAGCATACTGTACAAACATATGGTAAAGTAAGAAGTATGCCAGGCCAGTGATGATCCAGAAAAGACTTCGCCTCTTTCGTCCTGGTTCCAATTGATCCGATGATCTTCTTCTTCTTCTTCCTTTCGTTCTTTTGGTCCTTTCCTTTTTCGTTTGTCTCTTGTGTCGTTCCCGGGTTTCGTCGTCATACATAATAGATGGATGAGCACAAGTCCCGAATATGAGCGAGTCAATTATTTATCATAGGTGAATGCGAGCCGTCTTTTTGGTGATTCGAGAATACCATTCTGGCATCTCTCCAACATGTTTACAATCACCTAATGACTTGTTAGCAAATGTTAGACATATCATATTATTTCGTGTTCGGTCCGAGCGGTCTAGACTTGACGGAAGTGAAGGAGGGGTTCTACTAACCGCACATTTCCGATTCACCTAACCTATAAAAATCCACAATTAGTACATTTGATTCGGAAAAAAATTGGTACACGGTACATGTTGAAAGAGCTGGAATGCAAGTACCTAAACTCGACTGCCACAACATTGGGTGGGCACCGACGATGTGTCGTCTCATAATTGATACACCATGCCCGCACAGTATACCGAACGTGACCTATAAATCCAGCAGAAACTTTGTTAGTCTAATTTGTCAATACGTAAATAGATCGCAAATAGATTTCCACCAGTGAAAGGGAAAAGAACCACTAACCACACCGAAACTCAACCTGAGTATAATCGCACATTTCCAACGTTTAGAGAGTGAAAGTGCTTAGAGGAGACGAGGGGGTAGTTGAAAGATTTATCTCAGCCTCGGACCGGGATATTCGTTTTCTCTTATCTTATATTGTGAGCCGAAGTAAGAAAGAAAACGAATGACGGAAAAGTTTCGGGTGTACGAGGTTCTCTTTGATTGAAGGGATAAGGTGTAAAAGTAGAAGTCGATCTTGTTTGTTATGTAGTTGTAGTTGTGGAGATCGGGTCGAAGAGGGGAAGTAGTTGGGTTGAAGTAGAAGAAAGTCTGATGTTCCTTTTTTTTTCTTCTTTCAAGAAAAGTTTCGAGGTCAAGATCGAGAACGATGAGCGACTACATATGTACAAAAAGCTCACCAGAGCATGCACCCCTCGATCTTAGGTTCCACCCGGTTGATTCGGTCCATTTAGGATCAAAAGATTCACGGTGTGGTCCTCCGGGGTAGATTCGATATTGTAGGATACCTAGGTACATTCTATGTTATAATGAATTTTTAGCTTTTTCCTAACATTTAGCTCTTAACTCGATCGAGTATAATTCTGGAAAAGCCTCATTTTTCATTTTTAAAATGACAGTTAATTAATCAAAATTGACAAGGTAATACAAGTGGCTTTCAACTTTTTCAAGAATTTCAAAAGAGTGCAACAAGGTTTGAGAACAATTGGTACAGTGTAGGTTTGCAGGGGACGAGCGAATGCCGGTCGACAATCAGATTTCAGGGGGTAGAAGAGTCAACTGAATGAAAGAACAAGGTCTACTTACTGGTCAACTCTTCTAGCAGGCCATTCTAGCGATTTTCACAACACGTGGAATCCTTAGCTATTAATTAACTAACAGCAGCATGGATTTGCGGTGCTAACCGAACAGTGCTAAAGGTGCTTTTGAGAATCCTCTTTGGCTTTGTCTCAGAATAGTAAGTGGATATCTCATTTGGCATCAAGGGCTTCAGGGCCCATTTCAGAGATTTTCGGTGACAGATTCTGCAAGCGCCGAGTACTTGTTACAAAAATTATAAAACACTGTTGAAAAATGGCAAGTGAACGTTGAAAGACGGGGTCAGTAGAATTCAAAGTCGCTTGCTTGGCCAGTGGAAGTGGATATTTTAGCAAACAACTAATCCAATCTTCAAGCGCCCTCGGGTTAATCCAACCGACATAAATCATTGTGGTGGGCAAAAATCTCACGGCAGGAGTCAAGAATCTTCTAAAAGACAAACATAGCCTAAGATTTGTTCTGGATATTGTTGCGAAGATTGTGTCGACTACTATATCAAAAAGCAACCAAACAAACCCATTAGAGGTATGATACTCAGAAGTTCCAGCTCAGTAGTTTGGCGGCATTCATGTTAGAAAATTGCTGTTTTCAAGAAAGTGTCGCAAGGGTATGAAGCGCTATCAGAACTGGCGTGATGAATGACTTGCGAAGTGAGTTGCTAAGTTGCTAAGTTGCTAGGGGGGTGTGGAGGATATGTCGGACCATTACCACGTTGCTGGGTCTTTAGAGTTTAGACCCCGTAAAAGGATCGGGCTTCTAACCTAGAGACACAAACAAATGAGGGTTCTAGTAAGGAAATCAACCATAATCTTGTTTTTCAGGAGATGTTGACGATTTACACCTTCGCATCGCTATCACCGATACGCGTGAGGAATGTGCCCGATTAACAACATCTTGTTCAGGTAGAAAGTCCAAATTAGTTTGGGAGTCTGAGCAGCGGCACAGTCTTGACGTAGCCAAGTATTTTCCTGTCGGTAGTTAGATGCTGATCGTAGATCAAATGCTCATAATATTACAAGTTGGTCAAGCGCTTACATGTATCCGTAGCGTTGCATGCCCTACTAGGCTTGCTGAAAGGGATCTTCTATTGAAGACACAACTACGAATTCACAGAGGTGTTGAGGTCAGGCACTGATGGAACTTGTAAGTCGATCAGCGCATTGCTCCACCGCTTTATTGTAGCGGCATCAAGCTAAGGAAATTAGCGTCACGGGTATTCTTTTTCTCATTTCTATCCAGCCGTCATCGAAACCTCATAGGGCATATAGAAGATTCTATTGTTCCATGGGAGGGTCCAGCATTGTTTCTAGATTATGTATGCTTCGTATTTCTTTTTTTACACATTGAAATCGAAATATTGGCGAAAATCATATGCCGTCCCCGATGGCATAGTTTTGAATTCGGAGCATTTCATAAACCTGCAAGGGGTGATTCAAGCTAGAAGACTCAGAGTGGGGATGCTTGCCATACGGTATCGCCGGTATGGCAGTACACCTCTAAAATATGTGTGAGCTAGGACAGACCAACTAAAACACAAATTAACACACTGTACTTAGTCATCTAGGTAGATTTTGAGTTTCCTTGGAAGCAATTTTAGCTGAGTTGACCTCATCCAAAAATGAATAGCTATCGGTTAACCTTATCATACACGCAGCTAAATGCCTAAGTTGGCATCTACATCCCTTAATCAGCTACAAAACCTAAAGTCAATAAGCCTGAACCCTACTAGTAACTGAACCTTATGACAGCGGAGTCTGACTTCTGGGTTTCATTTTGATCCCTATTCCAAAAGTATCACCGTGGCATTGGTATCACAATCTGCCGCCGATGTTACACAAACAATACAATCAAATAACTCGGACATTCCATGAAGCTTGAACCATGCGGTTCTTAAGATTTGGGTTTGACTGTAGCTTTCCCACTCCCTGTATCTTACAATTCGCCCTGCATTGTACTGTACCAGAAACCAAACTCTGATCACAGACATGACCGAGTACAGACACGTCAGACACTCATGCTGATGGCAAAAAGAGGAGTTCCACTTCTCTGGTCCTATTATCAATAGGAAAATTTCGTTCCTAATAATGCTTTAGAAGCATATGAAACAGAGCCAATAATTCCCTTATTCTTTGAAAAGTTCAGAGATGAACCGTTGATCTGGCAAAGACGCGTCTGTCTATACCCCTCCAAAAATGAACCACCGACTCACACTCAGTACCAATCTTTCGAATGTAATACGAGGAATCAGTGTGGAGATCATATGAAATCTACCCAGGTTCACAGTTACACAGCAGAAACCTTCAATGAGATCAACGAAGGATAGCCTGCGGTCAACTACCGCGCTAGGTGGAGCGACAAAACCTGATTGCCGCCGTCTCGATATGAAATTTCTCCGGAGATTAGAAAGTGGCAATATTCTCAAGGTATGACATGTCATCGAGAAGCATCTCCCTGGAAATCTGATGATGTTGTTCTAGCCCTTAGACGCTTCGGATTTAGGCGCTGAGTACGTAGGCAGAATTGGACACATAAACAACCACGTGAGAAATAGTCGCGCTCCATCAACAAGAGACGACGACACAACAATGTACAATATAGAACTCGAGGAATATCACAAAGTCCGAAGGAACAATAAGATTTATTGATAGCATGATCTTTACGCCGTAAAGACTCGTCCCATCTCCAGAGGTAAGTAAATCATTGTCTCCACAGTTGTTGCACGGAATAGGAGATGGCAAAGGAGTACCTGAATTTGGTATGCGGATTCTGGAAGTTAGAATTCGGTCTTCTCCCCTCAGTTCGAATAATCCCATGGTCCTTTTCTTATGCCTATGAATAATATCGGCTCAATCGGGTTGGGTGGTATGAGAATTGTAAGATAGTCTCGAGGTCATGATGTTCATAATCTTGGTTGGTGGGAGGGGTCCTGTTTGCTGCTGTTGCTATTTTTGCACACAAATTCATCTTATAGGTTTACTGGCCGGCAGTCCGTGTTGAATCAATTCAGTAATTACTTAAAGAGAGAAAAAGAAACTTTCTTCGAACCAAACAATATCAACGTTCAGCTCCGATAACAATACGGTCCAACCCACCAAAGGCCAATGGCTACGCAATACAAGGATCCCGAGTCAGTAACTAATTTGCAACTTTTTCATAGGGTTACACTATATCCACCGCGCAATATTCATTTCTGTCTCACACAGCCTTGCATTTAATACCTTGGCATCCAGCTCTGTGGTAGAATGATACTTGTCTACATACGTACTCGGTAAGGGTTCAGCCCCACAGCTCCCTTTTCTTACTTGATTATGATTCGGGACTTTTCCTCACTCAAATCATCCTGCTTATTCGCCCCTCTTGCTTCGTGATCTCCTGCACCCCGCAGAACTAACCGCTTTTTAATGGTGATGTTGCCTTGTCTCGTCACTGCATGCAGTCTGTACATCACATACATAGATATATGCGAGTAGACACATGACTACTGTAAGACAAGAATTCGACAATGTCTTCTTATCTAAACTCTAATTAGACACCAAAAGGTCTAACCGTAGTCGCCGACGTGATTGTATCAAGAAAAGCATTTCTGAGATTCAAACTTCCAAGCATCATTATCGCAGTCTAGATTGATGTGATCGCCCTGTTATAGGTTGCTTTTGTATAGTTGTTGATCCGTTCGCCTTGTTTCCTTCCTCATAAGGTTCAATCATTCCGCGCGCTTCCATAGATCTAGACTCAAGCAAAGCACCAAAAGTGAATCTGGACCTCAACTCTCTCTATTCATATTTGCAGTACTCAAATACTTCATTTCAACCAGCCGCGATCGCCGACTCCTTTCCATGTGTGTCTTGAATCCATAGCGTTTTCACTTACACTTTTCTAGTACTTGCTCATTTTCCAAGAGATTGTGAACCGTGGGCTTGGGACCACCCCTTGTTCTTGATAGACTTAACTCCCCGGATCTCGTATCACATTCTATTTGACGCTACATATCACCATCACAATCCTTCCATCTTCTCTCAGCCCAACCCGACCAGTGTTCTCGTCGCGTCGGATTATATGTCCACCCGTTCGATTCGGAACTCTATTTCCTCCCACTTTCTCTCACGTCAGCAGTAGACTCGGGCCTGGCTTCTTATCTGTGATATCTCTCGGGGCAATCTATCCGGGTTTGCAATGATCTTATTAATACCCAAAAGAGGTCAAAGCATTTTCACGGATGAGAATGTACCGACATCTCAATTTGGGCCGAGTTTTCAATCTTATGTCTTCAGCTGTTAATAGTAAATTCTCCTTCTTGGCACCAACAATGGGTGCACAACACAATGAATCGGGAAGTTGTTATTGTGAGGCTTTGGAATGGCGTTTGTGGTGCAGATCATGCATGATCGATCGATTTGGACGTGGTCGAAGCTTTCAAGTAGGTACTGAAGATGTTGGAATAAACTCACATCGATCATCTGCAAATAGCAAGCCCCGGGCTTCTTTGAGAAATTCTTCGAATTCATTTATTAGCTTCAATACTGCCAATATCAACATCTTATGTGGTTGTAAGACTTCTTCATGGGTATTTGAACTGAGAGTTTGGCACTGCTGTAAGATGTGATAGCTGATCTAGAATCTTACTCATGCTCAGCATATTCTTGGAGCGCAAGACGTCATTCGATCCCAAAAAAACCTGACTGCAAGTCCGTACATGACTTAACTCCTTCATCATGAGGCTCGATAAACACTCCGATTTGAACGAGGCTTTCATTCAACGCTGGACAAAAGATAGATTTCACCGACACACGTTTTTTAATCGTGAATCATGAGCTCCTCAAATTTCCCATCAGAGCTTGTATATTTGTCTATTCCGCCTTCCTACTCAGCACTGCTCCAAACAGTTAGAAGATCTAATCTAATCTGCGCCTCTTACGTATACAATTTGAATCGAGGCTTACAAAAAGCGAAAAGTAAGGCGTACAAAACCTCCTTTTTCATGTAATACTCACATTCAAACAGATGTATTGTCTAATTGGGCATACTGCATTTGGATGCAAGCATCGTTCAAGCATACATCACAATTCCTCTGAAGAAGCGAGCAAGACTCGCCTACCTCTCAACTCCCCTTCTCTCCACTCAGTACCAATCACAACTTCAAAAATTCACCTCGGAATAACGACTCATTGTTTTACCACCATTCAAAGATCAAAACGATTACGGGCAAAAGGAAAAAGCAAAATGCGTTCGCCGGGAATCGAACCCGGGGCCCATCGATGTTGTTTCAACCCGAGTTCTCAGATGAGAAGTGGGAGAATGATGGCAACGATGGATTTTACCACTAAACCACAAACGCTTGTACATGATTAGTTATTGATGCAAGTGAGTCAGAGTTTTAGATATATATCTAGGGCCAGATCTCGGATTGAGGAAAGAGGGTCTTAGGGAAGAAGAAATTTTTCAGAAAGTGGGGCGGGGAGAGGGCCCTCCTCATATCATATCCATAATTTTATTGAGCTTGCATATACCGGTACAAGTTACAGCATGAGAGAAGCCAGTGTTGTCATCTGCCTAGATTCAAATATGCAAATATGCATACAATGTTTTTGCATGCTTTATAGCTATTGTTGAATCTAAACTCGGAAGGGAGTAAGAAATCAAGTGATTTCCCGAGGCCGAAAAGAGCAACAGAAATCAAGAGATCGACGGCATTAGTGAAGTACATTCGATGCCGTCAAGGTTCGCTATTGAGTAACTATCCATAAGCTACATAAGTTCGGCGATCATTCAGAATTGAGACCAAATGCGGTTCTGTTACTTGTGACTATTTGCACTCTCAGCAGTGCCACAATGTTCGCAACCTTGCACTATCTACTTAGCTACCTACACTCTGCTCAATATACAAATCAATAGTCTGCGCATGCTCTGCTAAAAGTCAACGCCTCTATGAATTTTGACGTGGCGGGAGTCAAAATTCTTTTACATGCTAATGTCTCGGTGCCTCAATCAACATTTGGCCCGATGACTTTTTTGCTTGGTGTTCCAAGATCGCGGATTGATGACAGTGCCAACATGGAAAGGCATAACTCTTAAGTACTCGAGGAAAAGATGGCTTGTTAGTCCAAGTGAATCAAAGCGTGGCCATTCTTACAGTTTTGTGAGTAGATGACTACTATTGACTTGATTGCGCAGGCTATGAGCAATTCGCGAATAGATTCACTTGAAAAAGGTATGAATGACCTCGATGACCTCTATGGTGCGACCTCACTAGCATAACCTATCAAAAGTTGTACGTGAATGGATCTATTTTTGACATGCGTTGAGTGGTTGATTGGGGTTCTCCCCCACAAGTGTCATTGTCAAACAGAAAAGTATTGAATTTGCAAGTGTGGAGTAGTCTTTTGGGTCTTCTAATCAATGTTTGTCTCAGACATTAGCCCTTCAATACTTCATGTTTCTGCGGGCTTTGTAAGTTCAGTAGTCGGGTATTATATATACAGACTCGTCTAAAACCTGCACTTCAGTCGTACATTATGGGGAAAGAAGCATCAAGGTATTCGGTGGAAGGTGTCAAAGAAGATCAACTCCAGCCTCTCATGAATGAAGTCCATATTTATCTACAGCTCCAACGGAGAAACTCGAAATATTCAGCAGCGCTTCATTATTTCACTGCACCACGTTTTCTCGAACAAGAACACCTCAAATTCCTGATCTATTGGTTCCACAATAGTATAGGCCCCGAAATACGATCACACATTAAAGAGAGGGTGTCTGATCTTGGGACAACACTCAGCCAACTCCTTGGAATCTTAAAACTCACATCTAAAGTTCTTTTACCTAAATCCAGACGCTAGTAGCTAGGAATCACCGTTTGACTAGTCAGTATGAGTTCATATTTCGAGAATCCATTGGCAGGATTCAACTACCATCATTCACTTCATGCGAGTTTCAACTGGTAGCGGAGCAAAGTTATTGAAGTATCCACCATTCATTTACCTGGATAGCTTTCCAAAAATTCTAATGTTTATATTGTCTAGAAGAGTGTAATAGTCAATCAACGTCATTCAATTTCGATGCTCAACTACTAATAAAGTATCCTTCAAGCCCAATTGATAAAAACATCTATGTCAGCATCCCCAGTATCAAACTTACCACTCGAATCAGACTGATGTGCTCTAGACCAATCCAGTTCTAGTCATCCATGCATATATCCAAATATGCTTACTCTCCTCGCGATGCTGAGAGTACAGAGTACTAACCAGGAATACACTTTCTTAACTCCTCTCTTGTGGACTTGGCATGTTGAATAGTCTCGCTGGTGTTTAAGCCCAATGTGTGTAAAAAGATAGGAATAGTTAGTCGACATAGCATAGCCTAATAAGACCTCACAAAACACACGCTACACAATACAAAAATACAACCATAGTGGGTATCGAAAGCAAGAATGGTCGCTCAGCGATCGTGAAGCTCACAATGTCTATCGAGGGTTGCTCACATCACTATTTAGTACCAGGGTCTCCTACCACTGTCTGCGCAGTCTAGAGCACGAGGCTCAATAGCACATGCAACCTGTTATTTGAGCGCAATCCATGGCTCGTTACAGATGATGTTAGTCTACCAACGAGATGGCTCGCTACATGCTCTGTTTGGAGTACTTTACTAACGTGTTATCCAACAAGCCATCCTATGCTGTAACTACCAAATAAGTCTACATTCCTCAATGAGTATCTACAATATCACAATGAAGTGAATTATAATTACCCGTAGCACAATATCAAAACACATAAACTTGATCAAGATCCCCCAACAAAAGCCCTCACTACCTCGACAACGTGAACCCCCCACTACCCCTCAAAACTCACAATCATACATCTCAGATCTATACTCACCATTGCAGACGACCTAGTACGCACAGCCATACAAGTCTACACACCTATCAGCAGTACATCTCTGTTGAAAGTTGAAATCCTCAAGCTATAGCTACTCCAAGATACATAGGCTCACCACTTTGTACTCATTCAAAACCCAACAAGTAGTGATTATGAGCGTGGAGATCAGACTGCATATCTTACGCGATCGAAATCCGTGGCATGCCAATGCATTACATCCTCAATAATCATTCGCAAGTAAAGTGTGAGAACTTAATACATACATCAAGAAACCAGTGGCAATCTGGTATACACAAGCGCTAAAGAGAAGAAACGCCCATCATGAAATCACATTGTGAAACCCCCTTAAAGCTCAAGAAATCTCCACACAGCCAAACCTTTCGTCCTTGAAACACAGTTTCGAAAACCTCGTACGCAAGTTCACAGAGCCATCTCTCTCCCAAATTCTCCACAACAAAGAATACTACCCAAATCACTCCATCCCCCATCCCCTACGCAGACATCCCCACAAACCCCCAACCAACCAAGCAAGTACAATAGCAAACCACAAATCCACCCATAATCCATCAGCAACATAAATCTGGATTCAGTGGCGCGAAGAGAATCAAGAGATGAGACGCCAGCCAGTCCAGAAATCCAGCAAAAATCACGACACCCAGGAATCCGCGACCAAGAACCCAGAAAACAATAGCCCCTATCCATCCACTCCATTCATTTCTCTATTCCAACCGCGTAAATTAACATGAGATCTGTAAGTGACTGACTGACTGACTGACTGGCTGACTGACTGATTGGAGCAAGCAAGTAAGTATCTTTGAATGAATAATATCTAGGGTTATAGAATGTGGGAGATTGTGAGATAGTTTTACATACTCACTCATCTGATGAAACATCGATTCAATTAAGAAGAGAATTCCACCTGTCTCTTCCATTTCGTTTTTATAGATGATTGGGTGGGTTGCTTGATATTTACCCAGGCAGGTAGGCAGGAAGTGAACTGGAGAACGCTGACTCAATACTTTCTCACTAGACACAGACCCATCATCTCATATCATCAAAACTCATGCATGATCGGATGCTCTTTCTATCAAGATATTGTGATGTATCTTATATTTTATTATTTACTATTAGACTATACGTTCCCTCCGAAACAAGGTATTATTATTGGTATTGATTCAACTCGCAAACCATTACACTCTATGCCACCCAATCCAGGCTCGAACGATCCCACTCAACCAGGTACAGATCCTCCATATATCAATCCCAAAACACGCAAGATATCCGCCCATTCCTTCACTGCAAGAGATGCATAATGACTTGATCCCCATCTACACTCAACAATCCCCAAACTCGGGTTGTACATCCCTGACCGATAAGTAAAGATGCATCTCACATCTCGTATCTATTGCCCTCCATGTAGTGGTGGTCTCGGCCCCACAATTTGTCGTCTACCAGCTCCAATACCCTGAGCTCCCTTGTTCTGCCCATCGCCACCGGTATACCCCGTCCATTGATTGACATCCCACTTCCCTCCAATACCTCCTCCAATACCATCAACTCCATCGCCGCCCGGAACTTGACTCTTGAGTTCCTTCTGACTCTCTTCCCATTCCTGTTGTCGTTGTCTCTCCATCTCCATTTCCTTTTCCAAAAGAGATTTAGAAGCCCATCCGCCAGCTTTGGTTTTAGTTTGTGATTCGACACGGCGACGATCTTCTGCATCACGTTCGGCATTGCTGGAAAATGTTCCTATTTCATTCGAATAAGTTGTGGTTGGTCTTGGTGGGGTCGGTGGAGGGTTTGAGGAAAGGAAACGGTCGGTGCGGTTTGAAGCTTTAGAGGTTGGAGATGTGTAGTTCGCTGGATCAGGTAGAGGTCTTGCTTCACCAGTGCGTTGAGGTTTGATGGGATTTGCCGTTGGTTCAGGCAATGGACGAGGAGGTTTGACTGGCGGTGCTGCATCTTCACTTGTATTATGTGAGCTCCATTGTTTGCGAAGGTAGTCTCGTTCATCTTGTCTCCATGTTTCATCGGTACCCTTTCGTGATGGCAAACGAGGGCGACTACGAGATCTCGGACGAGCTTTTGATGACTCCTCCTTTAATCGTAATGTTAAATCATGATCTTGGATGGCGTCTCGATCGCCAGTCTTATGTTTTGAAACTCTTTCTGCTTGATATCGACGCTCTCGGTCCCGAGCTTCTGCAAGTTCGTGTTCCAATTGTCTAATCCTGTCGGCCTCGCTAGAATCAGTTCTCTGGCCCTTCTTGCTCAAACCATTTTCAGCTTGATATTGACTGAGGAATTGTCCCTGTAATCGAGTGTCGCTAGTACCCCTTAACCTCTTTCGCTCATCCGCAGCTCTACTCTCTGCATCAGACTCATCTTGCTTTCTGCGATCTTCCTCTGCCTTCCATCTGCGCTCTTGTTCCTCCCACTCTCGTTTCTCGTTCAATGTCTTTTGTCGCAACTTTTCGGTTTCTTCGGCAAATCTTCTTTCTTCTTCCACACGAGCCCTTTCCTCTTCGGCCACAACTCTTCGGCGTTCCCCTTCTTCGGCTTCAAGTTTCAATCGTTTATCTTCTGCCTCTTTTTCCTTTCGCTTCTTCTCCTTTTCTGCGAGACTCGGAACGGTCGGACCAGCGTTTGTGATTTGTCTCCTGCCACCGAATGAAACTCCCATATTACCTTGACTCGCACCTCCCATGTATCCATATTGCGCAATATTCCAGGCTGGGGATGTGGCACTCTCGTCGGATTTCTTACTCCAACTACTGACAGAATTAGGCGATGTAGGCGCACCAAATCTGCTAGGACTTCTCCTACCACTATCCGAACCACCAGTTCTTGAAGCTGTCAAAGTTGCAGGCTTGTGACTTGATGATGACGCAGTGCTAGCGGTTGAAGCTTCTCTTCCTCTGTTATTGAATCCAATTCCAAGATATTGTCCGGTAACCTGCGGGCTCACAACACCGCCGCGAGATTTGGCGCCGATAGGGTTAGGAAATTTGGAAGGATCAACTCGATTTGCAGCTCTGCTAAATGCAGCGATACCTTGAAGTACTTGCGCGGGGTCCTTACCATCGTAGAGATCGACCGTAAGAAACCTATCGTGCGCAGGTAGACTTAGCGGTGGCTTTTCGCATGCGCCGAGAAACAAAGCGATATTCTCTCGTTGTATGAAAGGCATCGTTGCTTTGGGTTTAAATCCACGGACTTTCATAGGATCAATCATGGCTGCAAGTCTGTAGGGAGTCAGTACACTGTGGACCGGTATGTGATAAGGAGAGAAGCTTACTTGCAAAGTGCTACGCCATCTTTCAGTGCAGCCAATATATTATATGTGCCAAATCGTGCATCATCTCCAACATCAGGTAAACTCTCCCCCAGAGATTCTTCGATGAAATTCCTTGCTTCGTTCACAGCAGCTGGTGTAACTCGATCACCCCGCTTGCTATTGACATCATTGTCGAGATTTGTTACAGAAGCCATGATCATCGTTGTATGTGTAAATCAGTAGTTGGGTTCTGTTTTGTTAATAGGATGCGACTCCTTTTTGTTATGAAATCAAATCGCAATCTCAAATCTACAAGCACAATCCAAATTCATAAGACGTATTTGCATGACGGTAAATCATAAAAGGTGGCCGGCGCTAAACATGGGGCAAGGCTGATCCTGGAATGTGGTAGAAGGAAATAAATCACATAAAAACGATGTTGGATAGGTAAGCAGGCAACATTTGAACTTTAAGAGGATATAAAATTGTTATTATTTTTACCTCTGTATGGTATCAATGATGATATTGATATTGAGTTTCTTAGAGTGAATGATGTTATTTGAATCAATGCAATGTACAGTACAATGTATGATGTATGATGTGCCTACTAGGCAGGTATGTGCATATTGAAAGTGGGTTTTCACAGAATATCACACGTTTCTCATTCACGCACGTGACTTTTTGTCAAACAAGGCTCGATCGAAGTGTATTATGACATAAAGACTCCATTCAGACTGTCAAAGTCACCTATGTTCATGTAATGATCAACATCAAAAAAGACTCTTCGATTGCGGGATCCACACGAAAATTCTCATTTTGGATCTTCGGAAAGTGATCAAAAGCTAAAAAAAGATCATATGATTCACAAGGTTAACAGAGTGCAGAGCGTACATACCGGATTAATGATTAGTAAGCCAACCTTGGAAGTTGCGGGTTAGAGTTTGAACAAAGATCCGAGGTTCTAGCGTTTTGACGGCATTTTGGAGCATGTGGTGCGCCTAAGTTATCAGGCCTCATCAATCTTCGTACCTTTCCTCTTCCGCTTGTTGCCGTTGGAGCTAGAGCGGGTAGGGACTAGGTAGACTCGGAGGCAGGTAAGCATGTAAGCACCTGGCTGAAGTGAGAGAAGAATTGGAAAGGATCACGCGTAGATTGATTTCATTGGCCAAGAAGCATTAGCCTTGTAATTACTAAAAGAGATCAACAAGTCTTCATTCCATTGGTCAACTTGGCTAAATGACTTTATCCGTACATGACCGATCTTCCGTGGTGATAATCCTTGTTCAATCAACCTTTTCTCGCCTTTTTCCCCAAAATGTCTCTGAATCGATCTCTTTATCTCGACCAATGAAAAGTCGCTCAGACACTGCTTTAATCAGGACATACCTCAGCATACCTCAGCATGCCTCTCACTAGACCACTAGGTGCTCACAAATCGACCCACACCGCAAAGACCCGCAAGGTAAGGCAAAAGGCAAGTCGTCTCTTACCTCTTTTACCTCTTTTACCTCTTTTAAGATGGAGGACTAGGCGGAGGACTCTAACCTGCATCTGATCTAGCCTCAAGAATCGTTGTCGCGCAGCAAACGCAAGCTTCACTGTGACAACCCAACTGGAGCTTCCCGAAAAAAAGTACCCCAAGTTTCTTCCCTTCCTATTCTTACATTTTAAAGATGCCGTCCTTTCTCTCAGCTTTCTTTTCTTTTCCCTTCTGTCCTTTCCCTTATCCTATCTCCCATCTCCAAATAAAATAAGTATTCCCACCTTTCCCTTTCCCTTTCCCTTTCATCTTCATCAATCCATCCCTCTTAATCAACTCTTAACTTTTTACTCTTCCTCTTCCTCTTCCTCTTCCTCTTTCTCCATCAATACTTTTACTTCCCCATCACAACTCAATACATACTTCATCCTTTCCATCTATCATCTATCATCAATCATCTATCTTCTATCCAATAACATCAATCAATTGATAACATAGCCACCCAAAAGTCGCGCCTTTCTCTGGCCGTCCATCAATCATTTTAACCAACTCTTTTTATCCACCATCATGGGTTCTTTCTCTCATCAATCTTTCTCTCAATCTTCACCCGTTCTTGCCATGGCGCCGCAACTTCCACCGCAACATTCTTTTAATCGACCGACTTTTACATCACCCTTCGTAAAAGCTCCCATGTCATCACCATCTGCAGGTTCTTGGCTCACTCCAACTTCGGCACCTCAATCAGCTGCAGGTCGTAAACGCTCACGCGACGAGGCTGCGCTTGAAGACGAAGAATACTTTTCACAAGCACCTGTTGAGTCAATAGTTGTCGAAGATGAAGAAGAATGGGAATATGGGCCAGGCATGACGCTCATTAAACCGAGTAATCGTTACAACTTAACGGCAGAGAGTCAAACTGGTACCTGGAAAGAAGAGAAAGAAGCTGAAGAAAAAGCAAAAGCAGCATTGCGCGCGGCCAGTCCAGATAGACCGATCCTGCGTTCGGCAAAGAGTCAAAGAATTGATAGAGGTCCCGCATCATCAATGGTCGAAGAGACAAATGTCGCAAATAGTGTTCTCTCAGCTCCTCTTCAGACAGGAAGTACTGGCCCTATCCAGCCGTCCATTGACGAATACACCAGGCATTTGGGAATCGGCTGGTCAAAGTTAAGCACCGATGAAGATATTCAAGCTGCGGTTCGTGGCTGGACCAAATATATTGAGAACCACTATCCTGTCAACAATGCTATCATTCGATTGCAAAGTAGAGGGTTGGCCAGCTATCTCGTTGAAGCGCAAGAAGGTTACTTTTTATTTGGAGATGATCTCAAACAAGGTAGACTTGTGAGCACCAGCTTGGAAAAGACTTTTGAAAATCTTCGAGGACCAGTTCCAATATTTGAAGGAGATATGGTACTTGAGGCTAGCGAAACACCCAAGGCTAGCAGTCCAGTTATGAATGCTATGACAAATGAACACGTTGAAGAAATGATGATGGGTGGAATTCCTACGACCAGTCTCCCTAACCATGCTGTGGAGGTTGAGATGGATATGAGTTAAACGCGATTTACGGCTTTGGGCACCAATGTAAAAAACGAATTGGGTATTCCTAAAGTTAACAGGACACGGAGTTTTTCTAGTTTCACTGCATTCGGCTTTGCACATGGGATTTCGGAATTAGGGTCATCAATAAGGCTACCTGGCTAGGTCTAGCATACATTTGTAACATAGAATAAGGAGGGAGGTAGGTCATGAGTTTGCTGGCTTTGCATACTTTGCAAGACGTTCCAACTTTCGTTAGCACGACTTTAGTAGTGAGTGCTTAACGTCAGGGCAAGCTGTCGTACTAAATTTAAATCGAATACAAAAAGTCTGTTGTATCCCAATATTTTTCCATCCTTGGAAATGATGCGAACTGATATGAACATATGAATGCAATGTGAAGGTGAAGGTGAATTTTGAAGATTGGGGCCTAAGGTTACTGGTTCGGGTTACCTGTTTAACGAGATGGTGTGACGAAATATCGCTCAGACAGCAACTTTAATTCAAGCTTCGAGTCGAGAAGTGAATTCCTAAATGGAGCCAGATAATGGAAGGCAGGTAAATGAGGCATTTGCTGCAAGACCACTTGGGATTGCAATAGCCTGTCAAAGATTTCCAGGTTTGAAGAAAGAGAGCGGTGAGCATTGAAAGGAAATACAGGATGGATGGAAGAACTTAAGAATGGGAAGGAGTATGCACCGTGAAAGTCTACGTACGGTCTTGGTTATGTAGACGGGGGAAAGGTTGAGATGAGATGGATATTATGGATATTATGGAAAGATGATGTAGAAGGGAGAGGTAGGCAATTTGATTCCATGGATAATGTTCTGGTTACCACTATGTATGTAGGTATTTGACAATATGGTTCATGTTCATGTATCAGTGACTTGTTCAATGTACGTATACATCATCGATCGATATTTCATAATCGTTCATTCGTAATCGTGGGTTCGTTCGTTCACACATACATAGGTACCTACCGGTACATACATATACATTTGCAATTCTCCCGATGATTTCCCCCTCCCAATGAAATATGAGATATCTCGATATGTGCAAACGTCTTCCCCAGAATGTGATAGAACCAAAAGTCTAGAAAACCGGCTGAGGGACGGCCGACCATCTGTTGACCAGTTCTTGGATGTGTGACCCTGGTTTGCTATTCTGGGTTGACATGGGAGAGGTGGGAATGGAGAGGGGTGATTGGTTGGACTTGGGGAGGATCATCAAGCAGGTAGGGGTTTCTTGGGAGCGATGGATGGCAATGGAGTCGGGTATGGATAGGGATTGGGATATGGGGCAATGGATACACCACGCACGTATGTATGCATGAGAGAAGGTGAATGGATGGATTGGATTGCACACAATACAATACCTAGCATTGGAGATGCACAAGTGATAAGCAGACCTGGACAGTAGGTGGACATAATTTGTGAAGAGGGACCGAGGAGGAGTAATGCAAGGAGAGCGAGCAGCAGCGCGTGGAAAACGAATGGCTTTCGGGAATTTTCGTGTGCATTTTATTTTCATTTTCATTTGAAGGGGCTGGGCGAGAGCAACCAACCAACCTTTCGTTTCCGTCCGTTTCGCGACTGGGCTGGGCTGGGCTGGGGCGCGCAGAGTGGAGTGGGCTCTCAAAGGTGTAACTTGCAGTCGATGGGCAAGAAAGACAAGAAAGACAAGGCGTGCACGCAAGGTGAGTAAGTGAGTGAACGAGCAAGCAAGCAAGCAAGCATAGTTCAAGGTTTTTTTGCTTCCGTCTCTTCTCTTCGTAGGTAGGAATGGAATGGAGGTGGGTAGAAACGGATGAGATTGATTGGATCGTAATATGTGTTCCTGAAGCTGGAAACTTGGATGGTCCTGGGAGAGAACGGGTTGATTGATTGTTGATAGATAAAAATTGGATAGATAATAGATTGATTAGTACCTAGATCATAAGATGCGTTTGATATTGGAATGGAATGGATATTTTTCTTTTCGCGTTCTTGATTCTTTGATGTTATTGATTTGCTTGGTGTATATATCATATCTATTATACATACACGCAAAACAGTGAGGCAGCTGAAGACATCTTTTCACGCGTTTTTCGTGATTGGCGAAGATAGAAAGAGGAGCAAAAAACGACTTTGTGAGGTTCGGGGTGGGTTTTGAGACATTTTGACATTTTTGTGGAAGCTTGGGACGAACGAATCGATAATCGTTTTGTGAGGGGATTTTCGGGTCTGGAGAAGAAGCTATATTTATTTATATTTGAAAGACGAAGGGATTGCGCGCTGTGCGTAGCAGATTTTGGATGAGTTTATGAACTGCTTCATCGCATCATTTCATCAGCCTTGTGTCGACTTGGTGTAAGGTGAATGAAGTGAAGGCTAGATATTGTGGTACGTTTGTTTGTTTGGTCCAGAATTTATATGTTTTTGTTTAGGTATGCGATGCGAAAATCTTAAACTGGAGTCATCGAAATGAATTCATAGAACCAATTCACAAATACTGATTGCTTATTTGGGGGATGCTTAGGAAACAAGCAATGGTTTCGCAGGCAGAGCCGACCAATTCGCTGACTGTTCGAGGTCCTTCGTCGGTGGTTTCAAGAGCGAGTACTTCGAGACATCATCGACGTCACGGTCGAAGCCATACGGGAAGTTCTTCATACATACCGCAGAATGATTTTCCAATCTTCACGCATACCGGGGATGTGGAAATTATTATAAAAGCTGGCGCGAAAACGAATCGATACTTATTACACCGACTTATCCTAACGAATTGTTCGGGGTTTTTTGAGACAAGCACAAGCCAAGAATGGTCGAGAGCTACTGAGGTTGGAGGGACGGGTGGAGGGGAATTAGCCAGGATAGGTGAAGAATCGGGCAGTGATGTGGGAAGAAATGATGGTGTTCCAAAAAGAAGATGGAGGTATGAATTGGATAGGAATACCGATGATATACCAATGCTCGTTCAAAGGTCGGAAACCTCACTGTCCCCCTTCGGCGCAAACGATAGTCAACCACCACCTCCCGTACGAAATAAACCTCCTTCATCCAATCCTTCATTCTTCCGCTCTGTCGCAAACTTATCCATCTCCTCGCATTCAACTCCAGCGCCCCCGCAAATAACACAAGAGGATCAAGATCTGCTGAACGACTACGATAATCTATTTCGAATCTTTTATAATCACTCTCCACTTCTCGATTCTATCGATATCGCTACCGCATACATACAATGTAAATCACTTCTCACACTTGCCGATCTCTACGATGCTTTGGCAGTTGTTGGACCGCGTATCGATCATCATCTCCTACAATTTCAAGGTCGTCTTTGGAAACAAATCGCTAAATATCCTTCCTCATATCTTAAACTCGGCTTTCTCTCACAATCGAAAACGATATTTGGAGAAGCTCTTATACATGTTGTAGGCGCTTGGCCAGCAGGGGAGAGACATATTAGGAATCAATTGCCCGATCAAGTATTGGAGATTATAGAGGATAAAGTAGAGGATTTAAGGGATATGGTTGGGAGTGTTGAAGGGCAATTATTTCGATTAACTTTATTGAATTCAAGAGGAGAGAGAGTCAACCCGGGTAATGCTTATGCGGATTGGCTGGTGGTTAGCTTGTTCAGACAATGGCTTGCAGAAAATACATCACCGCCTCCTGCTCCTCCTCAACCAAGCCCTAGATCTCGTCAATCTAGTGGTTCCCATAATACACATCATTCGCGAGCTTCTTCTCTAGCGATCACTCAACATCAACAACCTCCGCCATCAACTATATCGCAAAATCAACAAATTGGCAGGACGTTTAAATTATTGGGTAATGCATCGAGTAGTGCATACTTAGGACATGAAGATTGCAAGCGGTTTTTGAAGTTAACGCCAGAACATTACAGTAGAGAGGGATTAAGAAGATTTGAGAAGAGGATGGATGAGATGAAGGAGATGGCAAGGAGGGTTGTGGCGCCTTTGATGAGGTGTGGATTAGAAGGGGAGGGTGTGGCGGTGGGATATTTAACGTGTACGAGAGTGGAAGAAAGGGATTTTGTTTGGTTGTAGGAGGAAGGGGGAGGGAAGTGGGAAACGACAATTTTCACTCCCGCTCCTGAAAATACCCAATACTTCAGGCTGCGGTCTAGCAGTCAGATTCTTGAGTCTTGGTCTCCTTCATATGCATCGTTCAACCAATTCGAAGGATTTTTCTTATTTGGATTACTCGATTGCGCTGGAACAATCAACCAACTCAATCGGGATAATCATTTGGTTCAAGAGAGGGAGAGAGGGAGAGGCAATGAACATACGGTTCTGCGACACGATATTGGAAAGGGTACTTGGAAAAGAGGAAGCAAATGCGATATACGAACATGAGCAGTACGCACTTCACGAATAATGAGTCGAGACGATGATGGACGAGTCGAGCAAAACCAAGATTGGATGATACGAAACGATGATCTCTTCTTTCTGCTTTTCTTTCTTTCTTTCTTTCTTTCCTCCTTTCTTTTGTTTTGAGGGCGAGCGAGTGGTGGTTTTGGATGGCTTTGATATCGAAACGAAACCTTTCTGGCAGGATACCCTTGGCAATTTTTTCTTCTTTGATTTTTTTATTTTCATTTTATTTTATTTTACTTTTATGAGTACCTAGTTTTATTTACGTTCATGTTTATGGTTATGTTTATGATGATGATTTGGATTGGTGAGGGAGGGGAGGGGAGGGGAGTTTTTGGCTTGTGTCTTTTTTCCTTCTTTTTTTTGATATGGTGGGAGAGGAGGGGAGAAGAGCGGAGAGGAGGGGTTATGATTTGATAGGATAAGATAGGATTTGATATGATGGCTATTAGGTTGGAGGTTGTTGAGATTAGATGTTGGAGTAGGTACATAGCATAGTGGTTACGTTTTAGTAATGAATGGATCTATCTATCTATCTATTATCTATGTTTGCTTATCTTGTGATGGTTCTCGATGGATGGATAGGATGTTATATGATGGGATGGGATGTGATTGTGATTGTGATTGTGAAGGTAGGTGAAGTGGTGATGGAAGAGAGAGAGAGAGAGAAAGGTAATAGATGGTTAGATAGACGATGACATATATGCATATACACTGCTAAATCAAACGTAGTTTCGAGTCATCAGAACATTTCTATATCAATAGAAGAAAATGCTGATGATTGTTCTTGATGTATGGATATATTGTTATCAGTGATTAGTGCTTCACACTTGGGGTGTAGCCAGTTAGTCGTTCAGACGATCGGGCTATTCATCTCTGGTATTTCTAGTGCTCATCGATGATCATGGAGCGCAATTTCTTTTCTGGGCCCTGGGATCTATAGTCTATTCTTGTGTGGGCAGGAATGGAGATGATGGGAGAGGGGAAGAGGCAGTTTGAGGGAAGCGGGGGCGGAGGTTGGAAGCGTGGGGGAATGGGTATAGGACATAGGGTATGGGATGTAAAAGCGGAAGATCTTTGAAGGATTTGGAAGATTGAAATGAGAGCTGCCTGTAGAGTATGTTTTACGCGTCTTGAGTGTTTTGGATGATGGAGGTTTGGGATTTAGAGGTTTGGGTTGGGGCATATTGAGATGGAGGGTTTTAAGGACCTAAAGGTTCCTGTACCGAATGGCGAAACTGGCTGATAGATCTGGGTTGGTGGGAAAGGCATATTTGGTAAAGGGAGCCCTGGTGTTGGGAGGGAGGGATGGGATGGGATGCGATATTGAGATTGGAGTTTTAAGGGGTTTTGCTGTGATGTTGATGATGACGGTATCTAGGTAGTTGCCATAAGATATCCCGTACTGAAGACCTATCGATGAGACGGTGGCATAAGCATACCAATACTTCTATTCTAAGATCCTGAGTTTATCATTTTGGGAATCGAGAGATCAAAATAACAATTCCCGTATGTTAAGCAACCAGGTCGCGTCTCTATCTCTCGCCACAAGTCTATATTGGTTGATGTGTCCCAGCTCCGCAAAGCTCACTCCTCTATCTGCGATGTTGTATCCGAGACAAGATCCGATGTTAGATAGTGTATGTCGACATTTGGAGAACTGAATGTCGATTAGTATATTGATCAGACTGTGTGCCATCCGTAGATTTTGCACCGCAAGTTGTTGTAGAGCTTTCAGTTCATTTCACCAGTCGCGCTGTCGGACCACCTTTCCGCCAGGAGAACAGTCTCCACAAACTCATCTATCTGTATTCAGCTTTACATACGCTAGCCATCTTGTTATTGGATTTTCACGGCGGCAGAATCCAAAGAGACTGTCATCAAACTGCCATGTAGATCGAACTCGTAAAATACATTACCATCCACCTGCGAAACCGATCGATATACCTTTGCTTCCGTAGCAGAATTGAAGTTGGCCAGCAAGATATGAGCATCCAACGTCAAATTTGTGAACAGGTAGCTGAAGACAGCCTCCTTACCTTCTCGGAGCATTTTTAGATCAAGAATTAAGAACGCTATGATACGAGCCCTTCTTTGCATATTGGGGTGATGGAGTGAAGAGTTTGACATTGCTTTCTTGTGGTATACGTGTTCCATTTATATTCTGTTCACAAAACATAAAAAAGGGAAAACGATCTTCAGCCCGCCTTCTCTTTACATCTACATCAAAAATGATTCGTTCTCTCGTTTCTTCTTCAAGCCCCAGCTATAAAGCCAAGTTCTCAATGAAAAAAAAAAGGTTATCCCGAAGGAAGCAATCAAAAATTCCCCCGATGGGGACCCCGAAGGATACCCAACGATTCTCGTCGCCCCGATGTGCAATGGAGGACTCGTATCATAGCATTCTTAATTCTTGATCTAAAAATGCTCCGAGAAGGTAAGTATGAAGTTTTGAAAGTGTGGGAAGAAAGAGGACCTTATATAGAAAATCAGAGATGGCTTGTGCACGCTAACAAAGAGGCCAGTTGGTGCAAATAGAGCAAACATGGCTCGATTGGGGATAGTGGGAGAATCTGAGCGAATGTGGGAGAATGTGGATCTTCGACAGTGGGTGTAGTTGGAAAGTTCATGATCGATATTGTTAACTCATTCAAAAAATGGGTTGTTTTGATCAATCCGTATTCTTGTCAACCTCGATTGTTAACAAAAGGGGGGTTTTGACTTTCGTTAATATTGAGTTGAGCCATAGGGAATTGAAATGGGAAGGAACGATTTTCTAGATGAAAATCACGAATAGGTAGAGGTAGCCAGCATAGGTAGGTATCAAGGTATCTATCTTCCTATGTAGTATGTAACGCACACTTCAACACAATTTCACATCAATCAATTACAATTGAGACTACTTTCATTTCTTCGCAACCACTTGTTGATCACAATGATCGTGAAGAGGACATTGAAATTATTTACGATCAGTCGATGAATTGTATCATTTCATTTATCCACTTCCACTTCACTCTGGACATCCATCCGTTTTCTTCATTCCTATCATCGCATCTCTTTTCTTTTCACGTCAAAGTGAAGGCTGACGACGTTGGCGGTGTTGTGTTTTACTTATGACGGTTTGTCCATCTTCAATTCCCGATTTTTGTTTGCATTGAAATGTCACACACCATAACATATTTTATACAAGTGCTTGAAGTGATTTGGAATGGAATATGGTGAGCTACCACACATTGAGGAGCCTGTGTGGCATCGGTCGTATCTTTCAAGATATTACAATCATCGGATTGTCGTGAGCGTGGTGAAGTGCTTGCTCGTGTCCTCCCATAAGATAACATCTTCCCTTTATTGTTTTCTTTGCATCGTCTTCTCTACGTGCAAACCTGAGCACCATGCTGACTCTGATCTGGTGCCCTCTTTCGACTCTCGTCTCCTTCAAGAATGATATAACTGATGAGTGATTTCTTCTACACAAGTCTGCAGAGATATGGGGAGACCATGTCTTCTTTATACGGTTTGTCATTCTGGTGTTGATTATTCCCAGTTTCTCACTATGAAGCCAGCACCCTAGTCGAAGACGATTCTATACCTGCCATGGGCAGATCACTTCAAAGTGACCGTACTTATTCAAACGAATGAATGCATCCATTCTGTCAGACAATCGTGCAAGCACGATCTCTCTGTCCAGGGTATAATGATTCGTGAGTTCAGAATCTACCATCCCCCAAGCTAGGGTTGTAGATTTTAAGCAGACGTCTGCACATGATTTTTGTCATTGACACGATTGACGTGGGTGCCAACTTGAGACTGTCACTGAAAAAGTCGGTACAGATGCACTTAGCTCATGCATGGGCTTAATCAAACGATGACTGCATCGAGGATGCGAGGGAAGGTATCGAGTGTCCTAGCCAGACATGTAACTACAAAACATCTTTTGCAAAAGACATTAGTCAATTGAGTTGCCAGTAGTTTCGGCATGGAGCTTAGTCAAACGATGACTGCATTTATGGAGAGATATAAGCCAGTATCGAGTGCCGCAGCTCAGGTACGTGGGCTCGCACCTATCTAGCTGCTTTGAAGCTAAATAGGGGGCACCACTCTGTCATCTCTGAACTTGATGAGAATGTAAAATCGATTTTAAGGCCGGCTGTATTGTCCAGGAGGCAATTCATAAGTACTCAGCCTCTTGGCGAGGAACCAAATGGGGTTCATAAAGGTTTGGAGTACAGTCCAACAAGGTATAACCCACTTAACCATTTCTTCTTTCATTCTAGGACATTGATTCAATCCGAGTCTTGCTTTTGGTTGCGCATTTTTAATCGTCCGGAAGATAATGCTATCTCAAACGATTGACAACTTCTCGTGTGTGAAGCTTTTAGATCTTGACCTTATCAGAACTATCCGTTGCTCTGGGTTAAGTTATTGCTTGAGTATGTACTCTTATTGAGTAAGTTCGTTAGAAATTTCGCGGGGTCCATACTGGCCGACTTGTTGGTACCCGAATTTTCTTAGGTATTATGTTCTCCAGTCGTGTATCATGATTCTCATTGTGGTTTCCTGGAACCTGGAAGCCCGTTTTTCGCTATCATTCACTTTGGGCCAAAGGTCTTGTTCCCAAGAATATGAGATTTCCGGAGCTCACGAATACGTATAGGCGCAGCGATCTCCTTCTATAAATCTTCAAAGCCAGCTGTTGTCGAATTTTCTTTGTCAAAAAGGAAAATACTTGAGCCGAAATATTGTTTGATCGGCTTCTTAAAAGTATGAGACACTTAAATCATGGTTTCTATGCAAATTCTGAGGTTGAGAAAGGATTATGGAGCATTGAGGTTTTTTGTATGTCGAGGTTGCATGTTAAGGCAGAAAAGACTCACCGATCTGCGACCTGTTAATAGATAACAGCAGGCACGAGCATATAAGTGACTTATGGAAGTGAAAGGGCCCATGTGCAACGTTAGAGAGAAAGTCCACGGGCGTACCGTTTCCACGACAAGCCTTGTTGACGACCTTTCTTTTAGTGACCAGTTTAAGCGAGGAATACAATGATTTAGTACGAAGGATTGCTGGTGTGGCAACTGACTTGAATGATTTGTTCACTGTTGCATCCCACAGAAGGTATCCCGCCTCGTTTTTTTCCTCAAAGAAAATATAAAAGTTCAGTCTGCTCATCTAGGCCAATGATGCCCGCACTTGCTCGCCGCCTTAGAATTCGCGTTTCTTCCTTCGCATATTACAACTCTGTTTCGTTCAGCTAGTATGCTTATGCTTACAACACAAGTACTAACTCTGGTTCACAATTATTGAAATAATAGATTTCTCTGGAGGTGCTATTCGACAGCATGCTTTCATTTTCACTTTCGGATTCAAATTCACTGTCAACTCTTCTTTCGTTTGGACCCTCAACCGCTCAGCTGCAGCTGATAACGCGGGTATCACTCAACTTGCTTCAAAGCACCTTGCTTTGAGCTGGATCATCAAGAAGGTCATCTTCGAAATCTCATTCGATCTCTAACTCTTTCATTTCAACGTCAACAATCAAAATCGCCTGGAAGTCCTTAACAGTTAGATATCATGGCTGTTCTCAAGTCCTTACCCGGAATTGAGGTTACGGTGTGTGTTGATGACAAACCATTGAAAGAGTATGAGAACACCGAAGATGAGGAGATGTTGAATGAACCAGAAGGGCTCGGCAAGAAGTTTGAAGTCACCAAACATCAGCGTTCTGTGACTGTCAAAAAGTTTGTCGAATCTACGGCCGGCAAGTTCTTTACCATTAAATGCTCCGTCAAAAACCCATATAGATATGCAGGCGCTTGTACGCATATTTCATTTTGCTCTTCTATCGATGGCGAGAACCTGTCTTGGGCCCCTCTTTTCAACAAAGAGACATATGAAAAGAATAGTTTTAGCTTGACTCGAGTGGTCGAGGGAAATTTCTACAAGGAGGAAGGAAAGCTACTACTGCAGAGATTACAGTTCACAGAGACGCAATTGAGTAAGATTCCAACGGCCGCACGATTTTGAGTAGCGTACTAAGACTATATCAGCTCAGTGGAATAATTCGATCGAAGCAGCCACTCGGCTTGACGGAAACGGACGTTACGTGGGTGAAATCGAAGTGAGATTCTTTCGAGAAATGTCCCCATCAAAGGCCAGTCTTGTCAACACAGCTCCATTGGTCAGTAAAACCGAGATTCCGGAGAACTTGTTGAAGGGCCAAGCAAAATCGCATAGCACATTGTAAGACTTATATATTTTTACCACTTACTACTATATTCCTGAGAGTTATGGACCGTCAGCTAATCTTACGAATAGGTTTAGTCAGGGAGAGGCTGAAAAAGAAGGTAAATATGTAAAAATGAAACGCTGCGATGGTGGAAGAGAGTGTCCTATTGGAATTTTCAATTTTCAATATGGCTCGAAAGGTTGGAGTTTGTTCCACGAAAGCACGTCCAGTCATCACTAATCGTTTAATGCATAGGAGATCTTGAAGCATTAGGTATTGTCGAAAGAATGCCGGAGCCAGAGTCATCGTTTGGTTGTGGTCATGATTCTGAACGGCTACCCATACCGATGAGTGGACCTCAAGCTCCAGAGAAGTTGTTCTGGGGTACGATGAAAGAGGCGGAGGCGGAGGCAGATGCAAAGCTATCAAACAACAATTCTGGTGGCGGATCTACTTCCAGTCCACTGCCAAACATGTCAACCCCTCTATCAATCAAGCAAGAAGTTCAACATGCCGGACCTGGTCGAAATGCTACCTCGAAAGCCCCTTTAGTGCCTGTCGGATCTTCTAATGTCACGTCTCCAACAAATTCTGCATCCTGTAATTTTCTAGATCTAGATCCAACACAGACTGGACAATTATTTGGACAATTCCTGCAATACTTACAAACGCAAGGAGGCGGGCAGCCCTCACAAGCACCTTCGCCACCCCCAGTAGGAACCACTCCCGCGGCTCTTCCCAGTCTCTCAACATCCACCAGTGGCAGCGAAATTGTCACTACAGCTACTCCGAAGCCACCGGTTAAGCGCGAGAAAGAAGGAAATGAGAACAAAAGTCGCAAGAGACGTCGCAAGGTTAGGGGGAAAGTTACTATTGACCTTACAGAGGGCGATTCTGATGATGACGTTGTGATTGATCTTGATTCGGATTGAGATTTACAAATGTCTTTGGGATCAATGGGTACCAAACAACCTCTACGGTCATCTAGGTTGGTTCTTTTGAGCCAGGTCTTACACCACTAATCTAATGATTACAGTGCTTTTGTTACGTTGGGGAATCATTATGGGCGCTTGGTAAATTTGGGGGTAATCCAACACATGGTTAAATAACATCATTACGTTACTGGGATGTTTATTTGAAGAAAAGATAAAGCCTGCTAGACGTCTCATAGCAAGCCAATACTCCTGGCAACTTAAATATTCATAATACATCAAAGTATTCCACAAATACAAAGTCGTATAATTTCCACACCAAATCTGTGCCCAAGACTTGATGAGTATATACACTGGTCTCTCCCACTTCTCGGACGAAGAAATTACCGCATCTTCTTCTACTCGCACTTCATCTAAATCTTAAACTAAGGAGCGACGAGAATTCACTCGTATCCTCGTGGCATTTATTGAGAACTCTCCCAAAAAATTGTAGTCTAGCTCAATTTCAACGTTGATAACCCCGCTTTCAAATGAAGCATGAAGATATAATCCCCAAGCCGCCTTTTCCTCTCTTCCTGAACCTCTCAAAACTTTCAAGATATCTAATTCTCTCTCAAGCTTGCTCTGATTATCGCGAATACATCTTACCTCCGTTCGCATTGTCAATAACGAATTTAAAGTTTTGAAAGCTACTCTTTTTCTGACTTGCCAATCCGGCCTCCCTGGCTTTTCGCTCAAAAGCTAACTCCAAATTCGTTGAAAGCCAGATCTTTGGAACTGGGGTTAGGGGTAATCTGCATCCCCAAGACTTCCTAGGTTCATTTTTGCCCTCCACACAGGATCTACTCTTACGGAAATCCTCATTTTCAACGCAAAAATTCCATTCTTAAAAACCTCACCTTTCTAACACGTTCGAATTGTATCTCCATTAGTTTGACATTACTATTACTTTATCTCTACCTCGTTCATCATGCCTATGCGTAACAATATCCCGGTTCTGAAACCTCTTTACCCTAGAATTCCTAAAGGAGTTTACCTCCCATTTGTTCCGGGTATCACGGCCCAGATCATCTCCAACCATGGGGAAGCATTCCCAAACTATGATCCTCGAGAAAGTGATTCTCTTAGTCCAGACGACGAGGATTCTGAATACTTTCGCCTGCATACCATCACGAAATATATTGCGGTGACCAATGACTCATCCTTCTCCATTCATTTGAAGGTTGATCGACCCTATCCCAAGACCATGGAATGCGCTCATTTGCAGTTCGAGATTCTTGTGGATGGAGAATTTGTGTGGAATGCTTGGTGTGCGAGGGCTGATTACAAAAGAAATGGAAAGTTTATGTGGGAGGAGACTATTGATGGGATGAAGGTGGGCAAAGGATATAAGTGCGAGATCAGCAAGTTCAGATTCAGTGCTATCAAGACCAGTAAGTAAATTTCAAACAATTTTTTTGGTGGAGATCAATCTTCAATGCGGTCTGAGTCTCAGAGTTCTATGAGTGAAGGAAATTCTTTACCCCTTTGCTACATATGAGGGCACACAAGAGATTAGATGAATCAATGCAATGACCGTATGAGAGACTAATGAGACTTTGCAGACGACGATAGACCGAGTCCTACCGCTTTTCAACGTATCAAGGATTCCATGAACAAAATTGGCAAAATTGAGATCAATGTTTATAAAACTAAGTATGGAAAGCCAGGCGGAGATGTCATGAATAACAAACAAGCGTTTCGAAATAAGAGCAACATAAATGTTCCTGAGAGAGCATTGAAGGGAGCTGAGGCCAAGAGCCATGGTACTGCGTGAGTACGTTTTCCACCTGTTTCTGAGAACGCTTCCTAACGAATGCCCAAATCAGGTTGGGTGCTGGACAGAAAACTAGTAGAGGAAAGGTTTTCTCAAACGCCCAAAAGCATGACGAACGCCCAATGATAGTCTTTCGCTTTCTATACCGCTCCGAAGGTTTGTCTGGTCCATGCTGATAAATGGAAATCGATCACTGACCATCACACACTCGATACAGAAGCGCTTAAATCTATGCACATCATTGAACATACGCCCACTCCTTCTGGCTCTAGCTCACCAGAAATTGAGGACCATAGTGGTAACAACCTAATAGCTGTTCAAGCAAACTTGGCAAAGCAGATGGCGGATTTAGAAACGCAAAAACAACAGATTGCGGAGCAAATGGCGAGTTTACAGAGATTGACTACCAACTCGGCAGGCGGAGGTCATTCGAGCACTCGAAAGAGCATCAAGAGAGATAATGATGATGAGCCTAAAGGAAGCCAGACATCCAACAAGCGACGCAGAACGGAGATGAGTAGAGGAAGGGTTACAGTTGATCTGACAGGTGATAGCGAGGACGAAGAGGTAGAACCTGCCAAGATGGCTAGTAGGGATGAGAAACGAAAGGCTATCAAATTGGATGACGATGATGAAGAAGATAGTTTGCTTGATACAGATAATCGGAAATGGAGATAGCTTGAGATATGAAGGTACATATGGATATTACGGATATTGGAATGAAGGCATATCAGGCATTTGATGACTGGGAAGAAAGGTACATATTGATATGCGGGCATGATACTTATCAAAGCTGGTAGCTTGCAGGTGGAGGGGTAATGAGAATAACCCAATGTTGGCTTTGGGAAGCTCAATGCACCAAAAAGTTCTGGGCACAAACAACAAGTCATTTGTTATCTCAATTTCTAATTAAGCTGCCTTTCTTGACAAAACTTGAGCTGAAAATATTCATGGCAAGAAGTAAATGCAGACAGTGAAAATCACGTGAGATTCATGTGGCTTACATTGTTCCAAGTTTAGCGTGGATTTTCCTTGGAAGCGAGAGCGCTCGGCTCTTCTCTCACCACAAAAATATCTGATGACGTTGAAGCTCCGAGCTACAGGATACATTAACCACTACTGTAACATACAGCTTGTTGACTTTTCATCAACACTTCCTTCTTCAACAACACACTCAACTTTCTTCTCCTCCACCACATCAAAAGATAATCTATATTACTGTGAGTTTTCTTCTTTGATCTTATCTTATCATAAGCTCAATGAAATAAATGCTTCGAGCTCAATACATTACATTACGAATGCACTACGAGAACCCTTTCGAACATTTACTGATATTTACATTGGAATAGGCCACGAATCAACAACAAAACACTTAATTTGGAGGAATCAACACCGAAAAGATGACACTCTATTACAGTCTTGTACGTTACCATCTTCTGCCATTCGACGATGAATTTCACGAACCCCTCAACCCAATATGCTGATCCGCAGCTCCCGCAAATTCAACAAAGCATGCTAACAATAATCCGTACAGGTCTTTGTGCTCCTTGTAGCAGAGATGGCACTTTTCATGCTTCTCATCGTGCCTCTGCCTTTCACCATCCGCAGAAAGATGTTTACTTTCATGTTCGTGTTTCCCCATTATTTTTCTTCCGCCTGCAGCTACTAATACCCCACTAGAAGCGAAAGTCGACTGGTAGCAAAATTACAGTATGGGATGAAGATTACGTTTATCTTCATCCTGATTCTGTTCCTCGACAGTGTGAACAGAGTATATCGGGTTCAAGTCGAGTTAGCAGAGGCCAACAAAAGTCAAGCTGGGTAGGTTTTCCTCTCCACTTTATCGGGCGGATCAAAAACTAACGATTAGCAGTAACCCTGTCCTCGGCCATGAACGCATGGAAGTACAAGCACGTAAATTCTATTCTCAACGTAACATGTACCTCTGCGGTTTCACGCTTTTCCTCTCCTTGATCCTCAACCGAACCTACACCATGATCCTCGAAGTTCTCCGCTTGGAAGAGAAGGTTAACCGTTACGAGGGTACCGGCAAGACCGGCGGAAAGGATTCTGACAAATTGGAGCGTGCCGGAAATGCTGGAGAAATTGGCAAGCTTAAGAACTTGTTGGCCCAAAAGGAGAGAGATATTGAGACACTCAAGGAACAATCCGCCAGAAACAAGCAGTTCTCTGATGACATTCTTGATAAAGCTCAAGCCGGTGAACCATCTGCTGGTAGCAGAAAGGAAAAATAAATTGATTTCTTAATGTGCCGGGCGCTTTGGCGAACTACATCGACGAATCAATACTAGGGAATGAATGAATGGAAAGAATGAATATGGTGGTGCCGGAGTGGACAATCTGGGGACGGAGCAGGGTAGGGAGTGAGGATGGAGTGTATTTGTTTTGATGGTTCATGGCGGGAAAAGTTGGCTTTCATGAGTTTTAGTGGCGTATCCATGAAAAAGGAAAATACAAATTTGATATGAATTAACACGATTGCTGGACATGACTTGTGTTAGGGTCTAATTTTGGGCCTGATCAGAGAAACAGACTTAAATGCTAAACACTCCCCATTCCAAAATTCCCATTCCAATCGCCCTTTTAGTTTTTCTTCAAATTGTTTATGACTCGCTCACTGGAGTCCTTAATACATCTCCCTTCGTCAAGGAACACACCCATGAGATTGACATTGTGCATGTGGGTGAAGATTCACCCAAGCAGTCACGAGTCAACAACCAAGCAGTATATCAGAATCCCATAGAATTACACTTGTGTTAATGCCGTTCAGAGGCTGGCTTCTATTCAGCCGCCTACTAGTTACCAAGTACTTTGCGTATGTATTTCCTAAAACGTATGCATTGCCCGCCCATGTATGATTTCATGTCTCCTCCCTAACAATATAACGTAACGCCTGATGGTATGCAAACTTTGGAACTTCTTCACTCCCACATGATTCTCATGTAAGTTGACTATCCTTCTGCTTCAATCTCATAACTGTTTGATTTATGCTTGGGCTGGAATTTGAAACCCTCATGTGCGGGACCGAGGAACATTTCACTGGTTATTTGGTTAGTATCATGATTGTTAGGAAAGAACGATATAATGAGAGAAATGAGACATACCTAATCTTCATCCAGTCCATATAATTATCACTAGCCAACAAGGTTTCCAAATCATTTCGGCCTCTATAAGCTGGTGGACGATCTTGCAAACTAGGTGGTAAATGTTCCAAGATACCTGCGGGAACATATCGATGAGCGAAACTCAACCATTCCAACAAGAATCGTCTAGTTTGACCAACACCAATCTCATCCGATCCCCAGGCCTCAAGTCCGTAACGGGTGAATTTTTCTACATATTGTAGACGTTCCGAGGCGGATTTATCGAGGACTTGTCCCTTTTCAATTTCTTCAAAGAGCCATGGCTTGATGAGTGCACCACGTGCTACCATGACGGAATCAACGCCTGCATTTTGGATGTGGTCGAGATAGTCAATGTGAGAATAACAATCACCGTTACCGATGAAGTGTATCTTTCCATCAGGGGCATTTGGTAATGTACGGGCATCTGGTTCCATGACTGTATCTGTCAAATCATCCTTCTTTTGGTTGTATGACTTGACGAGAGCCGCACATTCTGCGATATAGCTCCAATCGGCACTTTTGGTATATCTTTGTTGTCTACTACGACCGTGAAGAGTGATAGCAGCGCAACCAGGAGCACCAAGTCTTTCGCGTGATTCAACACCTCCAAATGCTAAACGTTCAATGGTCTTAAAAGCATTAGGCTTTCCGGTCATTGTACCCATTCGAATCTTGGCTGTTATAGGAACTTCTCCTGAAACCGCGTTCATACCTCGGATCATTTTCTCTAATTTTGATGGTGCATCGAGTAATGCTGAGCCGGCTCCTTGTCGATAAACAAGTTCAATAGGACATCCGCAATTCAAATCAATTACTCGCAAATGAGGCACGAATCGACTTAGAACTTCAGCAGCTTTAATTGCCATGAACGGTTTGCTAGCCGAAATCTGGGTGCCGAACTTCAAGTCTTTAGAGTTGTCGTATTTTTGAACAATAGAACTCCTATCTGCGTTGACTCGTGGTGGTGCGATTTCGCTCTTGTGTGCCTTCATTAATGCCCACTCTGATTTTTGACCTTGAAGCAAAGGTATCGACATTGCCATTTCCGAGTAAGTAAGTTGTGCACCAAGCTCCACACAGAGCCTGCGAAATGGGAGATTGCCTTGAGTTGTGAGCGGCGCAAGAACAGGTGTTTCGGGGCCAAAGTAAATTCGTCGCTTCTCAGATGGGAGGAATGGAGGCTCCACATATCGCGCTCGATTCACTTGCTTTTCTTCCTCAGTCTGATCCTTCTTCTGGTCCTTTCTCAGATTACTTTGTCTGTTGACTTCCTCTGAATTCTGATCCAACCATGTTGTGTAGAGATCGGATTTCTCCATGGGCGTCTTCTTTTTAGCCAGGTCAATCTTATCTTTAGTGCTGATCACATTCACGACGCTCCCCAACGCCTCTTCATACCCGAGTGTTGTGTCATCCATGCGATCTGAATCATCTATGAGGACCAACTCCATTCTACCATCCTCTCTTTGAATCTCTTTCGAGTGACTTCCTACAAAACGACACTTCCAGCCAGCCAAACATGTTCCATTGTCTTCCCAAACTGGACATTTTGAATTGAATGTAGTTAAATCCGCTCTCCTTCCTTCGGCCAAATACTTCCTAAGGTTGTGTTCGCATTTACAGCTATCTCCAAAACTGCATTCCTTTGGCGAGAATTCTGACGAATTCGATACGCTATTGCAAAGTTTGATCTTGTCACCCCAGGAACCAAACTGGCGATCCTTGTTTTGACCCTTTGCCTTCTTTTTCTTCTTGCCTCCATTGTCCCGATCATCCCCGTGGGTGTTTCCTTCTGCAGCATCGTCGTTTTCTGCAGGATTGCGACCATCAGTGGCCGATCGACTCCCGGCTGGCTGAATCAAATACCTAGAAACAATTTAGTAAGGATCGAATTAGAAGCGCAATTGAGTTATCGGCTCTAAAATATGGACGAATACGTATGATTGTTGACTTACTCGGCCTTGACAGGAGCAATGCCTCTGATTCTATCACGAGAATCTGTTGCAGTAGGTTTGTGATTTTGCTCTTCAATTCTGACTCTTTTTGCGGATGGTTCTCCATTGTCCACAGCATCCCCATTTGTGCCATTTCTCTCTACCTTCTCTGCCTTTGTGACTGCTGAATCTTCTGGAAGAATTGGTTGTGGTGGGTGTGCTTCCTCCAATTGTTCGCCATCCAATGGTCGTTTCAAGGACTGAGAAGGGTCCACTGGATTGGGGATTTCGTCGGCCATAGTAATTTTCAATTATCGAGAAACAGTTTGAACAGTTGGTAGATTCTTTCGATCAATCCCTCAAGTTGATATCGATGTGGGATGGAATTGGGATGTTGATGTCGAAAATGTTCCCGATTCGCCTTGTCAAAGAATGGCAATCGAGCAAAAAAATTGAGGGGAGCTTTATCTTAGCGTCTTTTCGAGATCTACAATTACCCTACCTATGTAAGAGTATTGCAGCCACAGATGTGTGGCTGAATGTCTAGACCGAATCAACAAGTGGCTGAAGCGTTCATGGCCAGCTAGTCGAGATTGGGCTTATTATTCTGAAACATAAGTCTGTTTCTGGATCCAGTCGTTGTCCCCGTTTCCTTCCCTCCCCACAGTTCAGTCAGTCCTTCATATGAATTCGATTTTATGATTGACTTGAGCAAATGTTATAACGTTCCATTGATATCATTGTCTTCTGCTGGGTAGAAGAGACAATCTCTATCTTCCAACACAGATCAGATAGATGGCTCTTCAATCGTGGCTATAACTAACCACCTCTTGCCGACATCTGTATTCGGTCAATCATTTCGTTCCATTCTGATATGCATAGACATATAGTAAATCTCCACTGCCAGTGAAGGACAGCTAATGAATCAGGGGAGAAGAACTCCATCTTTCCTGCGACATTCGAGACGTTTACTGCATATTAAACTTACTGTACTTAAATCCAACCGCAAAAAATCATCAGCCACGACTGAATCCCTTCAAATCTTAATTTTACTTCCCACACGTCGCATTTGCAAAACAATGAAAACCTCATTTTGTTGTTCAAGTAAAAAAAGGCGCATTTACAATGGCTGATTCTCCCAATGACAAGACTCGTCCCTCTTTGAAAACGAAACTCGTACGTTCACAGAAAATCATACAATTATCTCCAACAGAGACAAGACCTCAGGATATTCCTGAGGATTCCGAACCACCACCGCCATCTCGAGACAATGCGCCTCCTCCCCCTCGCAGTCATACCCCGGGACATCTATCAACTAAGAGTCAAGATAGGCGGAAGCAGAAATCTGATCTAGCTTTGCGCCAGAGATCACAGTCATTATCGCAAAAGGAATCCTCAGCTTCATCTATCAAAACAACGACCGAGAAACCACCCTCGCTACATCATGTTAGCAGTACACCAATTCCCTCGGAGAATCTTTTGTCACCATCCGATGATAGTAACCCAGTACCGCAGCTTCCCAAAGATGATACGCATAAACCCATTAATCTCCGTTCCACATCTGCCATAACACCGAAAGTACCTTCCTCCGCAAATTCGTCTTCTCCTGTACCGCCCGCACAGCGTCCGCCTCGTGGGCTTTCTATTCCGTATCCTTCATTGCCAGATCCTAAACTGGCACCCGATGTCCTTCCTGCGCCAGCATCAGGAATGTACTGGTCTCGCGCCCCTGTCTCGGGCTCGTCCCATACATCTTTGCGGGCACACACAACCACACTTATTGGTTCCAACATCTACGTTTTTGGCGGATGTGATGCACGTTCATGTTTCAATGAATTATATGTCTTAGATGCCGATGCTTTCTACTGGTCTACACCCTTTGTTTGCGGAGATATACCTGCTCCTTTACGAGCAATGACGTGTACAGCTGTGGGAAAAAAGCTGATAGTGTTTGGTGGTGGGGATGGACCTGCATACTACAATGACATATATGTACTCGACACATTAAATTTTCGATGGTCAAAACCGCGAATATCTGGGGAGAAGATACCAAGCAAACGAAGAGCTCACACGGCATGTTTATATAAGAATGGAATATATGTTTTTGGTGGCGGAGATGGGGTGCGGGCATTGAACGACGTGTGGAGGCTAGACGTTGCGGATACAAACAAAATGTCTTGGAAACTCGTTTCTGCTCCGACGCCATCATCTGTCGATGATAGAACTAAGCCAAAAGCTCGCGGGTATCATACGGCCAATATTGTTGGATCTAAGCTTATTATATTTGGTGGATCAGATGGTGGGGAATGTTTCCGAGATGTATGGGTATTCGATATTGAGACGTCGACTTTCTCTCCGGTCAATATTTCGCTTTCATATCCGCGATTGAGCCATACTGCTACTATTGTAGGAAGCTATCTGTTTGTGATAGGTGGACACGACGGCGTTGAATACTCAAATGAAGTGCTACTCCTAAATCTTGTCACCATGGCTTGGGATAAACGGAAAGTCTACGGAGAGCCCATCAAAGCTCGCGGCTACCATGGAACAGTACTTCACGATAGCAGACTTATGGTAATAGGAGGCTTTGATGGGGGAGATGTGTTCGGAGATGTATGGTTGTTAGAGCTGGCGGTGCATGCGTATTATAGTCAAATTAGTCATTTTAGCATCGATGTTTAGCGATAGAGTTGGGAAGGAGGAGCGGAAAGGAAAAGGTGTTTGTGGTTTTGTCTTTATCTTGCGAGCGTACGAACGATGTCATGAAATCCGTATGATTAATATAATACCATGGTTATCGATCATTACTTTCTCCACTTCGAAAATGCCGTATTCATCTATGCTTCAAAAAAATTCTAAGATGGACAATTTTCTCGAATCCTGATTTCTTAGCCTCAATATAATGTTTGTGCAATACATCTGGAGTTACACATGAATTAATCCGTTTGAAGCCTTCTAGGCAATTTTAAATGGTGATGTTTTGACGGAGGAGAAAGCATGCAGGTCGCCACATTCCGGTAATCAAAAATTTCAAACGTTCTTCCGAAGCCTTGTAGACAACTTAAATGGTGATGTATTTAAGGAGACACGATGCAGGTTGCCAGGTTCCTGCCAAATGAAAGGCTTCAGACGCACATCTGGTCTGAATCTATTACCTTTATCGTACTGTTGCGTATTTCATTATGCACGTCTGTTTCGCAAACTCTCGTGGAGTGCTTTTTGGATGAGAAGGTGCGCAGTTCGCCAATCATTCCTGGAGCTTAAAGAGAGCAGCCTGGCAAGACCTCATTAAATTTCAATACAAACACGAGTTTACATTGATTTTCTGCTTTTTTCCATAGTCTATCTAAATACCACTCCTAGCATTCCTTCGTGATATTACCAAAGAAGTCTGAGCTGTTTAGGATGGCTATTCTGAAATCTGTTCCTGGCATTGAAGTCAGTATCTGTGTTGACAATGAACCGCTAATCGAACACACCGATCGAAACGCGAAGGCCGAGCAGAGTACCGTCTTGAAATATGTCGAGGTGGTGCCAGACAAGGAATTCACAATCAGAATCACTACTGATAAAAGCTTTAAATGGACTAGTCCGTACATTGTTCTAGACATAATGGTTGATGGTATGGAAATCAGAACCCTTCCGATTGGCCGCCAGGAGTTCGAGTAAGACTGCCAAGCGTCTTCATCACACGTTCACGAGTGTATTGGCTCGTACGGGATCGAAAATGAACAGGAGGTAGTTAGCCCTTTCAGATTCTCAAAGCTATCTGTGTGTAAGCATTTCTTCCAATGCCTCCCATTGATATGTCTCCTGCTGAAAACATTAAAAGCCCACAGCGAGGAATTAAGAGACGAGATCGAAGATGATTTATCGCGCTTCAAGAAGACGGGCGAAGTAAAAGTCGGCCTTTATCGGGCAAAGTCTGTCAGAAAGCTGTCGGCAACCCAAGCGCGCAAGCATTGCCCGAATTTTTGGAAGCAACCTGAGTTGAACGATCACTTGATCAAAGACGTTCATTGGGACGCGATCAGTGGACGTTTGGAAAGCCAGTCCCATATTGCAACGTTAGTACACGCATGAGCAGTGCTCTAGACTTCATTGCTAAACAGTCCTTAGCTTGGGACCTGCTAAGCCCGCCGTTGAAGATCCATGCATCAGGGCTGTGTACGACGTGAAATATATGGATTTCGATCGATCTAGGTCCGTTAAACCCCAGGGAGTCTTCAAGTTGAGATATCGATCTAAAGGTGCAGTTTTCTCTATGGCCCCTCCACAAATGTTCTACAACTCATTGGTTCATAACCTCTCGTAGAATCTCTTAAAGCCCTTCTTGTTATCCGCTGGGATGATGCAGCAATCAAGAGGGAGCCTATGATCAAGATCGAAAGCGACGACGAAGACATGGTCGAAGATGTGGCTGAATCGGTCATCAAGCGAGAACGCGATGAAGATTTGATCGAGTCATCTATGCCTGCTAACAAAAGAGCTCGATCGAGAAGAAGTAAAAAGTAGTCAATACATAGCGATCAGTTGTATCAAGATGTGAGAATTGCGGGGCATGAAAGCTTAGCAATAGCTCTGCCTCGTTTTCTGTCTTGAAGTAGGATTTCCTTTGACGAAAAGGCTATACATAGGTATCAGCAAAAGACATTGCTAAAGCAGTATTCATCCCATTTAAATTCATATCTTTCATCTGTCAATAACAAACCTTCCTCAACATCCTGGAAGAGGTCCACCTACAATCCTCATCCCCATCTACATCCCCGCACTTCATATCGATACTGTTCAACACTCCACGAGCGTAATAGGATATTTAAATTTACCCTATATAAACCCCAGAGAAATACACGAGATATCAAGTAAGCAAAAAAATTAACATCATCCCAATCTACAAGCTGATATGGATCTCCATATAATATCGATTAAAGTGAACATAAAAGTTGACCTACATACAATGCATCTCAGAATATCACATCACTAGCCAAGATTTCATCAATATCGCATTCCCTTTTGAATAATGAAGATATCACTCTTAGTTTCACTGTGAGTGACTTTGTCAAGTATCTCGATGTGCGAATAAGCTTTAGGTATGCTTGTAGGCTTATTCAGGGGTAATGGCCGTGCACAGTGAGATGCCTCGTTTATTATTCCTTCTTACCCAACGAATATTATAACGTCACTAAATATTTGAATCACTAAGAACATGCATACCTTTGAATACATCACCTTTAATCACAAGACATTGGCATTCATGTTTAAAATTGGATCATAAATAAGTAAAAGTCAATTGACTCCCTGTCGATCCAAATAGCAATCTTTCCAACGAGGGTCTCATGAGATCATTGAGTAAATGGATACCTTCTATCTACTATCACAGATAATAATACCTGGTAAGCTCCACTGCCGTAGTTCTTCATTGAATCCCACCACAAAAAGAATATCTTAACCCAACCATTGAAAAATCTTCGAACTCCTTGCTGAAAGACATAATGCATGAGTTCCAACTCAGCCCCCAAATATATTATGAAATGATACTCTTCCAAGCACCATGTTATCCAACCATACTATCCAATTATTTCCTGAATAAATTCCTCTTATTGTAACATCCTCAATTCTATCCATGATACCCAAACTCGACCTAAATATCTATATGCTCGTCTTTCATACCCCCCACCCCCAATCGTAATAATGTTTTGACACAACCAATGTAATGGATGGCACTGGTCATACTGCGTGCCAATTAAATTTAATTCCACCAAGAGTCTCTAGTGGAATAAAATGGTAGTAGCACTGCGAATGAAAATGAATAGGCGAGCTTAGTGACTTCGATAAGAGAAATAGGGTTCATAATGCTTCGAATCATATTGATCCGTCTCTCACATCTGACCAATCAAATAGACATGGTCCGCTTGAATAACATCATCTGACATCTCGTGAAAACTCGTGCTCAGCTCGTAGTATATATCATCAAAATGATCCGAAAGGCCTAGGAAATCTTCCTCGCTGAGAGAATCATCCTCTGTGCCATTGCAGTTTCTGGCCGTAGTTCCATCTTCTTGATGAGGAAATATCTCAACTGACTCGTGGAAAATTTCATGCGACTTCAAATTTGGCATTCCATGGGGTGAGTCGTCGATTTTGGTGCTTGTTGAACAATCCGAATCGACGGCCAAGTTCGTAGAAATGGGAGACAATTCAGCTTCATCTGAAATGTGTGTAGCTGAGTCAGTCTCAGCAACTACAACAGCATCTGAAGTGATGTCGAGAGCAATAGCAGAGGAGTCAATCGGACTACCACTTGAAGCAGCAATAAAAAGCTCTTGAGTATTGTCTGGTTGTTGTTCAGACAATCCCTGATCATGTTTTGCATTTTGGTCATTAGACTTTGGTTGCCTAGAGCAATCGCTATCCTCGCTATTGTGCTTTTTCTTGTGCCTCTCACAGCTTTCATCAGAATTGATATCGAATATCTCGGCCTCGTCAATACTTCTTTTCTTGCCCTTTTCTGCGCTGTCAGATAGTTGTGACTCTTGAGACATGATTCTAACTTGATGGGTAAGGCCTCCTTGTGTTTCAAGGTCGTCTGACTTAGATTGGTTGTCAAGAAGCTCAATGAAACCATTACTTGAGCCACTAGTATCACTAGGACTGCTGAATATGGATTGTGCAAGACTAAGGGCTGGAATGTTGGCGAAGTTGGAATCATTCATTGTGGCTTGTGAGAGACCATGAGGTCTTTGAGGCATAACTTCCATACCGTCCAAATCGATGTTTGATGGTGGGAAGGGATATTCGATACTGTATTGTTGTTGTTGAGAGTACTGATTTGTATATGGCAATCCATTTTGTGAAACCGTTTCCCCATCAAATTCTCTAATTTGTGGTACTATGCATGCATCGAACTGGCCATACGAAGGCGTATCATATGGGTAAGAAGAGTTTCCAACATCAAAAGGGCCTGTTGGCATTTGCATTCCATTTATACCTAGACCTGGTAAGCCTTGTGCATATTTCCCGTAATTTGTTGCGTATGGCGAATCTATAGGCGTTACATGGCCGTAAGACTGAATTTGGTGCGTGTCTGGACCCATTTGATTCCCATAAAATTGATACATAGTACCCGATAGTGCGTGCTGGGAATACCCTGGAATCCCACCGCCATTATGCATGTAAGCATTCATTCCCTGACTGTTGCCCATTGGTTGTCTCGTTGAAGATGAAACCTCTACACCAGGATACCACAATGGATTCGATCTAGTCGTTACGGGGTGTACCTGTTTAGGTTGTTGTTGATGACTTCCAGTTCCAAGTGAGCTACTTCCATGTTGTTGTTGTTGGTTGATATTAGCTAGCAGAACACTGTGTTAAAGTTAGTTTAATATGTGAACTCTGTTTAGTAAGACAGCACATACGTATTTTCATGCTCTCGTCCATATGATTTAGCGAATGGTCCATTTGCACTCATGCTCATGGTGTGAGATCTATTGGGAGTAAATTGACCAGCTTCACTCCTGTTCCAATTACCGCTTCTTCTAGGTTGTGGCTGAGTGAGAGGACTCCCCATTGGCATTGGTGACATCACGTTCGAACTAGTATTACTAGAGCTCCCTGGGGAACATCGTCTTTGGGGGGCTATAGTGTCATTCCGCGGATTCTCAAGTATGTTTCCACTTGTGCTATCTTGAGCTCGAGAAACTGAACTGCGTAGTCGCTCAATGATTTCTAGAACTTCTGAAGAGGGTTGTGCCCTAAGAAATTAGAGGATGGTACACGTGAAGGTGAATTGATAGAGACTTACTCCGGTTTCTGAGTACGAGCATATCTAACGCTCGCCGCATTAGGTGTATGACGCAAGTCCTTAACATTCTTCTTGCAGAGAAGTCCTATTGCTTCATCCGTAAAGAACCTGCCTGGTTTGCTTTTTTGGGCGGAAGGCGGTGAGGGGATTTTGGATGCCAGGAGAACAAACCAAATCCCGTCTTCAGTCCATGTTTTCACACCTACCATCTTGCCAGTTGACAACCGATGATGTTTAAATCCAGAGGTCAAGTTTCAAATCGTGAGATGTAGACGTATCCGCTTCAACTTTTCTGAATGGTGAAAGCTGTTCAAGGTAAGTTAGCGCATACACTGGACAAATGTAAACAGGCAACAAATATTCCAGTACCTCTTTTTTCCTTCTGGGGTTTGACATCTCTAGTCGACTCACCACTGCTTTGATCGATTTTATAGGATCAGATTACGAGTATCCGTTTATTATCGTTGCTGTTCACGATCTTGTAAAACCTCTCGAGATAGAAAAGAACAATGAAGATGATATTATGAGTTGGCGGGAGCTCAGTGAAAGCCAGGCCTGTATGCGATGTATTTCCTCTTATCCACCTCTAGATCCTCTAGATGATCATTCAAGCCAGAAGTTTTGTACCGAGGAAGTTTGTGGCTTGGTATTAGGTCCTTGTCGAAAATATTTTGAAGAGTGCTTGACAAAGTGAATTTGGTCTCAAGTTTCCAAAGATAATGTTAGGGATCGAAGAGGCGTATTGTATGTAGTAATATTGACTGTAAGGATGAAAGAGAAGAGTTTTCGAAGGTTCGATTTGGAGGAGTTTAAATATGAGAAGATTGATGGAAGAAGTGGTATTCGCGGGACATTCACAGCAATAGACGTAACCGAAAGCCAGTTTTCGTGGATTATTCAAATATTGAATGCTAAAAAACTGAGAAAATGTAAGTGATGATTCCAATATCGTTGAATGTAAAAGTGATTGTAAATTTTTGGATATAATGTTTCCCGAACTTTGCGAAACCGAAGTTGGGGGCGTAAAACACTTTGAGATGTCGATTAGGGCGATAGTGATCGCGGCTTCCTCCTGTATCTTTGCCGCAAAGCTTAGAAGAAAGTTGTAGTTGTGTGGATCCAGGAAAGAGGAGAGGGTATGATAGAAGACTCCAGGTCGGAAATGCCAGATTTCTTAATGCCTTGATATGCGGTTTGATGTAGAATTATTGGTTGGGGCGAGCGCGTCAAAGTAATAGATGATAATATCTAAAAAAGAAGTGCAAGAAATGTATGATATAAGAGATCAAAGTAGGATACTCGGCGTCTAATAACGGGAGTCAATATAGAAGGTATTTCGCAAGAGTTTTAAAGCCACAAGTAGACCTTCCCAGCTTATGGGAATGTACCCAAGAGATAGAAAGGAAGTTGCGGCTTGGAGGGTTGATGGATAAGAGGATGGAGAGTAAAGGAAGAGTCTTCCATGGAATGTCTTTTATGTTTAAATATAACAGAAGTGAATTATCCTGAAAAAAAACTAGAACCAGTAGATGATCTAAAATTTCAATTCACCCACACTTAATTCGGATGGCTTCTTATTCTGAGCCTTTCACGTTCAGACGTGATATATGATACTGGTAAGAATGGAGGCTCCGATAGTGGTTAGCTTGGGCACATTGGCAGTTTCATGATCCGTGGATGTTGAACTAAACTTTTGCTCTTTCTGTATGATGCTGTACATTCTTATTCTCATTTTTTAACTGGCAAAATAATTCCATCTTCCATCATCTATCAAGTGAAGAACTGGAAGAGATGCCTTGAACGCTTACATCATAGTATAGTACGTGAAATCACGAGGCTATATTTTAGTGGACAGTGACAGGGAAAGTTGCTGAGAATGGGAATACAATTTATCTATGATTGAAGAACGCATATCTGAATATCAAGAACAAGAATTTGAGGGGGATGGGGGCGGAATGGAGCAAATTTGAATCAATCTACAAAGCACATTGATTGTGCATGGTTTTACCATCATCATGCCAGTCACATAACTTTTGCTTTGCTACTATAAGATTCACAATTCATCTCATTTACGAAGAAGTCGAGGACATTAGCAGTTTGATAGATATAAAATCAAAGACATTTAGGAATAGATGCCGTTAAATCGTGCTTCCAGATGCCCCACCAGCAGTGTACGCCATCATCATCGTCATCTCGTTCTGAATCCTCCCAATCGTCGAAGCAGCGTTCTTTACCACTAGCCACTAATTGGTATCCTTCAATGGACATCAGTTCCTCAAAGTTATTCTTCATCGCCTTTGTTGCATTGTCTCTTAGCGGCACTGATACCAACACGCGACTGTCTTCACTATTCTTGAGGAACTTCGGGATAACTCCAGCAAGAAGAGGAGGGTGGTGAGAATCATAAAAGGGATCGGCAACAAGAATTATCTATGAATGTGATTAGATACTTGATTCATAGAAGGGAAAATATGCGAAGGATGTTCATCATACCTCAAACTTATCATTTGGGTTTTGACTAAACACCACGGAGTGTTTTGCGTCACTCCAATCTAGGATTGCTGCACTTGCTTTATCTTCAGAAGTGTGGCCGAAACCATTTTTCTTGAGATTAACATCCAGGTTTGGAACGATGTCAGGAAGATCAGTCAAGACGGTGGTCTTGTTCCAGAGCATAGTTGCTGTCAATCCAAGAAGTCCAGTACCAGCACCAAGCTCTAGGATTTTCCCTTCGTTGCTGGCATCCTGTCTCGAGAAGTCTCCTTGATACATCAGATCCCTTTCCACGCTCGAGTTACTGGCCTTCATAGTGTCTCCTACTATCACGGTATTGCCACTCATTCTCGTGGTGCCGTTCAATGTTTCGTCGCACCCCATGGTCAACTGAATCTCTACTGTTGACTCACTTTCCACAGTTTGACTATTTTGTAAAGTTGCAAGCTCTTGCCCAGTCAAATCACTGTTGGAAAGTACACCGCTAAAATAGAGGGTTCCTAGCTCTTCCAACTTCTTGGCCATTACGAAGGAAGTACCCCATGTTTTGAGACCCAAACTATCACCAGTGAGTGGAGGTTCACACAGTTCAATGATGAGGTCTTCTGAATTTCCAGATGTCGGAATGACCCAAGTGCGGATCATCTCTGGCATTGCTACATTCAGTCAGATGATTTCTTGATTGTGGTGTGAATCCCAAGTTCAAGCATCTAAGAAATTAGATTTCTTACCTGAACGTCCACAACGTTCGGCCAGTCTCTTACTAGCAAGCTCATGGATAGTTTCACATTGTTGTTCCCATTCCTCTTCAGATACTCCTATGGACAACCAATCAAGTTCGCTTCCAATGATTTTGGTCAGGTAACGAGATATGCCTTGAGCGTCGTCAGATTCTTGAGACCTCCTGGATTTTGAATTCCAAGAAGGCGGTGGAAGTTTTAGTAGTTCTAATACCTGCAAAAGTTCCAAGAATGATGGGCGTTTATAAAGTTGTGGGAGATCCAAAGCTATAGCAATGGTATCGTGTTAGCAACAATTTAAGTCATGAAACATCTGAAAATGGTTGAATAACAAACTGACAGTGAATAGGCTTATTTTCGTTGGTGGCCAGGCCATCTAGTGACTCATTAGAGGGCATGTTGAGTGTAGCAAGTGACTACGATAGTCAAAATTACCAACACACAACTTGCTGGATATAGGTCCGTTTGCAGAAAATGAGAGTTTAGGAGAGAACGATTAATATAACCTTGTTATATTTAAAGATCAGCTTCAAGGGGTATAGAAGTGATAGTGCCTGATCGAGGTAAGAGAACGCAATAACTTAAGTTCTATTCACCCTCCCAGATGGAGTTCTCTCTTATCACCGTCAAAGAGCTCTGCTTATCTCGAACCCCTTTTATACGCGACGAAATGGTCAGAGAACAGCGATTCTCAAGAGTTTCTGACAAGTCAAAACCACAAATCAAAAAGTGGAGAACTTGTTGCTTTTATCAATTTCGAATGAAAGTGAGCTGTATGTAAGTACTACTGCACTTTTGTACAGTCTCACCAAATCAGACCCGCATCTTGACCAAAGCTTTAACGATTAGATGAAATTTGTATGAGAAGAAAGATCTTTGATAGAATTCCCTAGCAACGATTGAAAGAGTGAATGAGAGAGAGGAAGAACGGAAGGAAGAAAAGATTTGCTGAAATGCTTCTGTTTTCTGACAAAGTGTGGGTCGTTTAATCCCTTTTCAGTTAAACCTTACTGTTTCCCTAGTACCTACTACTCCGTACTTTAATCGAATATCTGACCGAAGGATCCAGATCTTTCAATTGGCCTGTGGTTCACCGATATCTCTGGTGCAGCAAAGTTTCTCTCTACGTAAGCGAAGTAACAGATAAGGATTTGGCCACCTCAATACCTATTACCAGAAATCAAAAGACATCAGACATTAACCATAAATGATGAAGATACAAATTATCGCATTGAAAAGAAACTTGGTCAAGATTTCATTCCAAAATTTAGAGAAGCAGCGTGCTTCGCTAATCAAAGCCTCTGAAACATGTGAATCCCTACAGAACACTAACAAGCTTGAGGGAAGTCCCTTATCTCTTGAAAATCAGGTTCGCAGGCTCGTCCGCCTGTCAATGATAGAAGCACCTGGGGATGAAACTCATATAATTCACTAAGACTGTTCAAAGTGATATTAAATTACCTAGGTAGACTCACAACAAATAGATGAAAGACGCTCATAAGTAGTGGTAAGCACAGCAATAGAGACATAGAGACATGATGAAGCAGTGATATTACGGTTCAGAGATGATGACTAATCACACACGGGTATATTGAGTCAGTCACGAGACATGTGGCTGAAATTGCCCCAATTGGTTCAAATGACTTAACGTCACTCGAACGAAATTCGATCTTCAGGATGAAATCTAGACCACAAGGGAAGACTTCACAGTGAGAGATATCATCTGGTTCTTCCTAGCGATACTCACTAGAACTCACCATGATTGAGGGAATATTCTTTGCTCGTTTCCTTCCCCAGAAAGGTACATGCATACATGTATCTACCTTCAATACATACATTCACTAATATCTTTGCCAGGTACCAAAGTCGTCCATCAAAGTCCTCCAGGATGTATTGTCCCCGAACCTGATGTAGACAAACCACGTCTGTTCGACTTTGAAAAGCTGGCCGAATATATCATTCCCCGTCAAGCATTTTGCAATCGTCATGTTACAGTATGTGATCCCGAGAACAAATATCGCATTTTAGGCCACCCGGTTTGTATCAAAAATGAAAAATATGAACGCAATGAATTTATGTTCAATTTTTGCATCGTGACCAGAGTTGAGGTGGATAAGATTCCTTATGAAGCTGTGGTTAAACGTTTGGCATCAACATTTACGGAAATGGAAATTCAGAATGAGTATTTGAGTCAGGAGGGTACATTTTCATGTCAAGATCGAAGGTCTATAGCTGCGTTGTTGGAGATCATTAAGGAGGATTTGAATAATTACAATGAGTGCATGATTCCTGTTGGTATGTATCCTACGGGCCACCTAAGTTTGTGAGGCCTGTGAACTAACAATCCATGTAGATGATGCAAACACTATTAACATGAAGCTTTTCCCCATTCACAGACATCCACCCCCCATAAAAGCATGGCACGTTCCAATCTCCAAGATCAAATTTGCCGAAATCGTCGACGACACCTGGGATCTCACCATGAGAAAAGTAATCAAGCACATTGACGGCATCAAGGACGTCCGAAGAATCGCTCACGACGCGAATGTTGCTATGGATCTCACTAAAATAGCCTTGCAGCATCTTCTCTACTATGATTCCATTCTTATGCTCGATATTTTTCTCTTCAGCAACATCTACGCACCCACATCTGAAATGAACGATTTTGTAGCTGATAAAGATGGCATGCAAGATGAATGCGCAAATTACGTATACATCAATGGTCCTCGCCTCACAAATTTTCTACTCTATCGACTCTTCACCACTCTTTGTACCTCAAGGACGCTCAAGGAATGGCTCAAATTACACATGGACCAAGGCCTCAACGTCCTCAATTATATCGATGTCCGTCGTTTCATTCAATTCGGTGTCATAAAAGGCCTCATCTATCGCGTACATAGGTATGCAGTGTCTTCCATGTATTTGACATCGATCGCCTCTAGACAAGCAATTCATATGGATAGAAGAGATGATGCGCTGCGGAAATACACCGACGGGTGTCATTGTTTTGACCAAATAACCACGGTGCTGAATATTGGAGAAGCGAAAATTATGGAACGACTGCGCAAATTTCCAAAGGGAGATGTGGAGGTTATTTATCGATGAGACTGCATCGATATTTCGATCATCTCACATTCAATACACGAAAATCAGAATCTCTCACGCGTAGCCTGGTGGTCATAACATCTTCTCAAACATTTCATTCGCAACTATCCATCCATCCAATAATGCAATAATCTGCCACAGGAAAAGCGCAAATACCTCTCTCACGTACCAAAATAACCACATTCACTCAGACAATCTAGCGGAACCCAGGGGTCATTTCCCCCACAATACTCCCACCTAAAGTATCGCGCTTCATCATTGTTGAATCGTCCATAGTATACAAGGGACGAAAGCATCATGATGAAAGATCACCGCCACAAACAAATAGTGCATGAGATTCAGCTGTGCTATATCATTATCACCCCTTCCCGTATCATTGTGCCTGAAAAAACGGGACAAGCCATACCTCAATTCTATACAGCAATTGCCCAAGAGCTTTCCTCAATACAGAATCAGAAGACCTCTCTACATTCATCTACTGATGTTTCGGCACGGGGCGAAGACTGGATGGAAGATTATTCTACGCGGGGCGATGAAAAGAGGAAGGGTCCACCACCGAGGACAGCTAAATGAGATCGAGGATATAGCTCTCCCGCAGGAATTGATAATGAAATAAATTCCCAGAAACCCCACGCAGGATGTACACGCACAATTTCGAACGCCATCAGATATGCAAATACCTCCTAACTACTACCTATGTATTACCCTCACTCCCAAATCATATCAGCACCCAAGAATCATCACATAATAATAATATCATATTCTATTCCATCTTGCCCTGTAACTGCAATACTAACATATTACTCTCCCAACAATTTGATTGAAAATATCTTTATCTACGTATCCAGCGACACCAATTCCACCACCAAGATGTCAACACAAAACATAATCTCAAAAGGAGCGAGCCCATTACCTTTTCCAACGCAGTATACAATATGAATCCATATACCTTGTATAAGGTTAAGTAGCAAATCCAAGTTTCCACACCAAAAAATCAAAATTAAAAAATGATTTAGCCCATTCCAGACTCCAGCATGGTCCAGTACGGTACAGTCATATACACATACATATAACAATAGCCGCGCGCCGATAACCCATATATACCTATACCATACGCATCCATCCATCCATCCATCCATCCATCCTACAATTCTGCAAGCAAGCGCCGATGGCCATTGGCTTCGCGCAATAATCCCATCTTCAACCCCACTCGTTCCCAAGTCTTTTCTATTTCAAGCCATAACAAAAAATAGAACCGGGCTACTCGTTCCTCATTGGTTCATCATGTAACGTGATGTGATTGAATATCTCGCCTATCTGTGAACGTCGCATGCATTGCATTGTTTCTATAATTAGGTAACTACCGGGGTTTAATACCAGAGATGCTGGAAAGTTTTGTTTTTGAGGCTTTATTATGATTTATGATACTTGTAATTGAGAGTAGCGGGAAATGGCAATGCACTTCATATGAACGCGTGGAGATTGAAGGAAGGAACTCATGGGGATGGATTCTACGAAAATCTGAGAAGTAAATATATTATAAATTTTGAAGTATGTAGAAGTATGTTAAAATCCACAAGCATATATAATATCCACAGGGCGAAGAGAAAACATTTCCTTCTCGCGCCGCAACGCCTTACAGCAAGGGTATCAAAAAAAAAACACAAAATATAAAACAGCCTCCCAAATTCCCCTTGCGTCGTTGATTTCGTTCTCGTTTTCGTTCTCGTTCTCGTACAAGTTATGCCATTGAGAGATAGAGACATGGGTAAAAGGAGGTTGAGCAATATCTAGCTGCATCTAACGTTCCAATACGGACCGTCCTGCAATGTTCCGGGGACATTGGCATCGGCAGAGATGATATGATCAGTGTGAGTGAAGTTGGCCAATTGAGACATTATCGTCTTCTTTAACGTCACATTCAGAGCAATGGTATTGCTCGAGTCCCTTGAAGCAGTCTTGTACTTTGTGACACCAAAAATCTAGCATGTAAGCTATAGCCATCATGAGGCTCGCAGCAAAATGGCAAAATTCCAACGCGGCCTATCTTATGGGACATAGCGACTGGAAATAGATGCAATGATGGTCCTAAGATAAAGCATCATTTTCAAACCGAGATGCTGACACCCTTTCGTGAATCAGCTTCATCAACACGGAAGCCAAACACCATCCTGAATAAATCTCTCAAAAATGTGTATTGTCCAGTCCTCATCATCCAACTGACACTCTTAGCGAGATCATTGGCTGAGACTTTCTTTCCTGGCGGCGGTAGTGAGCTTGGATTTCTGAAGGTAGGGTCGCTCAGTACCAGGTTTCGATATGATGAAAGTAGATTTGTTTGCGCTGGCGATGGACCAAAGGTACCAGTCGGCAGTGCCTTGACAAAATTTTGAAGTGTCAAGGGTGAACCTTTGGACGAGATCGCAGTTCTTGAATATCCCACATTCATTGAAGCTTTCAAGATAAGTATCTTGAGCCGTGTCAAATTTAGATCCTCCGGTTGGTTTCCGTTGGTTACCGTGCTAGCACCACTTTCTTGAGAATATCCTGAAAGTGAAGATGCGGCAGATGACCATCGCGGTGGTCTTTCTGAACCTAGAACCATAATATTTGGAATGTTTGGCGAGTTCTCCTCTGGTGTGATGGGGGTATCTTCAAAGTCGGTTGTTGGGGTTTCAGGAAGGATGACATATCTTGTAGGTGTATGCTCTTCAGGATTCTCTGATAGCGAAGCTAGACTACTAGACTTGGTATGTGAAGAGCGAGACATTTGATCGGATGATGTTCTGAAAGTCGTTTGGGATGGGCGAGGTGTACCCCTCTCAGGACGAACCTGTGTCCAACCTTCTCGGAAAAGGTCACATAGTTCCCAGCAAGCTTGAACAGCAGACCCAAGAAGCTCTTCATCTGCCATTTTACCTTCTCTTCTGTTTTGTCGAAGACTGAAAAGCATTTCAGCAAGACTCCAGCAAGCTCGGAGAAGAGAATCTGTCTCTTCGGCAAGTTCACTTCTTTGTTTCATGAGACGATGGCATAGCGTTATGTAAAAGTCCAGAGTTCTTTCCCGAAAAGCTTCCGGTAAATTGCGATCGTGTGTATTATACAAGTGGTTGTTCAATTCGAAACTGACCCTCAATACTGAGTCAGCCACCTCGTCTTTCTTTTGGCGCACATCAAATAGAGATTGGCAAAAATCTCTACACAGATCCAGTGTTGGCCTAACATGAAACTCGTGATCTTCGTCGCGGCTATCGTATAATTTCTTGCAGAGCTTCCAACAACATTTCCAAGCTTTTTCGTGAGCATCCCCGGATCCAGAAAAGCTAAATATCCTTTCACGGTGAATAGAGCTAAGACTAGCCAACGTATTGCAGAGTGTCCAACATTCATTAAGCGCCGTCTTCAAGGCTGATACTTCCTCGTCCGCATTATGAACTGTACGAGCATCGAAATCGTCTTCCGAAAAGTCCTTGGGAAGTTCCTCGGGAATCCCTACATCTAGTGAGTAAGGAATCTTTGTATCTTCTTCTTCGGTTATACCTTCAAGACTACTCGGCCGAGATGGTCGTCTCTCTTCCGAAAACGACTCGACTTCTTGACGGGTTTGCGCTCGAGGTGTTTGATTTTCCAAACCAAATTGCATCGGCTTAATGTCTGTAGTGATCGGTGGAGGTGAAACTGGACCTGGCTCGATAGACTATGTCGTTGTTAGCTTGGCAAAGACGTAAAATATAAGGGGGTTTACTTTATCCGCATGCTCAGCAACCTGGAGAATTTCTGGACTCATTCCTGGGCTGTTACTGGGGCTTCCACTTGGACTCGTTTTCGGACTGGTCTTCGGACTTGTCCTTTGATTAAACTTAGGACTGGTGCGAGGGCTACTTCTTGGACTACTTCTTGAACTTCTAGACTGCTGGTATGGAGTTGGTGTTGAACGATCCAAAAGTGCTTTCGCCGATTGTGCTGGGGTTGCATCACTGAACGGCTGTTATGAATTAGCTGTTAATTCTTCATCACGTAGCTCTATTGCTCACGAATTTTGCGTAGCCCTCGGGGGCGTGGATGACCGAAACAGACTCATCTTCGATGGAAGCACGAAATTCTTCTGGTAGATTTGTGCTGAGCCTTTTCAACTATTTATAGTATCAGCAACAATGTTTCCAACCGTGGTGATGTACCAACAGTAAGTTGCGAATCGGCTCTGGGTATATCCTCATGGTTCATCGTTTCATCTGCCACTTCATCATCCTCAATATCTGTGGTTGTAGTGCCATTTGAGGTCACTGGCGAAGGTCCCACCATATCACTCATTGGACTGAGTAGGTGCGCGCTGGCAGGAGAGAGGCCGTCCTCGAAAGGAGTTGGTTGGAGATTGGAGCCTGAGTAATTTCGCGCGGGCCTATATGATATTATTAGCATGGTCAGTTTTTGAAATGGTGCAACATACAGCGATTGGTAATATGGAGATCTTTGAATTGAAGGAGAACATGGTGAAAGAGAGAAGTCTGTATAGGGAGAGATGGCTGACATGACGTTGACAGGTGAGGCAAGCAATGGACTTTCTACTGCCATTCTCCTGATATTTTGAGGCCCCAATAAAAAGATAAGAAGCTCGCACACTTCATAAAAGATTGTCTAGGTGGGACCTCGAAGCTCAAGTATAAAGAAGAGATGGTAATGCTTACAACGCCAGGTTCTGGGAGGGGTTACCACTCACAGCTTCGGACGTTGGGGTGGATCAGAGAACACTGAGGCTGAATGGTGGAAAGTCTGGCGCGGATCAAGAGTTCCAAGCTCAGGGCTTTGGAACTGAGTTTAGCAGAAGTGTTGGCACCACAAGGAAATATACTTGGATCGTAAAGAGTTTAGTAGAATGAGTGGATGCGTGTAGCCAAAAATATTCAAAATCAATAACAAACCTTACACGCTCAGATGCAAAAGATAGGTAGGAAAGCGCTGTGCCGCAAGGTCACGTCCTCGGGGAGGATTTCGATATAAAGTGGTACTTTATTATGACTTTCGCGCGTGGACCTGGCATCGGCGGGGGTTGATTTTCCTTGTGGGGAAAGATGGAGCGAGGATGTTAAGGATGTTTAGGGTGTGAGGATGTGAGGATTACCATGTCTACAAAGTACCTGGCAATGCGTACAGATAAGAGAACGAACCCTTTTGTTTTAATTACGATTTCTCTTTCCTCGCATTAAGAAGATTTCATTGACTTGGTTGTTATCATTGTTATTGTCGCGAATAGATACATAACACAATATACGAGAGATGTACCGGTCCCAAAACAAACACATTCTTTGGTCCCTTGTCGCGATGAGTACAAAATCTGCAATGTTGAAGCGGGACAAGAAATGAGCATAAGAGAACAAACAATAGGCTGATAACGCCGTTCAGAAAAGGACTACCTAGGTAGGTACCATCCATCATGGCTTTCTCGATGCAAGAAGAAATCAAAATTCAACCAATCATATACGTCAATCCATGTCTTTTGGTCCTCCCCGCTTGCATATATGCAGACTACAAGCATGACGGGCGCTTACAAGTTTATTTTCCAGATATACTACATACCTGGCGAGCCTGGGTACTCTTGACGGCTTCCATTGTCTTGAAGTAGGCCGAGTATATTTGTATCTACATGAGATATACAACTTAGTGCTCAACTGACATGTCGTTGACTCCATTTATCCTGATCACAACGGAAGGTGGGTAATCTCAATTCGAAACATGAGAAACCACAGCAGCATGTGTACGATACCGGCAGCTAATCTCATCTTATCACACATTCGATAAACCGGAGAACCGTTTCCTGTTTCATATACCAAGTAACATCTTGACGGGAATAAAGTATCTCATGATATTCCATGTCTCGAAACTCGTAAAGTCGCCATGGAAGGATGAAGGGACAGGGAACAACGTCTATTGTCAAGGAACAAAAAAAAACATTGACAATCAATCCAACAGTTGCAAATCGCGAACCAAACGGCCGGGTCTATCATGACAGCAATAATAGCTTCAATTATACCCAGACTGGGTTCACTGCAAGAATCACTGCCAATATTTGAGCACTTCGGGACAAAGTAATAAGCATAAGCATACCCGAAACCACGGGAATATCATTAAAGTCAGTCATATAGGTCGGCCGGTCATCATCGCCCAAACAAAATTTACCAGTACGGGCGGAATGAATATCGTGGACTGGCTAACACGGAATCATATTCTCTATCTGGTGGTGGTCCATTCCGATGATAATGACATTATCCTAGTCCTTGTTGATACCTCTGTCGAAAGTTTTCTCTCTTCAAGGCCTTAGATCGATCGATGCAAAATCCCCAACTCCATGTTTGTTCTGATTCGACGAGTTTCTCGTAATTTTGACGACTTATCAAAACCAAGCAATACGCGTCGAAGTTTGATGCAAGTTTGCACCAACATGACTCCACCGCTTCTAGCCTTATACACACGCCAGCTTTTCCCATTCTCTGCATTGCATGAGGTTATAAGAGACCACTCATTGACTATCGCTCTTACAAAATGGCAAAGTCCTGGTTGGTAGAGTAAGCTCCTGCCGTCGGTGAATGCTAGAAATTTCTTGTTAGTGGCTTGTCAGATTTAAGTGCACTCCACATCAATACATCCCAAGTCCAATGCGTTGTACGTGCATAATAGAGAACCAGTTCCTTGGGACAACTTCTACCAGCGACGATCAAGTATTATTTGGGCGCCTGATGAACGTCTGATAGTGTTCCCAAAACAAACAACAATGCATGTACGAAAGTATGGTATGGTTATGTTGGAAATAATCCTTGATTCTGAAAATTCGATAATGAGCCGCAAATATTATCTCCCCACTCCTCCGTGTAAAAATTCAACACCGCTCGCAAATGTTTACTACACACCAATCACCGTTGGGGGTAGCCCTGGAACGCCCACGCCAAAATCTGTAGCATTTGGATTATGATCTCCAATCAACGCCTATACCATCTGCCTCACTGTCTGCTATGGTATCGTCTAATCGCATATCGCGCTTCTTCCGATTGAGCAATTGAGGTCATCCGAATCGAGTTATGTACGAGTAAAAGGTAATATGGCTGATTTGACTTATTAACCGTTCAAAGCGGCCTTTTTCGCATCTCTCTCCGCAGGATTGTATCTAACGAATCGGTCAGTAAATGAGGAAGCAAATATTCATCTGACATATAAATGCAGCTCTCCGCTTCTTTGTTCGTCTGCCACAATAATGGGAGTGATATTTCGTACCTAAGAAGTTTCTCGATGAGGTCGACATGGGTCATGATCATGCGACGGCAACAATATCTCTTTAAAGTGAGCTCATCCATAGCATCGCTATAACAATGTATTAGTATTGTGAAGCAATAAGAACAGTGTGTAGTGTGGTTCTCTAACCCGTCGTTGACTCCCTCGTCAATGAGCTTGACATATCGCTCCCAGATGTCTCCGGTAACCTGTTCTAACGGTTAGCGCACGACTCTCGCGCAAATGCTTGATGTAGTTTACCTTTCCGCAAGAGAAACAACGAACTGGAATGATCATTTTGATGTGTATAGGGGTAGATGTGAAGATCTGCGATGATGTTGTAGTTTCTAGGATTTAAATTGAAGTTCTGCGCGTGAGTTGATACCAAGAACTTTTTTCTTTATCGCCGGAACAACTATCGGTAGATCCTCGGTTACTAAATAAAAAATAAAAAACGTTCAGAGCTTCTGCCTCATATTTGCCAATCCGAACCTTGAACTCTTTTTGACTTTCAAGAACTTTTGACAACATAATGGCTTCCATATTGAAGCGCAAAAGAGTTCAAACAGAGGTAGCAGATATTCCAAAGAGGTCTAAACCTACCTCAGAATCTGCGGATACTTCTACCAAATTTGTCCAGAGCAATGGCGGGTTTGACATTTTTGAAGCGCTAGGAAAGGGAAAAGAATTGGCCCAGGTCAATGGCGCGCATAAAGATGAATTAGAATCAACAGAGGTTATCGATTTTGAGGATCTGTTTGAGGATGTGCCATTACAATCTACGGACTCGCAGGCAAAACGAGGAATGAAGCCGAAGAAGGAAATTTGGGAAAAGAAAATTCCACAGGCACCCAAGCCAGTGAAAGATCAAAGCTGGAATATTTCTGAACCTGTTGGTGGGCGTATGATTGATGCCGATCCTATTTTTACAGAAGATGAGAAGTATGACACCGATTACTCTTTGCGACGAGCTCAATTGCTAACTGAAACCAAGGTATATGATCTTAGCAACCCGAATGAGCCTCCTCATCTACTCAACCTCCGATTCTCTCCTCACTCGAACGATAAAATTCGACCACTCGAAACATCCTTTCGCTCACATTGTCGCATACGAGCTCTCCCCGACTGATTCTAATATTGTTTGGGCAGCCTTGTCCGATGGAGCCATATACCGCCTGGACTGGACTTCGGGAACTGGCAACGATCAATCCTGGAAGATTTCGTCTACCGGGTGCATACATATGACTGTCGCTTCTATGGTATCCGCTGGACGACGAAGAGATGTGGTATTCACAACTGAGCCTAAGAAGGACGGCGGCTGGCGAATTACTGCGAATGAATTGACCCAGCCTGGTTCGCCAATACAAACAGTCGCAAGAACCATATATACTTCAACAAACCCGATCAACTATCTAAAAACTGCCAATGGAGGCTCTGTACTTCTCGCGGCTTCTGGAAAGAGTATCTTACTTGGTTATGTTCGGAACTTGGATTTTGATACTACTGACAAGATCAAGTACGTATTCCGTATGTTTGATTCGACTGCTCCTATAATGTCCTTGGATGCACGAGTATATCCTAGAACAGGTACCGATGACAGGAATATATCAAAAAAGATTCCAGTTGTTGATGTAGTGGTTGGCGATGCGAAAGGATTCATTTTCATACATCGTGATTTGCTAGGCAATCTCATACAATCAGAAAATAAAAACTATGCATCCATGATCAACCTTGTACCGACAAGATTACATTGGCACAGAAGGGGTGTCCAGACCGTCAAGTGGTCTTTGGATGGTATGTATATCTTTCGCGCTTTACTCTCTGGCAACACCTGAACTGACCCGATAATAGGAAACTACATTATATCAGGAGGTAGCGAAACAGTCCTCGTGCTTTGGCAATTAGACACCGGAAAGACGCAGTTCTTGCCTCACATGACATCTACTATTCTCAATGTGGTCGTATCTCCTTCTGGATCATCGTACGGCATTCAGCTTGCTGACAATTCTGCAATGGTATTGTCTACAGCCGAGCTGGAACCGACGGCAAATTTTGCTGGCATCCAATCCAGCGTCACCCAATACGCTGAACCCCGAGCAGATGAAGTGCAGAGAGCAAAATCCCATTTCTATAAATTTCATGTTGTCCAGCGGACACCTGCTGTTATCAGTTCTTCAAACCCTTCTCATCTATTCCTTGGTGTTGGGCAGACTCCAGAAGTGCCATTTTACGAAGCTCCTGTTAGAAATTGTTCATTTTTACAGACCTATGACCTCAGTGCTGGGCACAATGTATCAAAGCAAGCCCTTGCAAGGACAAATGTCACCAGTATTAACGAGACACCAAACGCACTTCCAGTGTCGGAGCCCAGAGTAACTCACATCCAGAAGTCTCACGATGGCCTTTGGCTAGCTACTGTTGATGAGTGGACGCCATCTCACGCCGACCTCGATTTCGTAACTCACCAGGCTACAAACCCATTTGCTGAATTGAAACTGAGGCGCGAAATCTGTTTGAAGTTCTGGCAGTGGAAAGAAGCAGAGCAGACATGGGAATTGGTATCGCGAATCAATACTCCACACATGGCAAGTGATGCCGCACCTGGAGCCGGTCAAATCCTGGGTCTCGCCACAGATCCTAGCTCCTTGAGATTTTCTACGATAGGAGAAGACAGTGTGGTGCGAACATGGGTTCCAAAAACTCGAAAAAGAGATGGCATTGCAGTCAAGGATGGGAAGGGCAACGCTCTCAAAAACTGGCACTGCCAGCATGAAATTCAACTTGAAAAGTCTGAGCTTACAGATGACTATTTGCGTAGTACGCCATACAATGGTGCTATAGCCTTCGCGGATGATGGCTCGATTCTAGCTGCAGCATTTGGTAGAAACGGAACAGTTCACATGATCGATCCCGAACAAGGCTCCGTCACCGCTTCACAGCACGGCCTATTTGAAGGTAGTATCGTGGCCATGGAGATCTTGGGCAGAGATCTCATAACCCTATCCGATTCGATTCGTGTACATGATTTGGTTTCGGATCAATTGAGGTATAGCTTAAAGCTTTACAAATCTATCACACGCATGCATATTATACAAAAAATTGAAATGATGCATCTAGCCATCAATCGAAACAGTCGCACATTCGCAGTCGCTATTCCAATGAGACTTACCCCTCCGTCAGCAGAGGAGCTCAGAGAGCAAACTTTCCCGCCAACGTATTCTGGGTTCGCCGTTTTTGGTCAGGAAAGTCAAGTGCCACTGTTGACCGAGTGCTTCGAGACTGCTGTCTCGGCTATTATACCCACTGAGGATTCGGAAGGATTCTTGGTCCTCAACGGAGCTGCTGAAGTCCGAAATGTGATGAAGAAGGGCACTCAACCAATGACCGCATTAGCCCAATCAACTACTGAGCTTCAATTGGATGCGATTGCAGATGAGTCAACCGGTGATCTGCTACAAATGCTCGAGGATGTTGAGGATGAGCCGGAAGAAGCTGAACCTTTATCGCCTGCAGTTATTGAGGATGATGATGATACACCTGTTGTGACACAACAAGCACTTTCAGGTGTATTTGATATTGGGCCAGCATTTGCATTGCCACCCTTGGAGGAGATGTTCTATCAAGTGGCAGGATTGTTTTCTAGTAAACCTTTGGAAAAGATGGTATAATGAATTTTAATGGTTTCTATACTTTAAGTTAGCATAGCGAGGGCGGTTTATAAAACCTTGAGCGTTAGGGAGCTTTGTATATGGCTGTACAGAGCTTAAAAGTATTTATACCTTGCAGACTTCGGCGAGTTTTTCTTGACTTGGAATAAAATGTTAATATTACTTATCGATGTGCTTCATGATTTTTTTCTTCCTTTGTGAGGGGACCCTTCAGCGGTTACATATCTTACTTATCGTTAAGGGTCGTTTTATGCGGATCGCGCCAGATAACGAAATCACCCCGCACCCCACTTCCCATCTAAGGTTTATGGATTTGTTCACTAAGCACTGCTAGGAGTAACATCACATCATGTTACTAGCAAATTCGTAATACTTTGGATTACAGTTTCCATATCTATCTCATGATATAAATTTTCCATTTCTATAATGTAATTTCAATAGTTGATACTGTACAAAGAAACACCACTCACTATCACACATAATGTCCTTCACCAATATCCCAATCCTCGACCTTTCTCTCGCCCGATCCCCAGAAACTAAACCCGAGTTTCTGGATCAACTGCGCCATGCATTACTCGAAGTGGGATTTCTATATCTGAAGAACGTTGGGATAACCCAGGAATTAATAGACAATGTTATCGAGGAAGGGGTCAAGTTCTTTGACATTCCACTGGAGGAAAAGTAGGTTTTCTCTGCTCACTTCTCACATCTCATTTTATCAATATACTTGCATAAACACCTAATAGGTATACCAAACCTTCAATCTAACTCCATCCAGGACTAGAATCCAAATGGTCAACGCGCCCTCATTCCTAGGCTACTCTCCCCTCTCCGCAGAAATCACCGCGCACGCGATCGATCAACGCGAACAAATCGATCTCTCCACCCCCCATCCCATCCCTACTGCCTCCGATCCCCTCCACTACAATCTACTCGCTCCCAATCTCTGGCCCTCGCCCACCTATCTCCCTAATTTCCGCCCCGTTTTCGAATCATATATCAAACAAATGGGTGATGTATCCATATTCTTCACCAGTTTGATTGCAGAAGCCATTGGACTCCCATCGAATGCTTTTGAGCGATATTTTGATACCGATCAACAGCATAAATTAAAAGTGGTTAAATACCCGGATTTGAAGGAACTGGGTCTGCGTCCCGAACAAGAGGGTCAGGGAGTAGGACCGCATAAAGATTCCATGTTGACGTCGTATTTATTGCAAGTTGGGGATAAGAGGGGGCTACAGGTGCAGAATCTGAAAGGGGAGTGGATTGATTGTCCGCCGATTGAAGGGACGTTGGTGGTGGCTATTGGACAGGGAATGGAGGCGTTGACGAAGGGGGTTTGTATGAGTACTACGCATAGGGTTTTGAGCCCGCAGTATGGAGGGGGGCCGAGATATAGTGTGCCGTTTTTTCAGGGGGTGAGGGGAAGTACGAGGTTTGAAGAGTTGAATGAGGTGGGGATTGGGGAGGTGAAGGAGGAAGTTAGGCAGATGAGGAGAAAGGTTTTGGAGAGTGTGGGGGGTAGGTTGGACGATGTGGAGTTTACTTTCAGAGGGGGCGGAAAGGCGGATACGCTAGGGGAGGCGACGTTAAGAAATAGGATTAAGAGCCATGTGGATGTGGGAGAAAAATGGTATCCAGAAATTCTTGCGGATATAAGAGCAGAGCAAGAAGCGGAACGCAGACACAAGGGTTTGCCGGTTACTCCACCCGCAGAAACATAAGGTAGAGATTCATTGTCTCAAATAAATTCAATAGTCCAAATGAATCCAACCAAGGAAAGCCCCTTTTCGTTGTTGTATGGCGATCCGAACTACCTGACTAGTCCCGATCCATTACTCATCATGAGAAGTAAAACACACATTTGTAGATAAGAAGCAGATTGTTCTGGTTCAAATAGCTAGTCTGCTGGCTTCTGAATAAACGCCATTATATCTCCCGCCCATGCGCCAATCGCTTGTTCTTCTTTCGCAAATTGATATCAATCCTCTGATCATCGAAACCCAAAATTTTCCTCTACCACATCTGTCCAACCGTAAAATATCGTGTCTTCGTCATTGCGTCATACGAAATCGTAAGATGAGTCGCACAAAGAAGTGTCGAGAATTTATTTCTTGCCAACTAATGCAGCCTGCTGAGCCATAAACGATGGGAAGCAGAGTTCCGGTCCCTTTGAGTGCTTGTTCATGGCGTGTTCGGTGAGACTGGTGATAGGATATTAGTTTCGGTATGATTTGAATTCGGCTTGATGCTTTAAGAAAGAAAACGACTGCGGGTCTCCCAAAATTCCTTGCATCCTTTTTTTCCCCCTCTTTCTCTTCCTGCAGGATTCTCCCCGCCTCGACGCATAATTCCCAGAATACCTGCATCTTTTCTTTCAAGACTGACGATTGTGCGAAATGGCAAATATAAATCGCAAACGAAAAAACAAAATACTCACGCAGGAAGTCTAGTGGTCTTCAAGAAAGTGGTTTTGCAAACCTCGCATTGAATATCCTTTGCTGACTCGTTGACCTTCAGTTGCGACTTTGCGGTACCCTTCTCAGCATCTTTTTGATTGCGTGCACGCTTAGAAGCTGCTTTTGCGCCCTGTGAAAAGGTCAGGTCTCCAGTATTTAGAATGCGACGATCATAGTTCGTGGTCGAAAGCCGGGTTGAGAGACCCTTGGGTGGAGAATTTCCCTGGCCTTGATTGACCGGACAAGAAAAAAGGGTTATAGAGTTTAAAGGGGATGAAAGGTAAAAGAGATCAAACTTACATTACCTCCTCCCATTTTGAAAGATGTTTTGATTGAATTAAGAAGTTATTAAATTGTGTATATGTATGTAGATTGAAGGCAATCCGAGACTTTTTTGATTACTTGAAGAAGAAGAAGTTGGGGGGGAGAGAAGAGAAGAGGAGAAAAGTAAGAAGTTCTGGAACTTTTAATGCGTGTACCAATAATTTTTTTTGCTTACGGAGTCCGATAAGATAGGTGTAGAGTAGATTTTATTTTGTCTCATATTCTTTAATTCAACTTGTCAAAATAATAAATAAATTTTAATTTAATTCGCTTAACTACGGTGTATAATATGAATTAGCTCCATTTGAGTAATAATCTCATATTTTATCTAAGCCCAAAACAGCATTGACATTTTATCTAGTATTCACAACATAAATTCACGTCGCGTCGCGCATTCCCTCCTCGTCTCTTCTCTTTTTATTTTTCTTTTTATTTATTTCTCAAAATAAAAACTTCTATCAAATTCATCAATATAATTCGAAATCCCCTCTTGAATGCTTCGTTCTATTTCAAATTCTCTCAATCCTCTATTCGGAAGTCCAAGAAAATCGACAGTTGAACATCGTTTTGAGGGAGAGAAAGATCAGGAATTTACCATGTCTTCACCAAATGATATTACTCTTGCTGAGTTCAACCAAACGTTAGAAAGATATCCTGCTCTACTCAATAAATATGCAAAAGACAGTAAGTTCATTCTCTCCTTGATCGCTCACAAAAGATTGCGTTGTTGATTTAATATTCTATTTAGCAAAAGAAGGTGTTACTCCACTTCAAGAGCTCGATAGATTCAGATATGTTGAGGCGCCAGCAAAGTTTAAGGATGGTTCAAACACTTTCTCTATTGAAGATATCACGAAGTTGGTTGATTGGAAACTGTGAGTTTATCCTATTCGCATCATTTGCTTTATTTTCAATTGTTTTCTTTTTTCGCGATATTTTGTTTGTCGATTGGTAGGTGGAGAAGAGGCCGCGTTTTGAGGTCTGAAGCTCGGCTTTCCGGAGGTCTTTCACTTTCCCACCCTCATCGCAAAAAATTAAGAAAAAATATTTCATCTTATTTTTATTATTTCTTCGTGTCTGAAGTTACTATGTAATGTTATTTAAAGTTGTTTCGATGCTAATTTTCTATTTAGTCGACATGGTGCCTACCGTCCAGGTTTCTTGAAGAAGGTTAGCAAGAACTCGGATGAGCTTGTCGAGGCTGCTACCAAGGATGCTTTCGACTACTACAAGACCAATCCAACAGATATTGGCGTTGTCATCAACAAACTCAAGGATCCATTGATGGGAATTGGACCGGCTACTGCCTCCCTCATCCTCTCTGTTCGTTATCCCGATCATGTGACATTTTTCAGCGATGAATGCTTCAAATGGCTCGTCAATGATGGAGAACATAAACCAACACCAAAGTACAACGTTGCCGAGTTTGAGAAAATCCACGCCGCAGCTAAATCCTTGGCCACTCGTCTCCGTGTCAACCCTCTTCAAATTGAGAAGGTTGCTTTCGTCATTATCAAGGAAACCGAGCCAGTTCTCGTCCCAAGGGAGAAGCCCGCTCCCAGTGGCCGTGGCCGAGGTCGTCCAGCCAAACCTGATAGTGAAAAAAAAATCAAGGTTCCTTCCGGGCGTGGACGTGGCCGACCTTCCAGTGGTATCGTCAAGCCTAAACCTACGCCAAGAGTTCCAAACCCTCCCAAGGAGCCAAAAGCCCCAAAAGAACCTAAGCCCGCCAAAGAACCTAAAGCACCAAAAGAGCCCAAGCCTGCCAAAGAACCCAAAGCTGCTAAAGAACCCAAAGCTGCTAAGACCCCTAAGTCTCCAAAGGCAGGGGCTGTCGTTGAGAAGAAAATTCCAGGAAAGAGAGGAAGACCCGCAAAAGTGCCTGCTGCCGATGGTGATGTTGCGGAAAAGCCTGCTGCTACACCAAGCTCGGGTAAGAAGAGAGGAAGACCCGCCAAAGAGCAAACTAGCGATACTCCAGCATCTGCTACCCCAGCTAGCAAGAAGAGAAAGTCTGATGATGCTGGTACACCAAGCTCTGCTGGTCGTGGTCGCCCCAAGAAGATCAAGGCTTGACTTGGTTCATTATTATGGAGTATGAATGTTCAGAAGGAGGTCTTGTGGCACCGACTAGTGGTTTTCTTCGAAACCCCGTGTCTATGCAGGTGTTTTTTCCAGGCCCTTCAGTAGGCTTTGCATTACTATTTCTTTGCAAAAATGGACATATGGATCAGTGATAGCGTTGGGTTTCGCGCTGAGCTTTTGATTTTTGCTTATCATTGGCGTTGGGATGGAGATATGAACGGGATGGACGGGATGGGTAAATTTGTTCTATTTTCTCTTTGGCTCGGGTTTGTATGATAACACAATATGGAAACAGCATCAATAGTGCAATAATGAAATGTTTCTTAACTTTTTATTTTATTTGAATTTTTGAATGCGTGTATATGCCGTGCTGGTTACCTGACTCGATGTGATTGAAACTATGGCATATCGAGTTCGCAAATTGATGTCTACAGCTGGGATAACGTGTATATATATTTTACTCTGGCTTAGTCTCTGCAAAAATCAACACACATCATCGTGTTTTCCTACACAACGTAGAGGAGGATTCCATTGTGATATTCGAGACACTAGAAGCATCTCCACGGAGCAGCGGCATACGACATAGATGTAAGCCCAAATTTTGTCTCGACAGGTACAATCTATTGGCCTTACCAGAGTGTTGGTCCATCCTCTTTCAAATATAAGCACAAAATAGTCCAACGGCCTCGGACCTCACGTCGTCGACTCATACGACGCTATTAGCTGTTGAATTCCCATACTGATAGCTCCATTTATGTCTGCAACGGCTTTGAGAACTTGTTGTACATGTCATGTCATATTTTAGGGAGTGCAGGATATGCGTATTGTTGCACGTCGTAAGGTTGGGATTTACAAGAGTATGTTGGTTCTGCTTACCAGAGATGGTGATGGTATGGAACAGCGAGTTGCTAAGATTTATGATATCACAAGAAGAGTAATATGCAGTGAAAGTCTGGAGATGTGGAGGGATAAAGTTATGTATTGGAGTTTAGGGGTTGCAGTACCTAAGTGTTTAGTGAACATAGCCTTTGAAGGAGTTGGTTTAGATCCATCTTTCCATTCGTGCCTTTAGCTTTCAGCCAATGATAAAATCCAACATAAACCTGCTGACCCAGCATGTTCAGTTATCTAATCGTGCTTTGACTTGAGATGTGCAACAAAACGCTCAGAAGGTCTTGTTCGGAATATTCCCAAATACTTGATTGATTGGAAGCGATGATCTAATTGGAGAACAAGCGATGGTATTGAGGAAGAACTGAATGGAGGCTAAACTAGAAGGATAAGATATTTCAACGCTTTGACAAGCGAGGGGAAAAGAACGTGAGGTTTCGGATTGAGGTAGTGTGATTTTTCGATGAGAAGGAATTCTCTTTACAATACGAGATTTCCCTACCTGTTATTATTGCTCTTACATCTGATAACGGTATCCTCCAATCTTGTTCCGATTAGTGCTCGGTGAACTCACCGATAGGGACGACAGCTAAGGTAGACATCATGTTTCATTAGCTCCTAGGTCAAATTCATTCCTATTCTTTGTGAACTTAGTATCGAAATCCGATCACTGATAGTATTCATTTCACGTTAGTCTTGATCCTCGCTATTTACTCAATTGGGCGTCAAGGACCCTGCTCTAGATTAACTCTCACTCTAAATTAAGCAAGCGCTTCCCCACATCTATATTTATCCCAAGTTTCCAACCTCAAATCTTACTTCCCGATCGCATCACCAATCATTGAAGTTCACACATCACGAAATGTCACTCCTCTTCTCACTCTCGACCAAACAATTTTTTTGCGAACAATCATCCTCAGACAATTACCTACACCGTCAGCCTTTACCATAAAACTAATCTCTCGATGACTTTTGTTGCACATCGCATTCTCCTCGCGAATTTCCTATTGCGTTCAAGGAATGGATGATTGGCTATGATGGAATGAGAGAGGAGCCATAGAATTTACGGATCGAGATAAGCACCGATATCAATTGGATATCACGGTACGAAGTACTGCGAAAGAAGGCCAAAACCTGGGTCTACCGAGTCTGAAATGTACCACGTCATCGAAGCATTTGAAGCCTGTAAGTCTGGTGCTTCAACTATCAATGCACATGGGTGATCTCCCAAAATTTTACCCCCAAGTTTTCGTGTACAGGGTGAATTTGAGAAAGAGCTCCTATTCGTCAATGTATACGAGGCGCGTATACACACGGACTTGCAAGCGCCTTATCTGATATATATCTTGAAGGATGTTGGATTTTGAACGATTGTGTCTATACCCATTTAGCCTGGATTGCACGGATGGGCATTGGCCAATTAATTGTCTGCTTAAACCTCCTTGCATGTAGTGAATCCCTTTTGTTGCGTTCCTTCTTGGAGTCGTCTGTGCTCCTGTTGGTTGTACCGTTACCTCGAAAACGTCTTGTTGCAGACCTCATCTTCCATGCTGGGTTCTCAATCGCTACTTAGCTGCACTAGGCTTTCGATTGGATGGTCTCCAGTGCGTCAACTCTTGATTGTCATAGGGCCCGCAATTCTGCACTTGCAAATCTCAACAGCTCGATCACGAAGCTTCCAGATATAGTCTGCCAGGTCTCTCGGTTCTCTAGCGGTATATGGTTCGGCACAATGTTCTCGGAAGCTCATGTCATTTGTTACTCCGTGCCTATCTTACTAGCAGGCATTCCCACCTCGATCTCGTCAATTGGGAAGTTCATCTCTTTGCATATTCCCAGCTAGAATATGGTAAACTCCTTCCTGGCCCTACCTCCAAACGGCCCATAAATCTAACGTACATCCGTGAGGTCTTTTGATAGATATGCCCTCTGCCGCGGTCCGCAAAAGCACCTCTGCGCAATATCGAAGCCCCAACCGTACCGCATTCGCTTAGAAAGTTCATTGCGCGCCTAATTGCGATTATGAGATATCTCCACGAGGTCTTCATTCCGGTCTCGGTTCTTCAAAGAACTAATTATATGCATGTTTTTATAAGGAATTTCTTAGCAGGGACTCAAGCTAGTTTTCTTTTTTTCTTGGGGATGTACGTAAAGTTATTGATTCTGGCGACTTCACAATTGCTGCCTGGTCTCCAACCTACAAGTCAACCACCACAAGTCTATATATACGCATTAGGTAAAGAGAGAAGGCCAGCTAAATTATATGATAGTCCGTGGTCTTCCACCTTAAAATAGATGAATGATGTGTATTGAGCTTGGCGAGCTATAGCTACTGAAAGCTGTGGCCAAGCTAAGGCATATTGTAGTTTGCCTGCAGATATCTTGCTCTGTTGCATGTCATGATAGGCGCGCGTCTAGACAGATTTACTAGATTGGTCATATTTGAGGAGACCAAGAGAAGCATCTTGACATAATGGCTTACTATAATTAAACATTTTAGGCCAAAGATGGGTAGCCCCGGACCCTTTCTGAGACCCAAATATCAACATGTTGCATATCTACATTAGGTAGCGAATATAGAGTTATAGTCTTTTACAATTAGTGAGGTCATTTTGAACTTTCATAACCCCTGTTACCGATGTAGACATGCAACAAATGCTTTCTTGGGCACTTGATTGGGATCAAAATCCGCAGCATGTAAGTCTCGGAATGAGAACAATGTACATAAAGCAAATTGCTCTAAACTATAGCTTTCACACGATATTGTTAAAACGTGTAACGAATACTCTGAATCAGATTGCTCGAGTCACAATGTTAACTACAGACTTGACAAGTTGCTGTTAGCATTACCAATCGTCTTGTGGGAAGAGATAAGACACCATCAAATTGCCGGGTAATTGTAGCGCTATGTCTGGAATCTTTTGTCTCAAGTAGCACCTAGAGCTACTTGCTGGGCGTTTTTCACATGTGCAAGGCAACTACTAACGAGCTGTATGATAAAGTAAAGATTGGCAAGGAAATATGATTCTGTTCTATGTTCCGATTTCTTTTATGTGCACATCTTCCAGGTGTCATTGGGCTATTTCTACCTTTGCGAAAATACTTCTAAACAAACAGAGGGCTTTTTCCTCGCAGGGAGACCCAAGTACATGCAATAAGCTTGAAGTTTCCTTGTCTTGAAGATTCTCAAGGTTTCCAGCGTGTAAAAGAAACAGATAGGTGCGATGAATTCCAAAGGATACTACCAACGCCATACACCTCCCTGTAATCTAAAATACATGGCTTTAAGAAACATATCCCCGCCCAAAATTTCTTTATTTGTGTAGTTTGGGGCTTTCAAGGAATCTGCAATTCATTTCCCATGACTGAATGAAACAATTCACACCAAAAGTTCATGTAAATCGTCTAATGTTGTTAGCGGATACAATCCAATTTGCAACCCACACATTGCATCACTATACAATATTATTGCACCACATTGAGCTAGGAAGTAAGCTAGGTGTTGATCTGGTTCATACATGTACTTCTAAATTGATATAAAAGCTCCCCCTCCATCTCCATGAACTCAATCTCCAACAAATCTGACAAAGCAAGATCCTTTGATACCCCAGAAAATCCCCTGAGATCATTGACTTCTAGGTTATTTTTCAATCCTTCTTCTATACTATATTCCTTGTCTTCAACCATCTCGTCTTGACATTACCAAAGCAAAGACAATTTCTCTATCCCTGAGATCGTCGGTAAACATGGCAGATGTAAGTAGCACCAGTATTCTATCATGTGATTCTTTATTTACACATATTACAGTCTTCCTCACGTCGGGCAGCCAACTTGAGAAATAACAGACAAACAGGTAGCAACAAGAATCCAGCTCAACTCAAATGTATTGTTTGTGGAGAGTTCCAAGATTTTCAACAGATGGCTACATTCCCTTGCGATTGTGTGTATTGCAGCACTTGCCTCCAAAGACGTTTCACTCGCGCGATAGAGGCTGAGTTCATGTTTCCTGTCAAATGCTGCTGGGATTTTAATCTCACGCCTTTTCATCATTTATTGCCTCCTGATATCATTCGCGACTATGAAGCCAAGAAAATCGAATACGAAACCGTTGATCGTACTTATTGCGCCAACAAAGTTTGCTCTGCTTTTATCATGAAGGAAAATATCAAAGGACATAAAGCTTTCTGCGCCAAGTCGCCATGTAATACGATAACATGCACAAAGTGTAAGAGCGGATGGCATGATGGAGAATGTCCTCGCGATCAGGATCAAGAGCTAGTTCTTGCCGAAGCCCAAAGACAAGGCTGGAAACGATGTGCGAAATGTGGTAACTTGATCGAATATGTCGATGGGTGTTGCCAGATAGAGTGAGTCTCGATCTTTCCTCTCGTTCTCTGCTCCCCAAAATCTCAAACTAATTCTCACACTCTAGATGTCGATGCGGCTATGAATTCTGCTATTGCTGCGCCGCGCCATGGGAAACTTGTCTCTGCAATCAGATTGACCTTGATCGATTACTCGGAGCTACCAATGGGTATGCAGGTAACGAAAATTCCATAGAGGTCAATGAAGATGGTGAAGACGGTGATGAAGGCAGTGATGAAGACAGTGATGAAGACGATGATACATACGCGGATCTATCTAAGGACTAATTAAAATAGAGTCGAGATTACAAACAATATCACAGCAACACAATCTGCTGTGGCTCATCAGGATTAGATGATATGAGGGTTCAATGAACGGTACCAGGGAGTTGTGGGGAATTGCATATCGTGGTTAGAGCGTTGGCTAGGGTTTCAAAGGCATATTTATGGAGTGGTTATTATCATTCGAGAGTTCTGGGGTTTTGATTTACGGGATGATTTGCTAAGAATGGTATGAGCAGTTTTAGCAATTCAGCTGGATGGGTTGGGGGTTGAGATTTTCCTTGTATTTTGTTTTCCACCTCGAGTCACTAAGATGCTACCAGTCAAGTAGTTTATTCGTGCGAATCCAAAGTACTGAATTATTTAAATCTCCTTGCGTAAAACCACACTCTATTAAGTGGAAGGGCGAAATCATTGTCCATATTTGTAACGGATAGCTGTAATCTTCACAGAAACCAAAACTAAGTAGACATTTTCTGTCCAAAGCCATCTTGGTCACCAAAGGAATGTAAAATAAGTAGGAAAGAGTGTTCCAGATGAAATCTCAATTTTGAGGGGAAGGTACTAGGAAAATTTCGAAAGCATGGCAACTGTCCAACTCAATATATCTGGCACAAACTCGAAATATGTTCAGAAGCTTTATTTATATAGAAGCTCTTTGTTTATGTGACGGAATCCTAGGTGAAGAAAGAATTTCACCTTGATGTCGAAATAGTGGATACGTATAATAAAATGGCCGTGAACCCCCAAACCAGCATTTGATTATATAATATCGCAGAGCAAGTGTGTTGGTGAGAGAAAAAGCTTGACGATGTGAATTTGTAAGAGTTGCACCACAGGTTTGTCTGAATGCAAAAGTGCTAATGTATTCAGTTGTGTGGAAAGGTTGAAAGATTGAGGGCAGAAGGGTGTTTCAGGAATTCGAAAGTTCGAGATCATGGTCGCTCAGAGATGGTGCGCGGATGGAGACAAATTGTCGAATCATACGAGTATCTTGCGCACGAGAGATGAATTTCATGCCGTAGGGTTGCAATGATAGGTTCTCTGTGGCTGGAGATTGCTACTGCGTCGGTGTAAAAAGCATCGAGGACTTCGCAGACATGAGGGCATCTCGATGGCATCGTATGATAGATATAGAAGCAGTAGGCAGATACTAGAATTCATTAGCCTCGAAATCATTTAGGTTGTTATACAACTGAGTCTTTGTCGACTTGAGATAGGTACATATGCTGTTATGTCTTCGTGCATACCTGGAAATCAAAAGGAAATAAAGTCCAAAGACTTCGTTGCTGGTTCAATCTCAGAGCCAAAGACAGGGAAGTTTGTAGATGATAGATCAGAACATAAAGGTGGACATGCCCACAATGTTCACACGAGAAGATCGGAGAAGATCCCTCTTGCATCATTTCAAAAAGGTAAACTTGTGATGCTGTGATGCGAGCAAAAGGTTAAGATTGATTGCGCAGCTTCGCGCTGATGATAAATATATCTTTGCTTGATGCGAGTGTCGCACATCTCAGTTCCTTATTAACATACTGTATGTATGGAACTGAAAAGCGTTGTCATATAAGCAAACAATTAATAGATCGAAAATACACGAGTAAATTTCCTGTTTTGGAACAACAACATCAGAACAAAAGTGGGGCCCATGTGCAAAGAGAGCCAGAGAACGACAGAAAAAAGTGCAAAAGGATAGGTAGAGAGGTATGTACAGTTAGTTCACCAACATGGATGAACGCTGCGTACCTAAGCCACAGGATGAAGACCATGAAGCCGTCGGAGAGGACGGCCAGTGAGTTTAACAATATAGATAAACGCTGTGCCCTCAAGCAAATGGATCAGACCGTTCCGCTAAGTGTCCGAAGACGAAGGAGACAGTATTATTTGGAAATAAGTATAGCGGAATAGGTTCGAGCGAGTTGTACCTAGGGTGTCTATAAGCGTTTTGTATGTCTCCAAACATGGAGATTCACTTCATGATAGACACCATTGAATGTGTTGTAATGTCGCGTCAGGCGCGTCGATGATGAAGTGAATATCATGATCACGAGCCTACTGTAAAAACATTTCTCCAAGGAACTACCATCACCTGCGCCTCTATCAACTTTAGGTTGATAACTTCTGGTACTCAAGTTTCTCAACCCAACCATCTCCACCATGAATTCCAACATTCAAGACTTCATTGATGCCTGCCACACCATTCAGATTCCTGTTCCAACATTTTACAGGGTTACATCCCATAATAAAGCCCGCTTCGTCCTACAAGTGACTGTACTGGGCCACCGTATTCGGTCGCAGAATTCCGAGATTAGCTGTCATGCTGCCAAAGTCCAGTTGGCCAGACGCGGCGTGCACTATTTACAAGGCGCACGCAACCCAGCGCCCGCTTTGGCACTTGGACCTGGTGTACGTTAAACCTCGTTGCGCTAACATGCATTCATGACAGTGAGATGGCGAGCTTGAGCTAATGTGAAGGTTAGGCTACAGTACAACAGAGTAGTGATGCGAGTGCTACCCAAAATCCGAATTTAGTTGTAAGTGGATCACGATACCAATTCTCACGCATCACTGATAAATTAATGCCAAAACAGCCGGCCTCCCACAACGTCCTCAGCGCTCATGATCAATCACATCTCGAATTGTACTTCAGACGTCACATTATCAGTCAAATCGGCAGCAGTACTCGCGTTCAAGTCACAGCAGCGGCTGACCTCATGGCTGATATCATTCTGTGGCGTTCTGAAGGACAAACAACGGAGTGGTATGAAGTAATGAGGGTTTTCACGGGGAGATTGGCCCAAAGATTGACGGAGGGCAGTAGCTAGACGGTATTATATGTTATTAGCCTTGGCTGTCTAGATGTGTAGACCACGGGAATGAAAAATTGGAAATAGCTAATAATCTGCAAATTCTTGGAAAATATTTGAATTTGATTAATCAATTTGATTTCAGAAGCAAACTTGAGGGAGGGTGAATCGAACTAATTCATTTTGACATTCTTTTTATTCTCAAGCGAGAAGAGCCGATCTTACTACCAGCGATGGCTCAACTGTGTGGTTCTATGTATTGAGACTCTTTCGATATTCAGTCTATACTGCATGCTGAAAACTAGATGGCACTTGTTCTTTCTCGTTTCTCGAGCACAACTTCGTTTCTTCCAAGCTTGGATCCGCGATATGGTAACGATGAATTCCTCTGTTCCTGCTCTCAACAATACACTTTCTTGGCTTCAACAACTGGATCGTGAAAATGTACTACCCGGCCTCGAGTTTTGCTGCTATTCTTTGTCGGCCTGCGACCTCAGATATAACGAGACTATTGTCTATTCTCACCCTTTCTTGGTGTCACTTCTTAGCTTCGACTTCTAGCCAGTAGTGATCTGTGCTCAGCTTCAGATATTACTTCTTACTGATTTTATCGAACTGACCACTAACTAATCATTATAGCGAGCTACTACTCAGCTTCCACATTCCATATGTCTCTTCTTGGCTTTAGGCTTTAGATATTATGGATCTATTCCCCAACTTCAGGTACGAATCAAAAAAGCAAATGTTTTATTCTTTGCGCTTTGCTTTCAATGACTCTTCAGCTTTGAGCAACGGTAATCTCTCTCTGCCCCCTTCCGCTGCTTCCATATCTTCTTAACTCTACTCTCTGGTGATCGAGCAGCTTATCTTGTTGTGTGCCGCGAATCACGTGTCTACTACACACGTGATTGTACTCTTCATGGATGTTATTCAGTGCACTGCTCACCTATCGATCTAGCCCAGATCTACAGCCTAGTTTCAACAGCGAAGCTAATGTCTAAATGTGCTGCTATCTTGGCATGACATGACCGATTGTGCACAATTCCTCCTCGCCTTTTGAAGCACTATGAAAGGAGGATACCGGCACAGGCTGCCACGATAAGAAGAATTACTCATTCGATTGCGTGCCCCTTTCTTCATTCCAAATCCGTGCTTGTCTTGCGTTGCCATGCCAGTGTATAAGACGCGCAATAATTCAGCATCAAAGCTTCTCCAGCCCCCTTTCAATATTTCCCCATGCACGTAACCACCTCAGCTGCAAACTCCTCACAGGTCCATATTTCTCATTCAAACGATTCCTTCGTCTAAACCACCTGCACATATGCAACGAGGTCTTTCGCCTTCCTTGACGTTTCAGAAACCAACAGCATAGATACCAGCCCTCCAATTTCCAATAACATGAACTCTCATGTTGAAGGTCGAAGGATTTTGATACTCCACTCCCTATCTCCCCGCGACCACTTAAATCATCCTCCCTCCTTTATCGGAAGGTCGGAGACATATCATATCATGATCATCAGTGATAATCCGATCACATGCATCATCTCGCACCTAGACTTCCAGGTTTTTCGGATTCGCAATCTGTCGATCGCGGACATCCTACGCTTCTTATCCATTCTTCATCCCTTGATCATACATCTTCGTGGCAAAAAGATCTCTCCAGCATCCAATGATTGAAGCTGGAAAGGGGCGATCCCATGTATATCTATGCCTCGGTTCCTATCCGACATGTACCTCAATCTATGGACTTTTGATCGTTGACGCCGTTGACGCCTTAATCTGATGGATCTACAAAACATCGTTAACCGAAGCCAAAGGCAACAACCACTAACAAGTCTTAAATTTCTCGCTTCAATATCCTATGGCCGCCCTTACCTTTTGCCCAAAAGGCATCTTCAATCCTCACCCCACCGGCCGTACGGCATGACCCCGGTCCAATTACACACCCAATCACAATACATCAAATCTTGCATTTGTCTCTCTGCATTTCGTCCGGCACTTGCTTCAATCCAGACTCCACCGGACTTTGCGTCCCCGCCCACTTAGTAATATTCCCAGTCCGCTCCGCCCCACCACAAACCCCTGGTTCTGAGACTCGGGCCACCAACCAACCACTGAGCAGATCCAAAATTAACCTTTGTATCATCCCCTGTCCCTGTCGCTCAGGTCACACTATCTGGCCTCTTTCCAGGTAAATCTCCTCGCGTGCAGACTCGCTGCACTTGCTTTGTTTGCCTTATGGACGGTGGAGCTAATTTCTTAGTGCGCTTCCAAGGACCAGGATGGCAGGTTCATTGATCATGCGACTACCATGCGCTATTAAAATCCCAACCATAGAGAGAATTTCCACTAGCACATGCCATGATACAGCCTACAGACAGACCTTATGTTACACTAGAGTACCGGCCCTGGGTCAATGTATTATTGACCCTCCGTGTTGGCGCTTAACGCTTTGACAATTTATGTTTGTAAATGTCGTTCAGCATAAAGAAAAAAGACCCTTAATTTATGTCAAACTCTAAGCACTCGAAGAACCCTGAGTCTTGAGATGCTGAACTGCGAAATAAGGAAGTTGTGAATTAAAATCGAGTACGCTAAGGTTGAGGATGGTGCCCAAGCTAAGCGAGAAAGCAAGTAAGGAATTTCATCAAGAGTCTATGGGGCGGAAAAACAATTCCCGATACTGATCCACAAGCACATGCGTGTGCTTCAAGAGGACGCAAAGGATCCTTATTGTTCTAGAAAAGGAATGGAAGGGAGAAAAAGCCCTAGAGGCTAGGGCAAACCTAGCTAAAACTTCACTTGTAGGAGGAATAGATCAAGGCTAACCTAACTAACCTTTTCTTCAACATACTTCAATTGACCACTCGCAACAGCTCATTTGCTTACGATTCTGCATGCATGTTCCTTTCAAGCAAGACAAACTACTGTACGCCTTCTACTCGCGTGCGCCAAGTGTCTCAATTTCTTCTGGAAGGTTGCATGGAAGGTCGCATGTCGTGTTAAACATGTGCTCGTTCCTTCGTCTCTTTTGTATATGTACATGTCCTATTAATTTCTTCACACCGCCTCTTTATTTCCATAGCTCCTCATGTACGATTACTCTTACATTTTGGAAGTTGGAACAATATCAATGCATCAGTGCATTAGGATTAGGAACAGGATTCACTCAAGCAAGCTCCATCCAACACTTCTTGCGAGAAATAGCAAGGAAATGCCACGCGAGGAGATACTTCATAATGGATCTACTCCATCACCTACAGGTAAATTGCAGCATGGAAGTTTACCTGTGATGAGCACCAGTAATCTGCAATGCAATGTAATGTAATGTCATGTACGGCGATATATTATATGCACATGCCTGCAGGTGATATAAATCTCGTAACGTAACAAAGATCATTTTGGGATATCCATCGCCAATCTCCAGCCCAAACATTAAAAATTTCAGCATTGCGTAGCCTGCGTAACGGAAATTCATAAACAAACGTCGTAAATTAGCTATAACTTAAGATTTACATGAAATTCATTACCTGCACCAATGCTCCATATTAAGAGATACTTGCCAGGGATGTTAGTCACAAAATCGGGGAGTTCCGCTCTGTGCGCCAGCGGTTCATTACTCAATCCTAACTTTATACACTGGATCTGCTCATTTAGCCTGCCTGGTCGAGCGTGTCTGCTACCGAAAATTCCTGATGCTATTGCCTACCGAAACGCCTTTACCGAAACTAATCGTCTACAACTTCCTCGTTTGGCAGTGGACGGTTCGGGGTTTAGGACTTTTTGATCCAAATCGTGTGGAAAGGAAGTTCGGCTATAACACTCACTAGTTCTTGTGGGCATATAATCAAAATGAACCACAACCGTTGGATTTCCAATCTTAGCTTACGGGACGAGAGGTGAAACGTAAAGTCTAGAATTGTGTCCGGATAGAGAATTATGAAAAAGAAGCGATGCATTTACATTTTGAGTTCATTTTGTGGGAATTTGCCGTCGTTTTTTTGAGGGTATTTCCCGAGACGAAATTTGATTTAGACTCTTTACATGTGTTTTATAAGGATCGTTTCGGGCCGTCCGATGACATCAATTACATAAATGGTCTCGGAAAGCCATCTGTTTTCGAGAGTGCGGCGTGGATTTCCACGTGTGGCTTGGGGTCTACCGAAGTGGCAGTCCAGCACGGTAATGAACCAAGCCTCTGGTGTGACAATTCACGAATGGTGTGTATATTGGATTCAAAGAACTAACGGAGATTGGATGTGCATACGGATCGAGTGGAAGAGAAAGAATAGAAGCGGCGGTGGGTGGACGAATGCTATTCGACACTTTAGTGTTATGTTATAATATTTAAACATCTTTATTAATACGAACGCACAAATGATATTTCACATCCAAGCCGGATTCGCAGTATGTCAACAAGACTGGGTACTTGGATATATCAATAAGATGCCGAATAAAACATTCAATGCAGGGTCCTGCACCACACCAGGGGTTTCCTTTCATCTCTCTCCAACAACTCACTCGTCATCCATTTAGCATCGTTCCCAAAAGAGAAATGCAAACTTACGAGCGGAGTTCAGTATTCCACTCCTCCCCTCTCCTCTCCATCATGGAAGATCTTTCTTCCATGATTTACTGCCACTACCCAGGCATACACATCCCACCTTTATCACCTCAACTACCGCCGCACAGGTTTTGACTTTCCAGCATGGGCCAAACGTTGAACGCTCAAACTCAAAATATCAAGCTCTCTGCCAAAGATCCACTCTTTCATGTATTACTACAAGACCTTGGAAAAGTCAAATAGATTCAATACCCGTCAGATAAATGATGCCACAGCACGGAGCAGATAATGAGCAGGCTTGAACCGCTACACTTGCCATGGCTTGTCTACCTTGTGCTAAGCTCATTGGTGTAGGCACCAGGTACCTACGCCCTTAATTAACACTGCAGCTCAACATCATGATCACCAATCCACTACGCAGCATACTCATTCATGTATCTTGTCGCACAATTTT